GCGATGCGATTCAAGGGTCAAAAACGAGACCCGTACTCGAGGCTTTTCCCAGTCTCTCGACAGAGAGCGCCACGGACATCGTCTTTTGCGTGCAGCATACGTGGGATGATGGGCTAAGGAGTCCTGGTGTTTGCCTGCATTAGCGTCAACTATGCGCATGCGAACGGATAGTCTCCATGTTGGCCCATGGCTAGGTTTCCTTTGTTTGGCTCTAGGGGATCCCTCCGGCTTTTAGCGAGACGACACGGGACGGGACGGCAAAAGAAACGATGCACAAAAAAAGTATACACGATTGAGAAGTTTTATCATTCTTCCCATTTCATAGCGCCGCCGTTTGAGCACGTTTGCTGTTTTTCCCTTTGGCTTTGTATGATGCAAGCACAGGGCAGGAACCCTTTCGTCGATCTCACCATCACGGCAGCATTGCGCAAAGTACTAGCTAGAACAAGCGTCCTATATTCGCACTGAATGGTAGATTTTTCAACCACGTAACTTGTCGGTCCCTTCTTGTGCACGGTACCCCCCATCCTTAGCTCGCCGTGGCCGAGTGTAACGCCGAGACCACCAAGCGGGAAGACGGCTGAGCGTGCCGGCTGGCGTCTACTATGAGAAGGAAGCTGCGATAGGGTCTGGGGTCATGCCTATACCTCCTCGCTTCTTCCTACCTTCCTCCAAAAGGCAAAACAGGATCACCGACCAATTGGATGAGTCGTCCGCAAGAAAGTGAGACAAGAACCACCTTTGGGGCCTAGAATCCGTCGGGGACACTTTCATGCTAGCTACCTAATTGGGTAAACGGTCTAAGAGCGGGGTGAGGGAAGAGTGAGGGCTTTCTTTCGTCTTATTTTTTTTGGGGGCAAGCCAAAGTATAAAAATCCGGAAAATGCGCCACGGTCATCTCTCGATCTCATCGACTGGACCGGGGGCCAGACCGACTACGTCCTTTTTTGCTAGGTAGACGTCAGACGTTGGGTTTCTCTTCCCCGTTTCCCTTCACCCCCCGGACTGGATCTCGTCATTCTCTTTGACTGGTCGTTCCCTCTTCTCGTTGGCGGTGGCGGATAGCGCGGAGACTGGGGGAGGGCCGAAAGGGCCGAGCTTAGTACATGCACCGGCCATCGCTTTAGGTGATGATGGGTGCTTTAGTACTTTTATATCGAAGGATGGCTTCTAGCGTTTTGGGCCGTGTGTGGTATAGTTCTACACGCTGTAGTATGGACGGGGCGGGAAACATATGACAACGGTTTTTGAATGGGGCGAAGGTCTGACCTAGTTGTTTGTTCTTTTTCCTTTTCTTTTCGCCGTTGTGGTTTGCTTTGCTACTTTTGGACTACCGTTGTTTAGGCCTAACTAAGATCTATGCCTCACTACAGGCTGTAAAAAGAAGCTGGCTAGACAGTGGCTGGGCTGGGCGTTGGCCTTGAATAAGACCGATAGAATTGTACGTCTGATGCCGGGAGTAGAAGTAGTATACACGGCACCGCCGGGTTAAGCCAAATAATTAAGAACGATCTCTAAATCGAGTGACATGCAACCATGGTATTAGTGTAGGAGAGAGACTTGGCTGCGTAGATACATGCACAAATAATTACGAATGTTTAAGATGACGCCTGCTCTTGCGCTCATTCAACGTCTCACGCACAGAATTGTTACACAAATTCGACACTTTTTCTTATAGCACAGCGGCTTTATGTTCTATAAGTGTCTAAGATGTGCTGTCAATTGCTTTCGTCATCTTCTGGGCCCGAGGTGGTCCAATATCATCTATCTTCAACACTGCTAGAAAGTAGTGCCTTAGCTTCCACCTCTCGAAGTAGGAAAGGCGAACACCCCTTTCATCGACACTGTGGAGATATCAGCTTAGTAGATGGTGGCCTGAGCATTACCTAAGAACACTTCAATCATCCTCGTTCTATGACAGAATTGTCACTGTCTTTCCCCTTTATCCGAGAAGGATCGAAGCGAGGCGGCCGGTTAAAGTTTTGTTAATTGCTTTTTCCTTTTTACGAACTGCTCAAGGCGTCGACTGCGGCATCGAGATCTGGATTCTCGTTTGCATTGCGGCCACACGCGAAACGCACGGATTCCACGTTGTCGTAACTCCGATGGCATGAGGGAAACCCCCCATGAATGTTGAGAGATCTGATAGGACAGCGCATAATCAGAACTGTTGACGTTGTGCTGAGGAAAGGTGTACTGGAGCTACACGGTATCAGGTAGCATTCTTCGATTATCTCTGATAGTACTACCTCTAACCGAGCATGTTCCGTCAATCAGGGCTTCTGATTTTTTTTCTCCATATTTGCCAAGACCGAATAAGGTCCCAACATGTCCAGCTGGGATCCACCGCGATTCGTCACATAATCCTCCTTCTCGATGTCTTTCCCATCCGGACTGTCCCACAATTCTGGACGAGAGCACAATCCATCACTGGCTGGAGACGGAGGGTCCAGACGAGAGTCTGTGGGGAACTACTGGGGCAGCGTGATGAATCGCCGGGCGGCAGGGGGGTCTCTGGTGGATGGCAGGAGACGAGCAAGTTTGTGGGAAAGTCAGACAAGTCACGCGTTGGTTGCCTTCCGGCTGATGGGGGGATTGGGGATGGGGACCGAGCAGTGCTGCGTGCTTTTCGGATTTTGTTGGTTGCCCCTGATACTTGATGACCGCTGGGCTGCGCTCGCTGCTGAGCCCCCATCCTAGCTAAAGGTGGTGCCTTTGCCGATTGCGAACCCGCATATCATGCGGGCAGAGACATGCAGCAAGCACGACGGATCCTTTGCCTGATTGTTCCTAAAAGGCAGGTTCGAGTGCTGATTGTTTTCTTTTCGAGCGGTTCTCTCCGTGTGTGGATGTGTTCCTCGATGCGCGCTGGTTTTTGTGTCTGAGATCTGCCTGGGCTGTGCGGTCGGCATTACGCAATGCACGTTGGGTGCAGGTGCCAATAGAGAAATGTTTGGGGTAACGGCATAAGCAGGGACGGAAAAGGGTCCAGCCAGATAGGCAGCTGGCCAACCGGGCGGCGACACCGGGTGGTGCAGCAGCCTATGCATTGGCGCAGACGCTGCGCCGTCTCGCGTCTCGCGTCGCGCAGCGCAAGCCCACCTCCGCATCCGCCGGGCTGGCGGACGAGGCTGGGACGAGGTGCAGTCCGAGCAGTGCGAGCAGCATAGCAGTCAGCAGCAGCTCGTGCGGCACGACAGCGGCGGCTGAACGGCGGCTGCATCCCTCATGCAGCGCTTGTCGCTCGCGTTCCCTCTCTTGTCAACAGCGGGCCGGGCGGCTCCCACGGCAGGCGTCTGGAGTGGCAGATGACAGCTCTTGACGGACACGTCTGGCCGTCATCATCGCAGCCAGTTCCTGGATTCAGGCTCACCGGTCGGTGTGGGTGTTGCAGCTGTGGGTGGGGAGAGGCTGCAATGGAAAGACCCGTTGTTAAGCTGTGTGAGCGACGCGAGCCACAGGCGGTCCGAGACGCGACCGGGCGAGTAAGTCGCGCCGGGGATGACGAGTCGCTTGCTGTGGAGATGGCGAGCCGTGGCGTGGTGGGCAACGAAAGACACGGTCATGTGGAGAGGAGCGAAGCTGCCCCGAACAACGCCGCCTGCCCGCCCAGTGTGGCCGAGCTGCTGCTGCCCGCGTCGGTGCCTCAGGCCTCCTTCACGCTTCGACGCCAGGCGCCAGGCTACTCCAGGCACGTGTCGCTGCGTCGCTGCGTCGCTCAGGACGACGCAAGGCGAAGACACGAAGACGCTGACCGAGCGCCGCTATCGCAGGGCCTCGTGGCGCGCCTGACACATGTCAGTTGGAGCTGGCCGTCGTCTGGTCGCCCATAATCCGTACACTGGCATAGTCTCGTCCCGCGCGCGGCAAGGAGAATGCGTTGAGGCGCGCCTTCCCCAGCGCTGGCCTTTGAGAAATGGGATTGCGCTTGACGAGACGCACCCCGCGTTGTCCAGAGGCGGCTGGTCTAGGCGCGCACGGCCGTGGTGAAGGCTCGCTCATTCTTGGACGACGTGTTGGCCAGCCAGCTTACGTACCTTGGGTGGAACTGAGTGCGTATGCGTCCTTCAGCGCGACAAGATAAGTAGTGTTATATTGCCGTGGCGCCCGTCGGCCGTCTCGCTCCTCGCTGCACCTGCTGCTCCTCCGACACGCTCTCCGACAAACCTGCTTTCCCAATGACGAGCGCGACTCCACCTGCGCGCACGGTTGCGGGCCTTGACGATTCCTGGCTCGGCGACCACGGACCGCTGCTTTCAGATGGCTGACGTCGTGATAGTTCGGATCCCGAGCGAAAGCAAGAGAGGCTCACGACGGCGTCGCTAAAACTCCCATTAACAGCAGGTGTCATTTCGTTTCCTTCGTATTGCTGGCCTGGCGGTGGCGGTGCCGTGACATGGCCTCGAGATCATGCGTGCTGTGGCTGGAAGGAGGAGGCGACGGCGGCAAGGTAGCCAAGGTAGGCCCTCGCAGGCGGCGCGCATTCCTGGCCGGCTGCCCGTTCCTGTCGCCTCTGCTGCGCCAACACCGCCGACGGCGTCTTCGCGAGCGTGTCGTGGCCTCGCGCGGCGCTGCTGCTGCGCTGCTGTTGCGCTGCTGCGCTGCTGGCGCACTGGGCGGGCGCGTCCTGGGCGCTGGGCGGGATCCGCAATCGATAAGCCTGGTGACGGTGATTTGCGGGGGCGCTTCTATTCTTGCACCCGCCGACGTTGCTAGGCAGGCAAGGCGGCGCAAACAGAACCTTGTTTCACCCAGCCAGCTACCAGCCTTCTCGCGAGCCATCAACAATTTTCTTTCCTCCGTCTGCACCTAGTCCTGCGCGTTCAGTGCTCCTTCGCCTGCTGCCGTCTTGCGCCGTTCAGCCCGGCTCCGCCGACACGAGTTGCGTCCCGTCCTCAGCCCTGCCGCTGCCGCTGCGGCTGTGTCGATTACACACCAAGCTTTGGAACCCGGCTGCCAGCCAAGGCATCCCGCAGCCGCGGACCGCGTGAAACGCGAGAATGTCCTCCCAACCTCCTTTTCGCAGAAGCTTCTCCTTCGACAACGACGACAGTCCCCCCTCGTACGCGACCTACGCTTCGCCGCCCGCCGGCCACGCTCAGCCAAGTCCCGACGCGTTAACTCCCCCGCCGCCGCCCCAGCACCGCAATTTCGAGAACTTCGCTCCGGCCCCCACCGGCCCCTACGCCGGTATGGACACTTCAGGTGAGTCGGTCGCACGCGACGGCCATCAGCCCCGAGTGCCGAAGCCGCTCGCGCATGCCGACGACGCTGTCTCTGGGACCGTTCGCGAGCTGTTGGTAACCGCTTTCCAGGAAACCAACAACAGCCCTACTCGCCCTACTCGCCCTTCGCCGGCAGCACCCCGTCGCAAAGTCACGCCATGAATCCCGCCGCCCACAGCTCCCAGGAGCCTCTGACCCACCCCGGTGCCAATGAGTCGCGCCCATCTCTCAACAGCCATTCCAACCACTCTGGCCACGACGGCTACTCGTCATGGTCCGACGACCCGTTCAACTACCACTCCAGATCCGCTCCCTTCGCTGCTATTGATCCCAATGACATTGAAGACGACGGTGACGACGGCATCCCGCAACCGGCTCCCTCAAAACGCAACACCCTCTTCGGCAAAAAGGGTGCCATCGCCGGTGCTGGCGCTGCCGGCGTCGGCGGAGCCGCAGCTATGGCCAGTCTTAACCATGACGGAAACGGAAATTATGGACCTGTGCCTGGCGGAAGCACCGAGTACACGCATGACAACCGCGGCCTCGAGAAGGGCGCTGGTGCGGCAGCGGCCAACAAGAACGGCAAGAAACGTTTGTGGACCATCGTTCTGGTTGCTCTTGTCGTCGTTGCCGTCATCGTCGGCGTTGTTATCGGCGGGGTTCTCGGCAGCAGAGCCGGGTCGCCTGACGATAGTAAAAGTGCCGGAGCATCCGCCTCGGACGACCAGGCAAAGAATGGCGATCTCGACAAGAACTCGGACGAGATCAAGAAGCTTTTGAATAATCCTGACCTGCACCGCGTCTTCCCTGGAATGGACTACACCCCTCTGAATGCCCAGTATCCCGACTGCCTGTCCAACCCGCTGAGCCAAAACAACGTGACTCGTGACGTGGCGGTTCTCAGCCAGCTCACTCCTGCAATTCGTCTTTATGGAACCGATTGTAACCAGGTGAGTAATGTCTAGTACCCAAGCGAGGGAGACGTTAGCTGACGCAGGTGGCTGTTTCAGACCGAGATGGTCCTGACCGCCATTGACCGCCTTGGTCTCACCGATGTCAAAGTGTGGATGGGTGTCTGGCTGGGCAACAACGACACGACCAACGACAGGCAACTTTCGCAATTCTGGGAGATCCTCGACAAGCACAAGGCCGATCCCTTCGCCGGCGTCATCGTCGGCAACGAGGTCCTCTACCGCAAAGACCTGAGCTCGGACGAGCTCGGCAAGATTCTCGGAGACGTCAAGCAGAACCTTACGGATCACAACTGGGACCTTCCGCTCGCCACGTCCGATCTGGGAGACAATTGGACCGCGGATCTGGCGTCCGAGGTCGACGTCGTCATGGCCAACATTCACCCTTTCTTCGCCGGCGTCGAGGCCACCGAGGCTGCGAGCTGGACCTGGACCTTCTGGCAAGGTCACGACGTGGCCGTCACCAAGAACCTGAAGGGCAAGACGCACGTCATCAGCGAAACGGGCTGGCCGTCTGGCGGCGGCAACGATTGCGGGGAGTCGACGTGCTCGAGCGACACCCAGGGCAGTGTTGCCGGCATCGACGAGATGAACACGTTTTTGGACGATTGGGTCTGCTCGGCGTTGAAGAACGGCACCGAGTACTTTTGGTAAGCAGCAGCCGGGCACATGCCGAAAATCGGACGAATGGTGGAGACGTTTTGTGCTGACTCCATTCATCACTTTGCAGGTTTGAGCTGTTTGACGAGCCTTGGAAGATCATGTACAACACCAAGGACGAGAACTGGGAGGACAAGTGGGGCCTCATGACGGTCAACCGCGAGCTCAAGAAGGGCGTCAAGATACCCGATTGCGGCGGCCAGGAAGCAACTCTGTCGTCCAAGAGATAGCGCGCATCGTGACCAGACCTCATCCTCTCTCTCTCCCTCCCTCTCTCCCTACTCTGTGGTGAGGAGAAGAGTGCGAGAGAGAGAGGAGGCACGGGCGTTTCCATGCCCTTTTTTGTGTTTTGTTTTGTCACTGTTTTTTTTTTGCGCTTTCTTATTTTCTCTTGTAATCCTTTTCTTCCCAATGGAGCATAGGCGTTTTATTCCCCACCCACATCTTTCTTGTGGGAAAGAGGGTAGGCACGGTAAACGTTGCTGGACAAGGGTTTACGGACGGATCGGCACGGGACTGGACGGTACAGGGAATACATTTACACACATTCCTTGATGAAGAAGAAGGCGGCGGCGAGAGAGAGGGAGAGACGAGATATGAAAGGGTGGCGCTTCGAGCATTGGAGCATTTGTTGTTGCAGGAATTGGACTGGGTGGTGGGGGGAAAAGAAGAGACGTCGTCTTTTCGTTTTTTTTTTCTGCATCGTCATCGTCATCGTCATCTGCAGAATTGGCGTCCTCATGCTTGGTTGGAAGATGTGTCAATTGGTGTGTTTGTCGATTACCTCCCCACCCCCGACTCCGACATCAGTCCGGCTCAAGGCGCCCTCTCCTTTACGTGGTGGAGAGGGGGAGAGAGAGAGGAGGGTGTTGTTTGGATTCTCCCCTCTTTGAAGCTTTAGTCTGCCGAGATGATGAGGAGGTGGGCGGGCGGAGCGCAGCTGAAGGAGAAAGGGGGAGGGGGGCGGGAGGGAGGCGAGAGTGGTGGTGTTGTTTATATACCGGAAGCGAACGTAATGAGCTCGTCCAAGTCGCGCATGAATGGTTTATGATGAGTGGATAGTAGGGAGGGGGTGTTCCTGTAGATAGTCATGTGCGCGTCGGAGGCGGAGGCGGAGCGGGCGGGCAGAATGAAGATTATGTATTCTTGAGTGGGACCGGATGTGAAGGGTTCGAGGTGTTGTGTGTGCGGTGGTTTGTGATCAAGATGGGTTGTGAGATGTGTGAAGTGTGAGAGGGTAGGTTTGCTGAGTTGCTCGTCAGAAGGGCCACTTCTCTACCTCTCAAGTCCGTTCGACATTGGTACGTGGATGTCGTTCAACTGATTCGGATACCAGTGCGTATCGAGAGACAGCAGGCAACGGGCTGAGCATCGCCTGGTGTGTAGGCCGGTCGGCACACGGGCAAGCATACAAACTATCATGCTACATATAGCGTTAGTCACGCGGCTCTTACTCTTTTCTGGTCCGAAGCGGCTTGGGTGCGCTAATGGCACCTGTGTTGCGGTACTGAGTTTTTTCGGTTTTTTTTTTTTTGTTGGTGGGGGAGGATGTGGAAGTAGTTGACGTGGCAAGCAAGCCAGGACACCGTGTTAGGGAAAAAAAACTCTTATTGCATTAGCGTAGCGGAAGCAAGACCCATAGACTCTGCCTACCGACATGACGCTCTTGCCGTTGGGCCATGCGTCCCGAAATGGTGCTATCACAGGCGCTTCTTGAGCCCGTGCAATCCACCCGCTATAGCCGCAACAAGTGTGCCATGTCCCCACGTCTTGAAGAAGTAGCCGGAGTTGCAGTCGGGACAATGGTGATATGCCTTCAGCTGACATTCGCAACATTATTACAGATAGCTTTGAAAGTGCCCGTTGGCAGAGACTTCATCGTGACTCTGGCCGTAGTTCGGTAATACAGTAAGAGACCCTCATCAGAAGTCTAGTTCCATTTTTTTGACGGCGCTGGAATTCTTCGACCGGGATAAAAGTATAGTCATCCTTGTAGAGTAAAAGGTCTTTTCCAAATGGACCGACGTTATCCATCATCTCGTTGAAATCGTCATCCTTCAAGAGCGATCGGATGCGCGGCTTGCACGAAGCCACAACGACATCTCTCAGGCCGCGATCGGTCTCCGGGGTGGTGTCGTAGATGGCTCGAATGGCTGGGGCTATAATATGGCCGTCCAGAGGCCGTTCGAACATGTCCTGGAACCGCTTCTTGGCGAGTTTCTTGAGGCTGCTGATGGCGTAGATCTCGCCGAGAGCGTACATTTCGGCGTCGAATAAGAGTATCTTTGAGTAGTCGGCGCCGTTTGGGTCGGTGTAATCGAAGGTGTACAAGAACTCGAGCATGGCCTTGACGGCGGATGGATCGTCATTGTTGAGCTCGATGACGCCTCGCGTGCTCTCCTAAAGAACAAGACATGCGTTCTAGCGTGGTTGGGGGTTCCAAGATGATGGGCTGTCTTACCTTGAAGCCCAGCTGCGGATCGAGGGCTTTGGCCAAGACCGGGCTCTGGCTGAGGACCAGCCTGTGACATTTGTACGCGTCGTCGTTGGCGCAGACCACGTCGACGTCGGAAAAGGTCTCAGAGTTGAAGTGGCTGCATAGACTTAGCTTGGAAGAGTGAAGAAGGGAGGGTGCAGCAGCTCTTACCTGCGCACTACTTCCAGCAGAGGAGCGATCGGGTCATCACAAGGGTCGACCGACATGTTGCAGCCTTGTGCCGGTGGCAGAGTGTGTGTCGGTGGGAGAGCGTGTGTCGGTGGCAGACGCCTGCGCGAGAAAAATTGTAGAGGAAGCGAGACGCGAGAGTGTGCGGAAGAATATTGATTTGGTACTTCACTTGCACTAGCGTAGCCTAATTTGGCAGGGGCGACACTTCGGGTGCAGGAAAGCTGTCACTTTCTGATCCACGTGACGGTGGCTTCAAAGAAGGGTCCACCGCACCATAAGTAACAAGCTTTTCAGTTCTCTGGCGCTTCCGCCTTACCACCAACCTTCCTTCCACGATCCTTCCAGGATTCGCCGCCATGGAGACATCCGACGACGAGAACTTCCCGACCCTCAGAGAGGGACTGCGAAAGTGAGGCTCCCCAAAACACGCGTTTGCGAAGCAACCTACTCACAAACCTCACCTAGGTGCTTGGCTAGCGGTGAAGGCAGTGACATGACGATCAAGTGTGGCGACACGGTTCACAACGTCCACCGTATGATCGTCTGCGTGCAGAGTTCCTTCTTTGCCAATGCTATGAAAAAAGAGCACAACTTCGAGGTAGTGTAGCCTGAGTCCGCTGAGCTACTGACTGCTAACGCTTACTGCTTTGCTAGGAGGCCCAGACCAATGTCGTGGACCTAAGTGACGATGACCCGGCCGTCGTCCAAGCTGCGATCCGCTTCATGTACACGGGCCACTACTCCGTCACTGAACTCGTTGGCCAGGACGAAAAGATCGACATGCACCTCTCGGTATACTTCTTCGCAGACAGGTGCGGCATCGGCGGTCTCCGGGAGTACTGTACGAAGGAGATCAAGAAATTGCTGGAAACTGACTTCTTCCGGCCCGAGCTGTTTCTTCGAATCGTCAGCGCCGCCTATAACAACATTCCTGAGAATGACAGCGTCCTCCACTACTATCTGGGCATGACTGCTTCCAAGAACTTTCCCGCACTTCTTCGGCAGAAGAATTTCTGGGATATTGCCAATGCGGCTGGCAGGTTCAGCACATCAACTCTCAGAGCGCTTGCGGGCCAAGGAATTATTCCTGGTACATACAACGGAGTTGGAAATTTCATTTGCAGGAACTGTGACCGGAATGTCATTCTGCGTTTGAGTAGAGATACGAGAGTGGAAATCAGGGGCTGTGAGCACTGGATCGCTAAGGAACCCACGTTCTGCCCCAGCTGCGGTGCTGATGAGCTGACCGAAGTTTGGTTATATTGATTGCACCGCACAAACCCCGATGTATGAGTTTTCGCGGGGCAATGGCTGAAAAGAACTTTGAAGATGGCTAAAGTGGCTACGGATTAAGCCCATCAGGGGGATGACGAAGGCAACCCCGTACATGGGAAAACCCAGATGCCCCAGCCACGGCAAAGGTTTAGAGCTTCACAAAAGATGCCGTTCGTAGCAAATAACACCTGAGCACTGACCTGACTCTTCTGCCGCAAGTTTTTTCGTTACTTACGTTCATCGACTGTGAGAGCCCGATGATTCTGAATTTCTGAATACCAGTCCACGATCGACGAGCTCACCCGTCGCATTCAAGAAGCCGCTCAGCTCCACGGTCGGGTCTTAACCGCGGCAGCCTACGCCACCTCGGTCTTAAAAATAGTCCTCTGGAGATACCCCTCCCTTACTGACCCCGAGAGCGATCTCGTCCCGGCAGACGATCTTTTCGAGATCTTCGTTACTCTTACGACCGACCAGCGCGCCTGGCGAAACCTCGACTACTACCACGCGGGTTCCATCGCGGCCCGCTGGGAGTTTTACCACCTCGGTTAACCCGTTCTAGAGGATCGGGTTTTCACTAAGCCCCTGGGTATATCCCGCGCAGTCCGTCTGGCAATCACCCGCTAGCTCGATCGCATCCTCGAGTCTTACGTGCCTGCCGACCTCTCGGATTCTGATAGCGATCCTTCCTCTGCCGACGAGCGTTCCTCCCCACTTACCGATTCCGAATTCCCTAACATGAACACTACTAAGGGATCTCGTTTCCCTAAGTGGGTCTTTGGATATGTCGCTGGCGCGCCCCTTAGGCGCGGGTCCCAAGCCACCAATGTGGCGAAATCGGCCGTTACGTCAGATCGGACCATAAGGACTGTTGTTCTTCCGCCCTTCTGACGTAACGGTCGACGGTTGTGTGCCTGGAGGGGGGCCTGAGGTCACGCCGAAATCGCATATGGATCTTCTCATGAGCCTGCAGAAGCTGACCCTCGGTAGAAGATATATCCGCGTCCTTTGCCAATCTGATACATTCGGTGATGAACCGTCCGATCGGCTTACCCTCGCGGACTTCGGAAGATCCGAACTTCTTGCGCTGAAGCTCGCGCTGGGCCTCAGTCGGTCTTCGTCGGAAACGGTCGATTAACTCGGCTCTCCATCGCTTGATACCGATGCCACCTCGGAGGTACCTCCTCTCGGTGTGTGTGAGTTGCCCGACATACCATGCCTGAGCCGATCCGCGGAGACATTTGTGTAGGTTCCTGCGGATGGAGTCGCCCACTGGCCATCGCTCGCTTCCAATGCTTGATCAGTGAGATTTTTCAAACGCAGCGGTTTCCATTTGTACATTGAACCCTGGCGAGCCGTAGTGATGGCACACGAATCTGTCTCCCGTCCAGTTCGTGCTTCGCAAGATCGTCGATGCTACCTATCATCTCGTCCGTGCCGATATTCTCTCCGAGTTTGTGGAGCCGGATAATGAAATTCGACCACATCTGCCGCCTCTGAGATTCTTATAGTAAGGGGCCAACTGGATCCAAGACTTGAAAGCCTTGTCAAAGGTACCGACCCGATTTCTCGTTAGGATCAGAACGGTGGTTATTGCTGAAAGAATATCTAATCACCGCCATAGCCAATACAGCGAATCCACTACTCTGTGACTCAAGTCCACGAACGATTCGTATGGCAAAATCCATAAGGAGCAATAGGGGCAGCCTCATTCTACAATATGTAGTCTATGTTGCGTATCTCGACTGCGCCAGTGGTCCTTCAGGCTGGTATCCTTAACGAATGTGTTGAAACATTGCGGCTGAACGATTAGCTATATAAAAGAGTGTGTGGTGGCGCGCCATGCCAGACAAGCCACAGACTGCCGTCTACCGGTTGACTGCCACATGGCTCCCCCGCCAGTGACACGGTGCGAAAGTGAGCTAACTCTCACCCACCCAGCCTCATCTTGTGGCGTCCAAGCCTTTCCGGCGCGTCCACGTCACGTGCGAAAGTGGGCACATGCGCGCCTGCGGAAGGACCCTGAATCCCATCTATATAAGAAGCACTCTGCCCGCCTTACCGACGCTCTTCCTCCTCACCGTTTCCACTCCGCTCCGCACAGCACAACTGAAGCGGTCCCTTTCACCATGTCGCTCAAGCTGAATGACACTCCCACTGGAGACGCGATCCCCATGGGCTTCCTGATCAAGATGAAGCGGCAAGTCCCCCCCTCACCCGCCGCCGCCCTCGCTCGATCCTCCGACCTCCCCCCTCCCAAAGAAAGAGCTAAAACTGAACCCGCAGCCCCACCAGCTTCTTCCTCACGGGCCGCTACTCGGACATGAAGATCAAGGACAGCACCGGCCACGTCTACAACGTGCACAAGCTCATCGTCTGCTCGCAGAGCGACTTCTTCGCTAACGCCATGAAGGACAACACCTTCAAGGTCCGTCCGTCCGCTCCCTCTTCCCCCACTCATCTCTCAAACCAAGCGCCCGGCCCGCTGACTCACACTCCCTTCACTCCAACAGGAAAGCCACACCTCCCTGATCCACCTCCCGGCCGACGACGCGCCCGCCGTGCGCGCCATGCTGCAGTACATGTACACGGGCACGTACGACATGCCCGTCTTCGTCGGCGCCATCGACGCCATGCTGCTCGTCCACCTGCGCGTCTACCTCCTCGCCGACAAGTACGCCGTCGGCAACGACATCGGCGCCATGAGTGCCGTCGCGTCCACGTCCAAGCAACAGCAGACGGAGTCCAACGACAAGAACGACAAGGACGCTGGTGCTTGTGCTACGAAGTCTTCGTTGAAGCTCGCCGAATTGGCGTGCGTGCGCCTCGCGGAGGATCTGGAGGGCTTGTGGGAGCTGGTGAGGCCGGCGTTTAAGCGGATCGTGAGGGAGGTGTATGCGTGCACGTCGGCGGAGAGGGACGGCGCGCTGAGGGCGGTGGTTGTCGCGGTTGCGGCGAAGCATGTCAAGGCCGTGGTTGATGATCTGGTTGACGAGGATGATGATGGTGGTGACAGCGAGGAGGGTGGTGGTGGTGGCGGCAGCGGCATTGGTGCTGCTGCTGTTGCTGCTGGCCCTGCCGATGGTGGTGGTGAGGGCGCCGAGATCAACGAGGGCGCGGCCGAGATGCAGGATGTCCTGGGCGAGTTTGGCCGCGACCTCTGCAGGGTCTTGGCCAAGGAGCGCGATGAGCTGAAGGCGCGGCTGGTCGAGGTCAGCTCCGTCGCTGCGAGCAAGTAAGTTTTGCCTGATCTGCGCGCTGCCGCGGCGTGTTGTTTTCTTGTTGAACTCAATCTTAGCTAAAAGCAGGAAACAGCGGAAGTCTCGAGACGGACAGCTCTCATGGCAGCCCTGGCAGCCCTGGCAGCTCTGAATAAGTGACGGGAAGTCCTTACTGGTTGGGTACAACGTTTCAGCTCAGACAGACAGACAGGCAGACGGGTTGACAGCTATGGCCAGTTTGAATAAGTGACGGGAGGTCCTACGGTTGGACAGTACCGTCCGTTGGTTACTAGATAGCCAGCAAGCAATCGGCGTATTGCACACACAGGCGCGTGCATCCGTGAATGAGGAAATGTTTTGTCGTGCTGCTTTGTGAGTGAGCTGAAGTAACTAACCCAAGTCTGCCTCACTATGGGCCATGGCGCCGGAGTTCGCAGGTAGTTGGGTTTCATGTCTTGGTTTGCATGTGTGGTATATCAACGGACATTCGCGTTCAACTTCTGGTTCCAACTGTTCACGACGCATGAAGAGTAGTAAACCCCCGTGCACGACGAGGGCTTAAGCCGGCATTCACGTCTTTCAACTGCTTAAAAAGGTAAGACAGTGGGAAGCGTTTGAAACGAGAAAAAACCACACAGCCGTACACTCACATCACTCATCTCCAAAATAGATAAACAAGAGATTCTCAATTCCAGCACTTGGAACAAGCACCAGCAAATACACGTACACGACCATATGGTATCACAACAAACACAATCAAAACTCCCCCCACCCCTTCCTTAGTCCTTCCAGCCCGCCCCAAAAAAAAGCATCCCCACCCTAATGCCTATCCTCCGGCCTACTCCGATGCAACCTCAACGTCGGGTCCTCCAAGCCGGGCCGGACAAACGAATAGACCCCAAAGGTCAAGCCGCAGGCGATGACGGCGACTGTGGCACATTCGACATACTCAGCTCGGGCCTGCTCGCGGGGGATGGCCAGGGCCTCGCCGCCGGCGCCGCGCGTGACGGCGTAGGGATGGTGGAAGCCGCCCGAAAAGAGGCTCGGCGCGGACGAGGACGAGGACAAGGAGGCGGTGTGGAAGGGGCGGGCAGAGGCGGCGGCGGGAGGACGCTGCTTACCCAGTGGATAGATCTCGACGGGGATGGCTTTGGCGCCTTGGCGGATGCGTTGGGAGATTGTGTGGGCTGGGAGGGGGGGATGAGTTAGTCGAGGGGTTTTTGATGTTGGGTTTGGTTTTTTTTTCTTACCGGAATGAGGGTCTCGCGGCATGTTGGAGGGCAGCTTGGGTGTTGCGTGGAACATGCGGGCGGGGCGGGCCTGGACGAGCAGGTCGACTGCGGGCCGTGCGCGGAGCATGGTGGACGAGGCGCGGGTGGCGGCGAACATTATGTAGGTGTGGAGTGGTGATTTCGATTTCGATTTCGCACGAGAGTGGAGAGGAGCGAAGAGGGGAGAGAGGAGATTAAAGGGCGAGCAGGGCTTAAATCATACACGCGAAGAGAGGAGAGAGGGGGGGCTGTATGTACAGGGCGGGGTAGGCAATGAGGCAAAGAGGCTCAAATCCCTGGATGGCGACAGGGGATTTTGCAGGCAGTCCGGGCGCGGATTTAAAGCGAGCGTTGGCGGGGGCCGGACGGGGGGTGTACCTGATGTCAGCTGAGAGAGTCGGGGCGGTTATTGGGCGCGGGGAGCGAGGGCGCGAGAGTTGGGGGAGGATTGGCGGGTGGGTTGATGCGGGCTGGTGATGCTCACACCACACTTCAGCCTGGCACCGCCCGTATCGAGCAGGGTCGTCCGACCGCATCAGCTCGACTCGGCGCGCGCCGACTGGCCGCCCGCCTCCAGATTGCCTCCAGATTGCCTGCTTCGGCCTAGCGGGCTGGCCAGCGCTGTTCGTGGAGAATCCGGGGTCGACGATGAAGCAGCTGCCATCAGCCCACGGCTGCGTCGCGCCTGCATTTCTGCTGCACCGGCCGCTTCCGACACGCCATGATCGGCGACAACTCACCACGAGCCTGCATGTCGCAATCGCCCGCGGCCGAGTGCGGCACTGGCACTGGCACAGGCACAGGCACAGGCACAGGAGAGGGAGGCAGCGTGCGTTGCAGAGTGAGGGCCGGGTTGCGTCGGGGGCTGCGGTCCAAACCCGGCCAAGAGATGAGGCCGAGCTCCGTCCAGCTCCGTCCAGCTCCGTCCAGGTCAACACCATATGATGGTGACACACTGACACCACTCTGTCGAGACCGACGACTGTTTCCGCCCATCCCGCCCCACGCCCCACTTCCGCCGCACCAGCCAATCCCCACGCGCCCATTACTGATCGGCTCGAACCTCACCCATCCAGCACCGCGCATGACGCACCTCAGGCCTCTGATACTCTAGCTGCAGCTCCCCCCGCCTTTCCCCTCACTCCAGATCCGACATAAACCTCACCAGCCAGTCCTGCCTCGCAATGAAGCTCCTGATCTTCTTGCCAAAGACCCACAGCGGCACCGTCAGTGCGCACACGCCCAAGAAGGCCGCCCCCAGCGTGTTGAACACCGCCAGCGGCCCATCCTCGGCCAGCCAGTCGTTGACAAAGTACGTCAGCCCAAACGTCAAGAGGTTGCGCGCGTTGATGGCCACAAACGCCTCCTCGGCGAGCTGCGGGTACGAGTCTGCAGCATCCAGGTCAGCAATGATGCCAAAGTCGCCGCAGCGTCAGGACCCCCACGCACCAATCACGTAGCCAAACACCGACACGGCCGCGAACGCCAGCGCCGCGTTGGCGAGCCCGTAAGTCACCACCGGGCCCATCCAGTGCGTGACGTTGTGCACCGTGAGCCCGAACCCGAAGAAGCCCACCGTCCCGAGCACCACCGTCACCACCATCAGCACGAGCCGGAACTCGGGCTCGTACACGCCGTGGTTGCGCTTCGTGAGCGCGATGCAGACGCGGTCGTTGAGCGGGCCCGAGATGACCTCGGCGATGATGGTGAGGATGAAGGGCGAGAGCCCCGTCAGCCCCGTCTGCGCCACCGTGAAGTTGTACGGCGGCTCCACGAAGATGACGCCGTTGACGACGGAGAAGACGACGATCCATCTGGTCCACACCGTGAGCCAGCCAGCCGGTTTGGCGAGGGAAAGCGAAAGACTTACGTGAGAGTGGTCCCGTAGATGAGGAAGCCCCATAGCACCGCCGGATAGAAGAATATAACAAACGGCCTCGCCATGATCTTCCACATGGGCGCCTTGGAGTACCTGCGCCCCGTCCACGGCCTCATCGTCTGCCAGTACGACAGCTTCGCCTCGTCCGCCCCCGCGTGAATCACATGTTCGATATGCACCGCGCGTCCTTCCTTGAGCCCATGGTCGCCGCCGCCGCCGCCGCCGCCGCCTCCGCCCAACTCTTCTCCATCGCTCCCCCCCTTTTCGCTTGCCAAGTTTCCCGACCCGGCGTCGCCGCCGTCGCGGACGTACGCCGTCTCCGGCACGAAGAAGACGATGCCGATCATGCTTATGCCGAAGAGGATGGCGCAGACGCCGAACGTCCACCTGTACCCCAGGTCCTCGATGATGTATCCCGATATGAAGGACGCGCCCGCGATGCCGCACAGCAGAAACAAGTTCCACACCGCCAGCCGCGTCGCGCGCTCGTGGACAAAGTATATGTCCGAAATGGTAGCCTGGACCAGGACTTCGTACGGCGCCATCCCTGTTCGAACCAGAAAAGAAAAAAACACTCCATCAGCATCATCATCCTCAAAAAAAAAAAAGAGGTCACCCCCAACACAACAACGACAAAAACACCAAGAACAAGAACAACAAAAAACTCACCAATCCCACCCACAACCCTACTCCCCAAAAACGAGCCGTACCTCTCCGCGACGGCGCCCCACACGCTGACGCCGAACAGCACCGCGATGGCGGCCACGTAGACCGGCCGCTTCCCGTACGCCTTGGCCACCGGGTTGATGAGGAAGACGCACAGGCCCAGCGTGAGGATCAGCCACGCCGTCGACTGCGACAGCGTGTTGACCGACACGCCCAGCTGCCGCGAGATGGGCACGAAACCGGGCCCCAGCATCGGCCCGTAGGCGCCGACGACGCCGGCGGCGAAGGCGACGATGAGGAGGATTGCTGGAAGGTGATAGAGATGGGGGGGAGTGGTTAGTGTGTGTTTTTGTTTTTGTTTTGGTCGCGTCATACACGTCGTGGAAAATAGCGACGAGTGCGGGCGGGGAGGGGGGGGGGGAGGCTGACTATCTTTTTTCCAGAGCGGCCAGTTTAGCGGGTCGTTGGGCGAGTCGGAGGGCTGGGGGACGAGCAGGATGTGTGAGTGTTTTCCGGTTCCGTGCTTCAGGTGGTCGGCTGGGACGTCTTGGAGCTCGGGAGGCAGGTCGGATTGGTCGTTCATCAACGCTGCAACATGGCACTTGGACGTCAGCACACTCGATCTTCATTCGCTTCACCGCCAACTCTTTCTTCTTCTTCTTTTTGGACGATGGAAACTGAAATGATGGATGGGGGGACGTAGGTGACGAACCCGTTCCCGGCACCACCTCCATCTTATGGTCTTCCAAAATCCCAAAAGGCATGATGAGCGGAAAGGGCGGAGGAGTCCACGTTCAGTACGTATATCGCGAGAAGAAAAGGCCGTCGAAAAATAAAAAAGATAGGGGGAAGATGGAGACTGATCGCGCCAAACAACCACTCGAGGACGTCGACGTTGTGCTGGCTGTCAAGCGAGGAAATGGACCAGAGCGAGTATTATAAACGGCACCGCGCTGCGCTGCGCTGCGCTCATGCGCTAAGCCGCAAGGTATAGGCAGCAAAAGTGCCGCAGCAGCAACGACCCGGCACTTGATAGCTTGCAGCAATTGCCGTTTCATGGTCTTGCCCATCACTTCCCGTCCGAGGCGCCCAGCTAGTGTGACGTCTAGTAGCATGTGGCGCTAAGCCCATGGGGACGGCGGGTATGTATGTCGTTAGTGTCGTGCGGGGGAGGAGCAAGGGAAGGCGGGAGGGCCATCGGGTGGCGGTTTACGTGGGGTAGGAAAGTGGGAACAATCGAGGGGGTGGGGATTGTTGCAGGGGGTGGACGGGAGCGGTTGGACGTGTGATAGCCGCTCGGTCTATTCTTTTTCTTCTTCGTCGTGGGTAGCGTGTTCTGTATGGAAGTTGAAGGTTTCAAGGCTGGAGAACCACTGGTCTAAAGCACAGCGTTATTCCCTATTCCAAGCGTGGTCGACTCGATAGCTCCCCTGTCCGTCCCCCCGGGCGACTTTGGAAAAGTATATCCATACATCCCTACACCGACCCCCATCGTAAGCTATAATTAACGAAGCGCGAGAACAACCCGAGCAACGTGTCTTAGCGCTACAACGACGCCCCTCCCACTGCTATCTATTGACCCACAGCTCATCTAAACCACACATACCAAACCGGCTCCACCAACCCAGATCAGAAAGACACCACCACCACCACCACCACCACACCCGCCCCATACCAACCCACCCCCATCAATCACGCCTTCCCCCCCTCCCCCTTCTCCCCCTCCGCCCCACCCATCCCAGTCCCCATCCCACCCCCCTCCCCAAACGCCCCAAACCCCCCCAACACCGCCATCGCCCCCCCCTCCGCCTCCCTCGTCACCACCTCCGCCCTCCCCCCACTCCTCGGCCTCAGCACGCACGCGAACCTCCTCGGCCGGATGTTGAACCCGTCCGTATACGCCATCGGATCGTACACCGCCCCTTCCACCCCCGCGACGTCAAACGCCCACAGCAGCCGCGCCAGCGCGACGAAGACGCCGTTGGCGGCGAGCCCCGCGCCCGGGCAGATGCGGCGGCCCCAGCCGAAGCTGGAGTGGCCGGGGGAGGTGGGGCTGGAGTTGCTGGGGTGCGGGAGGAGCGGGGTGAGGGAGGCGGGGCGGCGGGCGGGGTCCGGGTGGAAGCGGAGGGGCTCGAAGAGGTGGGGGTGCGGGTAGTAGTCGGGGTGGAGGTTGATGGCCCAGGAGTTGGCGAGGACGGTGGTGTGGGCGGGGATGTGGTAGGTTTGGGTCGTTCGGCGTCCGCTGGGCTTGTCGCCGTCGCTGTCGCCGTCGCCGTCGCTGCTGGAGGAGGAGGAGGAGGAGGGGTAAGGCGGATAGATGTCGTGGTCGACGACGACGTCGTCGGCGGCGGTGGTGGCGTGCGGCGTGCCGCCGAGCACGGCGACGGGCCGCCAGCGGAGGACTTCCTTGACGAGGGCGCGCATGTAGGGGAGGCCCGGCTCGTCGGCGAAGGTGGGGAGGCGGTCGGGGCCGACGACGGCGTCGAGCTCGGCGTGGGCGGCGGCGAGGACGTGCGGGTGGGTGACGAGGGCGAGGAGGGCGGTGCAGAGGGTGGAGGCGGTGGTGTCGGAGCCGGCGCCGAAGAGGGAGGCCGGGAGGAAGGAGAAGTCGCGGTCGCTGAGGAGGGAGGAGGAGGATGACGACGACGCGTCTGGGTCCTTGGCGCGGAGCTCGAGGAGCATCTTGCAGAGCGAGTTGGGCACGGGGTGGGCTGGGGAGGCGCGGCGCATGTCCTGGCGCACGACGTCGACGAGGGCCATGTTGGCGGCGGCCTCGCGGGCGCCGTGGGCCTTGATGTCGGCCTTCCACGGCGCGAGCCAGTCGGGCACGTACTTGAGGGCGGGGAACGTCTCGACGAGGTAGCGGCCGGGCACGTTGAGCGAGGCGCTGTACTGCATGAATTCGAAGCGCTGGCGGATGACGTCGGCGTGCAGGCTGTCGATGCGGTGGCCGTAGGCGACGCAGAAGACGACCGACGCCGTGAAGCGCTCGATCAGCTTCTCGAAGTCGGCCGGGGCCGTGAGCAGCTGCGCGCACAGCCGGGCCGCCTCGGCCTCCTGGACCGGCTTGTAGAGCTGCAGCGCCTTGGGCGTCAGCGCCTGGTGGAGCAGCTTGCGCCGCGCCGACCACGCCTTGCCGTACGGCTGCACGAGGATGCTGGCGTTGTCCCAGAGGAGCTCGCCCATGGCGACCATGCGCGGGCGCGACGAGTACTTGTTGCTTCGCTTCTCCAGCAGTTCAGCTGCAAGCCGCGGGTCCGAGATGACGACCGTGGGCCGCCTCCCGATCCAGAGGGTGAAGATGGGGCCGTACACCTTGGCCCACTCGGTGAATTGGAGCCATGGCTGCGACTTGGGGAGCTGGTGCTTGTTGCCGATGAAGGGCAGAGGCGGCGGGCCGGGGGGCATGCGACGCCAGAGCGCGATGTCATGCAGGACAGTCAAGACGAGCGGCAGGAGGATGAGGAAGAAAAAGGAAGGCCAGAGGTAGGAAGAGCTGAAGCTTGCGGGCGAGAAAGCATTGAGCGCCATGTTGGCGAGCTGAGGCCTCGTCCCAGCCGGACTGGAATCGAGCAGGAGGGAGTAAGGTAGCTGGAGGACTCACTTGACCTGTGTGGGTAGAAGTCGCACACCTCGGTAGCTGCGCGACGAGAGACGAGGCTGTTCGGCAGTCGCAGCCTGCCCCACCATGCGCACGCATCATGATACGTATCCGACGCCGCTGTCTGTGCGGACGCATCCGATGGCAGGGTAGCGTTAACCCAACCGGGCCAAGCGTTAGATGCGGCGGTAGGCCTTGCAGTCAAGCCATGATTCAGTCGCAATCACTTCCTTGTCAGCAGAGGAGCGGAGAGCACGAAGTGTTGTCCGGATAAGAAGCCGTTTGTTCGCGGGGCGTGCAGGGATGTGGGGTTGGCCGGCTGTGGGGAAGTCCAAGCTTTCCCATTCCATCACCTCCTGCTCCGGCACAATTCATCCGACTCAGCCATCCAGCCTTGCTAGTGACAGTCCCTGACCCGCCCCTGGTCCAGCCCAAAAGCCACCTAGGCCATGTCGTCGTCGTCGGCATTTCCGCATCGGCAAGGAAAGTCCCATGTCCAACGCCCCCGTAGTCGACATGCGGGGCCCCGCATTCTGGTCGACGCGTGTCGCGACTTCTCTTACCTATGACCCGAGTGATATCTTGCTCTGCGCCCTCACTGACTCGTTGTCTCTAACCACACCATCTCTCTCTCCCTCTCATACATCCCGCGCCCCTCTTCCCAAGCCCATGAAACCAAACGAAACCAAACAAAAACAACCCAAACACGCAACAATGTCCCCACCACCACCAACCCCCCACCCCCAAACCCCCCCGCCCCAAACCCACCCCAGCACCACCGTCCTCATCATCGGCGCCGGCTTCGCCGGCCTCACCGCCGCCATCGAATGCGTCCTCCACGGCCACGCCGTCACGCTCCTCGAGTCCTTCGCCACGCTCGCGCCGCTCGGCGACATCATCTCCTTCGGGCACAACGCGGGGCGCGTGTTCCGGCGGTGGCCGGGCGGCGTCGAGGGCGCGCTGGACGCGATATGCCACCGGTCCGAGGAGCTGGTGTTCAACCGGTTCGACGGCGAGCACCTGATGACGCAGGTGTGGGAGGAAGAAGGAGGGCTGGAGCGGGGAGGGGGCAAGAAGTTCAACGGGCATCGGGGAGAGATTCATCGGGTGGTGTGGGGGTGTGCGGTGGGGTTGGGGGTGGACATACGGTTGGGGAGGCGGGTGTGCGAGTATTTCGAGGATGCGGAGGAGGCGGGTGTGGTTGTTGAGGAGGAGGACGGGGAGGGCGAGGATGAGGGCGGGAGGAAGAGGAAGAAGAGGACGCGGTACGTGGCCGACGTGGTGCTGGCGGCGGATGGCGTGCGGTCGACGGCGCGGGCGGTCGTGCTGGGGCAGGAGGACAAGCCGAAGAGCTCTGGGTATGCGATTTGGCGCGCTTGGTTCCCGTCGGATGAGTTGGCGCGGGATCCACTGACGAGGCACCTCGTCGTGAACGGGGATACGCATACGGGATGGCTTGGTGAGTTGCAGCAGCAGCAGCAGCAGCAGCAGCAGCATCATACGCGCCTTATCCACCACACCTCCTCTCGTCCCCCTTCCCAATAACGACTTTCTAACACAACATCAGGCCCAGATGTCCACTTCCTCGCCGCCTCAATCAAAAACGGCACCTCCTTCAGCTGGGTCTGCACGCACAAAGACACCGACGACGTCGTTGAATCGTGGTCCGCGCCCGGTTCCATCACCGACGCCCTCGCCCTGCTCGACGGCTGGAGCCCGACCGTCCGCGCCATCGTGCGCCACACGCCGCCGGACCGCCTCGTCGACTGGAAGCTCGTCTACCGCGACCCGCTGCCGACCTGGGTCTCGCCGAGCCACGGCCGCATTGCTCTGCTCGGCGACGCCGCGCATCCGTTCCTGCCGACGTCCATCCAGGGCGCGAGTCAGGCCGTCGAGGATGGCGTGACGATAGCTGTGTGCTTGGAGCTTGCGGCGAAAGAAGGTGGGGGAAAGGGGGATGTGAGGGAGGCGCTGTTGGCGTATGAGCGGATGAGATATGAGCGCGTGCGGGCGGCGCAGAAGACGGGCGAGACGACGAGAGATCGGTGGCATAAGGCAGATTTTGAGAAGGTCAAGGAGGAGCCCAAGGCCATCAAGCTGCCGAGGGAGGAGTGGTTGTTGGGCCATGATGCCGAGGCGCATGCGTATGCGGTGTATGCGGAGACGGTGGAGCAGATACGGAAGGAGGCCAAAGAAGTTCCTGACGTTAGGTCTTTGTTGTAGATAGATTCCATAGCCACCATCGATATGTTGAGGCGGTACTTCGAAGGAATTTGGAATCCTCACTTTTGCCTTCTTCGCCGTCTCTTTCACTTCGCAACTCACACCTTCCTCAAACTGCAAGACTCCCGCACGGCGCGCCGTCGCCCCAAACGGCCAGGGAAAAAGGATAGGGTGCCAATGGCCTCGCGCGAGCGCCTTGTAGAGAGTGACTGTTCAACTTTCCAAAAGCCCTGCCAAGTGGAGCTCAAGGTCGGGCGCATCTCTCGTGGCATCGTCCGCCCAAAACTTCCTGCCCGAATATTCCACCCTGTGCGGCGCCCGTACCTGCTGACCCATATTTACCACCATCGACTTGCGAATATTGGGCTCCAATGTTCCAATCTACGTCAACACCCTGAAGCTTTGACGATGCGCCGCCTGGGGGTGGTTTGTTGGAAGGCAGACCTTTGTGGCAATTCAACCAGCAACTCTTCCATAAGTTGCAGAGTATGTCCTGACCAGCCCTTGTAGATTGTCCCAGAACGAATTCCTTGTCGACACCGTCATTGTCTGTGCAGACGGCAAAAAAAAAAAAAAATCGCATCCCACAGCACTTGGCTTCTCAGTAGCGGCTTCGTCCTGGGAGCATTCAAGTCGAATCTGAAGGTGAGTGTGATCTTGTGCAGGAGATCCGATGTTCTCGTAGCGCTGACTACTCGAAGTCCCAGGAAGCTAGCACCAAGCGTTTCGTGTTCGAGAACAGCTCTATGCTTCCATACCTCAATCGCGACCACGATGTTGTCAACCGCATGGTGGAGCCCATGTGTTGCGGCACCTACATCGAGGACGATAAGGAAGAAGCCATAGACAAGACAGTCTGTCGTCACATCGATCTCTCTGTCTTAGCGGACTATTACATGGTCGATGGCCTCACGGAATGCGGCATGGATAGAGTTCGCCTGGTGCTGGACGACTGGAAAGAGGTGAAGTCAGCTTTATCCACGATCATCAGCGCTGCTTACGGCAAGCTCGAGCCCACCGTCTCAAGTATCCGGGCTAGGATTATCGATATCGTTGCGGTGCAGTTGGGCGAACTCAAGACCGACAAGGTCTTCTGTGACTTCCTCAAGACCTTGGGAGAATTCTGCACAGATGTGATGTGCAACAGGAATTCGAAAAGGCCAGACGTCACACGGGGGATCAGAACATGGTGCGAGTTCTGCAACAAAAAAAATCTCTGGTGGAGCTTGTTGATGACCACACGCCTGCTCATTGCACCCATTGTGGCGAGAAAACCTTCAACAAGGCCTTGAAACACCGCGCTAAGTAGTGTCTCATCTATCTCGACACCCTGAATGCGAGCTGGAGTGATATCAAAATGAGTGTCTAGAGAGGGCCAATGACTAACCTTTCCAAGCTTTGTAGGAGCTCCCGGCGCAGATAGCTTCAACACACTAGATTGAAAGACCCTTACAAACTCCCCGCCAGAGGGCGACGAAAGAAATACGGCGATCATTTGTGTGGGCAGTTGAAACAAGTATGTTGACGTAGATGTGGGTTGATACAACCATTGTTCATAAGCAGCTGAAGCAGATATCCGGCTGTAAATGGGCGAATGGAAACTGTACAAATGAAGCCAGATATACGATTCCACTACGCATGTAGGCGGGCTGGTTTCTCTCTTCACCGACTATGCCGCCCTCATACTTGCATATTACAGTCTTAGGCGAGTGGCCTCATCAGGTAGTTAATGAAAGCCCGGCCTAGCCGTCACAATCACGAAAGGTCGGACAAGCGAACGAGTTCGCCACATACTGCCGAGAGAGCCAAACGCCTGTGCGTTGGATTTCTGACACTGTGGCGAGAGAGCATGATGGGGGAAACAGGTCGACGTTCAGGTATCGGTCAAGATCGTCAACTTTCCAGCGATAAAGCCTGTCACGCAATGGTCATCAGAATGTCCCAAACTGTGTGGTTTGCCTCATTGGCGGCGAATCCTCATTGCAGGAAAAGAAGCAAATGGAGCCGAGTAACGTCGGGAGCTCCATTGAGAGGCTTGCGTTCGCATTCGACAATGGCGCGTGGAGACTAATTTAGTCGGTGAGGAGCTTCCAGCTCAGCGTTGACGTGTTGAAGGATTGTAGCGACTTTGCGGCGATGTAGGCGTCATTCTCTGATCTGGAGATCAAATCCGGTGTGGAGCCTGTAGATCAAGGCGGTAGAAACAACAGGATATCTCGCAACCGAAACGCCGGGTAGCTGATCAACTACTATGGTGAGCGTCCGCGTATCATTCCATCGTGATCCGAGCCACGCCACAGACCCACAGATACCGTTGACAGATGTGGGGTTAAGCGACCTTCTGGCACCATCGGCTCCGGTGTGAATAACTGGACCAGCAAGTATGGGAAAAGATGAGCGGGGAGGACCGTCCTGAATGCCGAAGGTCAGGGAACACAGCAGGCCGGCCAACGCAGGAACAGCGAGTCGTCCTGCCTCTGGCATTCTCTCCACCGCGGAGGGGGCGCCATTCCGGTATGCTTACGAGGCGACGGGGCGGTCAGGCGCGGTGGACATCCGTGGAGACAACGAAGGACGATGGGTGCCTGCATCGATGATTGGTCAGTACTCGATATTCCCGTGAAGAAATCATCCTTTATCGCGTGGCAAGGGCTCTTAGACACTGGTTTTGACTGTTGTGCGACCAACTGCCGTTTGTGGCAGCGCGCACGAAGGCAAAGACTGAAGGAGAGGTTACACAACATAAATGCATGGAGGAACGAAAGAAGGCGATTAAGCCGTGTTGCAAAGTAAGCTTGAAGCACGAGGCTGCCAGCAGTTCGGGCAGCAATGTGCAGCATGGCGGTCGATTCTGCAGCTAGCAGCGGGAAAACGCCAATCTCGACCCGAAGGCGATATGATTGTCCTCCAGGTGATCTATCCGTACGTGTTGCAAACACATGGCCTGCTGCACTCCTTCAAGTCGCAGTCTACCGACTCGCGCCCCATCCGGCGGAAGATTCTTGTTCGCCGTTGGAGCGGTGTCGTGGCTCAGCTAGTCTGTGTTGGGGGAGAGCGAGTCATTGGCCTGCAGACCAGCGAAGTCCGCTTGACGTCAACAGCTCGAAGATGCGCTGATAATTGTAGATCCCGCAACCCTGCTCATGAGATTGCGCAAACGCGGATGGTCGAGACCCTTTCGAGCATTCAAAGCCAAATCCAACGGCCCGCAGCAAGGGTCCAGCGCATGCCGACGAGCCTCGAGCCTGCCGCAGAGGGGACCCTGACGATGCTGCGGTGAGAGGAGAGCGGGTCAAGGGATTCTACGGGTTGTCAGGTGGTCTGCAGCTTCTCCTCGTGGGTCGTGGCGACGTGGTCCGGAATGCCAGGTCCCGCAGTAGTTGAAGCTGCAAATGTTGCCCGATTGGTGAGTGGTAGTCTTTGGAACTGCGCAGCAATGTCCGTAGGCATGGGGTAGATGCGGGTTTGCGGCACTTGGCACATCAACTCCAGGGCCTGCAGACGAGTACGCAGACGAGCTGGCGGATGACCAGATTCAATCTGAGCACGCACAGAAGGTCGAACGCCACGGACAAGGCCCTGGGGCGGATTCTGTCTCCATCTGATGCGTGTCCTCGCAGGACGCTTCTCTCTTGGCCGCCGCCGCCGCGCTGCATGTAGCTGGTGCTACGGCTTGTCCCCACATATGATCTTAGGATTAGTAGAAACGCCGTTCTGCCGAGCAATGGCAAGTGTGGGAAAGCAGCCAATGACCATATATGGAGAATCTGGAGGATGGAGAGATGCGCATGCCCTTTTCAGTAAGATTCTCATCATTCGCCTCTGCGGAGGATGCCATGGCCACCGCGACGCTGGCCGGACGCCCGCCTCATCTGGACGCGGACGCTGACCGGCGGAGCGCCAGGCTCATAGTGGAGATTACAGATGCACACCCCTCCACAACGGCAGCAGGGTCGAGAGCGTCGAATGTTGAAACGTCGAGCCGAAACAGCATGGAGACCGATGTGGAGTCCTGCTCAAGTCGCTGAAAAGCCCGTTCGCCAATCCGTGAGGGATTATTTCCTCAGGGCGGATGGCACAGGTAGGGCTGGCCACACTGCGGACGAAGCCGCGCGACATCAGAAGGGCCGTGTCAGGAATTGGCCGCGGATCCGGGCCAGCGCCAGAAGGTAGGTAGACGAATGGCAGGGATGCGCCGATCGCCCACTTGGCTGAGCGTGTGCTGCACCAGCACACAGACACAGCAGGCGGGCGTAAGCCTCACTCGTAGTACACGCAGCAAGGTTCCCTGGACCTGAAGCAGGAGGGGACAGGCCGTGGCCAAGCAGCGCGTTTAGCCGAAGCGCCGACCGGACGGCGCGGCGGGCGTGTGGGCAGGCGTGTGGGCAGGCGGCTGCGTTTCGCGGTGAGACGCAGTAGCTCGCTGGCGCTGGGGCGGCGGGAGGAGAGTTGGCGGACTGAGGGTGCACCGAAACGAGCGCGAATGGGGAGGCGGGCTTCGACAGGCCGGAGGCTAGTCGCGGACTGACGTAATTGGCCGGCATCAGAGGCAGCCGCGCAGGCTTTCATCATCACCGCCCGACGCTTCAAGCGCAAGCACAACCTACTTTTTCCCCGCGCTGCTGCTCCAGTGCACCGCCCCATACCGCACCGCGTCTGCAGAATTCCGCGATCTTCGGCCTGCCGCCGCTCCACCGTACACGAGACCCCGATCCTCCGCCACTACTCGTTGGCCCGCGCCCGAGCCTTATCCTTGCCCGCCTGGCGCATTAGCTACATTGCACGGCCATCGGGTTGCCATCACGTCGAGTAGGGCTATCGCTCGCGCGCTTCATGTAAGGCCCGCACTCAAGTCCGAACCCTGAAGCTGCGGCCAGCCGGCCTGCTCCACTCTAGAGCCTGCGAATATCTCCTCCGCCTAGCGCACTGAATAAAAATTGTGAGGCCCCTCCCACCCTCCAGAGCGCCTGGCGCCTGAGTCCTTTCGAAGCCCCCATTGCGGCGCTGAAGCTGACATGGCAGTCCGTAGCCCAAGCACCTGCCGCCCGGCATCCGAAAACTATCCCTTCAACAGGCGCCTCTCCCTGCCCATAACCCAGCCCTTTCCGCTCGCCCACGGACACGGGAAGCCGCCATCCGTGCCTTGCCGCACTACTACAATCCAGTATACCCCGCCGCACCCCTCCAGCCTCAACCCCGCCTCTCCGCGACATCAAAACATGGAGCCGCGTTACTACAGGTCCTCCTCGCCGGGAAGCCGTCGCATACACAATCCTGGTCGAGCAACAACAGGCTCCTTCAGCTCTTATGACACCTACCACGACCCCTACAGTAGGTCGCCACGGTCAAGCGGCGACCGCATCGCACCCTCGTCCAACACCTCGAACTATTCGACTGCGCCGAGCGCTGCCACGCGAGCCAGTGCGGGGTATGATGCATACACTGGCAGGCCGCGTAGCTCCACACTCGAAAACTCACGGCGGCCAGCGAGCACCCTGGCTGCTGGCGTGCCAATTCGCACCACTACTCACAACACCGTGGTGCACGCTCATGATCGACCCTCGAGTCCGCTGACTCGGGGCCACGATAGCCGCGGCAGTGCGTATACCGTTGCGACTGCCACCGCTCCCGTGGCGAGACCATCATCCAGACAAGGCCACAGCCATGGACACAAGAAATTCTACAGCATCGATGATGGCAAGGCCGTAAGAGTCGACCCGCGCGAGGCAGACCTCCTCCGTCGCCACAACGGCAACGCCAGCAGCAACGGCCACAGTAGCAGCAACGGCCACAGCCGGTCATCTTCGAAGACTTACCACACGACCACTCAGCGTTATCCCGTGCAGGACACGGTTGACGAAGGCTATTCGTACACGGATGCTGCTGGCATGTACCGAGATACGGAGCCCAGCTGGCGTCCTCGCTCAGGGAGCGTGGAAAGCCGCACAAGGCGGCCGATGAGCATGGTTGAGCCCTATGGTCCTCGTTCATCGGCCCGCGATCTTACTGGACCACCTGTTACCACTCGAGGCTTTGACAAGATCAATGGCGGTATTGCAGCTGCATCTGCGGTTGGCCGCAGTGGAAGTGTCAGAGATTACGGCCATGCGCGAGCCTCGTCACGCGATCGATCACACGAGAAAGCCGGTACTGGTGATTCGTATTATCGCGATGAAAGCTTGTACGCGCCGCCACCTCCGCGCTCAGCGTCTGTACGGGCAGCGCCGGCCCTTCATCAAGACTTCAACGATAGGCGAGATGATCGTCGCGATGATCGCCGCGATGACCGCTATGGCTACCGTGATGAGCATGAGGACCGAGACCGCCTTCGGACAACCCGGCGTTATGAGGATCCCGACGTTGAAGCGAGGGGCTTCGGCATCAGAGCACCTAGTGTTGGTCGTCCAAGCAGTGTTGGTCCTGGGAACGATCCTTACCACTCGACTCGCGATGAGATCCTCGACCGGCGATATGCACCACCGCCACCCCCTCCATCCGTTCCGGTCTATCCTCTCGACGCTGGAATTTCTGTACCGAGTGCCCGCGATTACATTCCGGATGCTCCACGCTCAGCACGGTTAGAGTCTGAGCGTCACGGCAGAGACTACAGGGACTTTGAGCGGGATCGCGTCAGTGACCGGAATGGCGATCGCGATTGGGATCGACCAAAGGGCTATGACCGGGAGCGCGACCGCGAAAGGGACCGTGAGGACCGCCGCGACGACCGCCGTGAGGACCGCCGCGAGGATCGCCGCGACAGAGACACTCATATCCCAAGCGTTGTCCCAGCTGCTGCCGCCGCTGTCGGAGCCGCCTATGGCGCTCAGCATCTTGCAGAAAGTGCCGCGGTGCGTCACCAGCGGGATCGTGAAAAGGAACACAGAAGCGATTCCGATGATGAAAAGAAGCGGCGACGAGAACACAGGAGCGATTCCGACGAGGAGAAAAAGCGGCGCTCTCGGAAGCCCCCATCTGATGATGGCGAAGCCCCTCGCGAGCGACACTACGTCGACAAGGATGATGTCAAGGACCGAGAGGACCGTCGGCAGGCTCCTCCCAACATCGATCCAGATGAAGAATACCGACGCCGTCTCCAGCAGGAGATGGAGCGCTCGGCTGGCTCAGCCCGCGACAGGGATAGCGAGTCTGATCGAGAGAAAGAGCGTCGTAGACGCGATAGAGACCGGGGCGAAGCTCCTAGGGACCGCGCACCCGATACTGCCGCTCGTGATGTCTCTCGACCGGACCGTAATGGAGACCTTGTACCGGACCAGAAGCCAGATCGGAATAGCGAACGCAGCAACAGTGTCTTTGGCGAACCCATAGTGGATGAGCCAACCTCGCTGTCCGTATCGGAGGAGAAAGAGCGAGACAGCCGTGTCCGCATTGTGTCGCCCCCGAAGTCCGATAAAGACTCTCCACCTCCTCCAAGGGGTATCTTGCGCAAGCCAACTGAAAAGTTTCCCGAGGACCCAAATCCCATCCGCGAGGGAGTCGCACCTATGAAGGATGCGAAAAAGGGAAAAGACATCCCCGTTGACGCTCGTTGGACCAAAATCGATCGCCGGCTCGTCAATCCCGAAGCACTGGAGGAGGCCAAGGAAAGGTTCGAAGAGAGGAAGGACTGCGTGATTGTGCTTCGCGTCCTCACGCGCGAGGATATCCAGAAGCTTGCGGATCGCACAAGAGAGATCCGTGAAGCCAGAGGTAATTACCCACCTGATTCTGCTGCGCTTTATTCGTCATTTTTCGCGGACTCGAGGCAATCTCTCGCACATTCCTCGTCAGGGTCATCGTCGGGCAGCGATGCCCGAGGCAGAGGCCGAGATGACGCACATTCCTCTGAGCACAAGCACCACCGCAAGCATCGCTCTCGCAGTCATCGTCGGCATGAGGATGAGGAAGAAGACAAGCATCATCCTCATCACCATCACCAGCACCAGCACCAAGATGCGGACCCCATTTCTTCTGCTTTATCCGAGGGTTCCGAGAAGTTGTCGAAGTCCAGAGCTTTGACCGGCATTCTTGACACTGTTATCGATGTGCTAACGCGCCCCAAAGAAGAAGAATACCAACGTGGAAGCGGTGAAGATCGTGACCGCGACCGGGACCGCGATCATGAACGTGAACGCGAACGCGATCGTGGCGAGCACCGCAGCAGCCACCGCTCCTCCCGACGCAAGCACAGAGACAGGGAGGACGACGATTCACTCGAGAGTAACGAGGAAGATGACGACACCAAGGAGAGACGCCGAGCTCCTCGCATGATCGAACCGTCGAGGGAGCCGCCTGAGGATTTCCGCGAGAGGGACCGGGAGCGCCAGCGCGAGAAGGAAAGAGAAAGGGAATTTTGGGTCGATCCGTCGAGGCAGTGATTTCATGAGTCAGCCATACGAGGGCATAGTGGGAAACCTGTCACGCGCTGTTTAGGACGCTTAGAGCCGGATACGTGCGTTCACTGATGAGGGTGGATTGGATCATATCTCTCCTGCTGGCTTCGGGAGCACGCATGTTATAGCAGGAGCTGGAGCCCATGTCGCAGGCGGGACGGGAAGGGACATGAGAGACATGGGATACTTGGATGGGCTAAGGAGGGGTGTGGGAGAGCGTTACTGGATCTTTGTTGTGTGTTTCTTGACGAAAGCGAGGCATTGGAGACGGAGAGAGCTTATGGATGCATATGATTCTTGCGTTAGAAGAGAAGGGTATTTTCTTTCTTCTTATTTTCTGTCTCTCATTCTCGCAATTTCGCGGGTTCCTTTGATATCATCTCCTTGTGTCTGGGGTCGCTCAATGGTGAGCTGGCTGGCTGGCGCTGTGCGTTCGCCTCTTTGATGTTTGGACGGCTAAGAGGGGTGGAGTAGGTAGCGGTAAGGACGGACGGGAGTACAACAGGGCCACGAGACTATACCTTCTTCGTCTTTTTCTCTTCTCTAAGTATACCTGTTTTGTTTCTTCGAATAAGAGACTCAAGCATAGCGATGAAGATCTTTTTTTCGTCTTCTTCAAACTGTTCTTCCCTGTTGTTGCGCGATTCCCCATATTGCGTGCTCTTACTATCTTCATGCAGATGAAATTTCAAAGTCGTACAAGATGATGGAGATCGGAAGAGCAAGCACGAGCAACCCGTTTGCATGTACAGCGTCAAAAGAAATTATGGGACGACGACGGGCATGACGCGGTTACTAGCATGACGCAAGCTATAGATAGATGTTCCTACTCCTCCCTCTCCTGCGTGCCGGCCTGCGGACTTCGGGAGCTCTATGTCGATGTCTGTTTTGTTTATTATTGCAACAAGGACAGAGTAATCGACGCTCCTCTCTCTCTCTCTCTCTTTCTCTCTCTATGCATTGATATCCAATCGGAATGCACACACTTGGACTGGCTGGCCACCTTCTCTTTCCCGTTGCCACATTAAGTAAGCGATCGATCCTTCCGGAAGGTAGGAGGGCAAATGATGACGAGGAGACAATTCCACACCCTTGTGACATCATATATCGTGTATACAGTACGCTTCCCACACCGCTACGAAATAAGAGGGGGGGCGCCACGCCCATGCCGTGCAGCAGCTAGCCTAGCGCTGTGCTGCTTTAGTCGTGGGAGCAACGCGATTGGTTCCGCAGATCCCCTCACTGTACAGAGAGGAGAGCAACGCGATTGGTTCGGCCGCGTATCACCTCACTGTGCAGATGCAGAGAGGGGAGAACACGTGGTGATGGTGCTTCTCGCCCCCCTCCCTCCCTCCCTTCCTGCTTACATTCTTTTCTGTCTGCTCTTTCCTCAACATGCGTGATGCTTCCTTTTGCGCTCTACGTCCGAGTGATGTGAGGGGCTTTTTTTTTTTGCGTCACTATGCAGCAGGTGGTGTGATTTTTTGCTATCTAGTGACACAGGGCTAGCGCGACGACTACGGGAATCCTACGAGTATTGGAGTTAAATTCGGTGGTATCGTGGTGGCGATGTGATGGGTCAGAATTGGCATTGGGTCACAGAAGAAAAAGAAAAACAGCTGGCTGTCAACTTTCGGCTTCGGCGCTTATCTGTATAGTGACGCAGGGCAACAGCGGCGGGAGTGAAAGCCGGTTCGACGGGTCTCAGAGACACTTCTTTCCTGAGCTGAGGGGGCCGGGTGTTATCGAGCAATGTTGGCTTTTCACGTTGCAAAAGGCGTGCGTGGATGACGTTTTGGTAGGCGTACAGGGCGCGGATCTGCGACGGTCGAGGGGGCGAAGGGTAAGCGGGGCGTGTTTGTGGATGCCATGTGGTCGGGCGGTGGCGATTGGTTGGAGATGACGATGCTCTCGGGGCCAGTGGCGGCGGGTTGCTTTTGCTACTTTGCGTAAATTTAGGGAAGGGAAGCTCCGGATTGGAAGAGGTAGGGGAGTGTGGCGGGCTGGAAGGGCTGCGGTGTCGCTCTTGATTTGAGGGGTTTCGAAGTGTTACGTCTTCGTAGGAATGGGATTTACTGGTGTTGTGGCCGCGATTGGTCTGCGTTGCACTGTAGACATCAGTGGATTGTGTTGGGTACTAATCAGAACGATACCTTCAACCTTGACTGTCAAATAAGCATGCCGCTTGGTCTGCGTCCCGTACAGTGTTCCCAAATTAGTACTTGTCGCAAAGGTCGACACAAGTTCTACATAGCATTGGGCTAAGCGCTTACCTTTCGAGGCTGGAACCAACCATACATCGAGTAAAGGTCAGCAAAAACCTCGATGTTGACTCGAGCTGGCCAAGCGGGAAGTGTGAAAACGTCTGACTGACGTAAATAAATGGCTTGACCTTCAAAAATTAGTAACAGCAGCAGTACTTCATGGGAACCCAAGCCCTAAACCAGTGTATTACTGACGATGGCCGGCAGACTCATATCAAGCGAGGCCAAACGGAGACCTGTTCTCAGTCGAGACAGATTTGTTGAACCGCATATTGTGTAAAAATAGTGGAAGATGTGGTGTCGGCGCCATGTATTCATAACGGTGGTGTAAGCATAAATTTGAGTGAAATGTATGCGAAGATAATCAGATTATCAGCCGATTTCACGAAGCCCGGGCTAAGATGGACGACATCTCGAGATTAAGGAATATGACAGATATTTGAGGAAAACTTTCATAGTTTCTTGTAAAGCAGCTCTTCGGGAACATTGGATGAGACTGGAGTGTGAGACGTGGTCGTTGGCGTTGAAATGATTGTAATGGAAAAGCAGAGGGGTTCCACGAGTTGATCTGCAAGCACAGCAACTGGAGTTGACCACAATCAGATTGTGGCGTATGAAGTGAATTGAAGTAATTGGTATCATTAACTTTTACTAAGGCAGCGGAAGGAAAGATGTAGACCCTTCTATGATTCAAACGGTGTAGTGCGTTCTTAGGCATCGATGCTTGGAGATGTTCAGGGCGGAGTCCACTACCATGGACCAGGTGGCATCGTCAACAGCGCCAAGAAATGCTCCCATGACTCCAGAGGTTACCGTAGATATGATACAGCAGGTAGGCTCGTTTCGATTTCGCACAGCCTTAGAAACCAGGCGGGTTGAGACGCTGGGATACTCTGGTCCACTTTGGAAGCTCTGCACTGCTTATTAGCCACAGGCTGCAGCACGGACAATGGCTCTTCCGAGAACAGGAACGGTTTGGGTATCCACATACTGTGTATTCCCTTCCTGTACTTCTTCTCATAGCGGGCGAAGATGGTGTATTTGTCCCTAGCCAGCATCTCGGCCTCGGTGGGCATTTCCTCCATCCAGCGGTCCAGCTTCTTGGTCGTGGTGCCTTCCTTGGCGAGTGCCTTGTCGACGGTAGCGATCACTCTGTCAACCGCACGCAAGCGCTCTCGCTGCCGTTGCTTCTGAGGAGCGGACATGCGCCACGGGATTTTCCTGTGGGAGTGTATCAGCAACGGATCGCCTGGATGAGGGACAATGGCACTGGTAGCCAGAGAGGCGGCAATGCTGACCAGAGAAGACCTCCGGAGAGGGGCTGCGAGGGTCTGAAGGCTCCGAACATGGTGGGCTTGCAGTGTGTCGCAGTCGGCGGCGCTGGCGATGGCGCGACGACTTTGGGCCCGCAGCTCACCGCCTGGGCAGAATGCGGGCCGGGGGCGTCACCCCGGAGCTCGAGTGCCACGCTTCCCCACCACACCTCGCAGCTCCCACTCCGGCGCCGGCTGCTCGTCATGTCGTACTACTTCGCCATCGTCGGTACAAGAGACAACCCGCTCTTCGAGCATGAATTCGGCACTTCAAGAGGCGGCGGCGACGGCATTGCGCGCTTCAGAGACGACGCGCGACACATGAACCAGTTCATAGTGCACAGCAGCTTGGATATCGTCGAGGAGGTGCAGTGGGGCACTGGCCAAATGTAAAGCAGCAACGGGCGAGCCTGTGTCTCCGCTGCCAAGCACCAGCTAACGTGCCTCGTCGCAGGTATCTCAAGCACATCGACCGCTTCCACAACAACTACATCTCGTGCTTCCTGACCGCTGGAAACATCAAGTTCCTCCTTTTGACCTCTCCCAACCCGGACAACCCTCGCTCGTCTGCCGCTTCCATGTCCTCAGTGCGCAGCTCCGCCTACCCCTCGTCGAGTGCATACAATCCCACTGCGCCTGCTGCCGAGGAGGCCATCAAGAACTTCTTCATGGAGGTATACGACAGCTGGGTCAAGACCATCATGAACCCCTTCTACTCGCTCAACCAGCCGGTGAAGAGCCCGGTCTTCAGAGCGCGGGTCGCTGCTGCCGCAAAGAAGTATCTCTGAGCGAAAGAAAGAACGACCTCAACACAGCCAGAGCACAAGGAGATGGCCGAGTCCGAGACAGTTTGGCCATTTATCAATATACCGCGCCGGGAGAAAGGCTCACCTCGGCTGGACTGGGGAAGGGAAACTCACACTGCTTACCCTGCCAGAATCCGCAGGCATCGCGCGTCGGTCCAGGCACACCCCGCTCATTTGGCAGTCTTGTGTGCATGCTTCTGATTGTCTTGCCTGCAGAATGGAGCGGCGCGTCAATGATTGGATAATGATCGGGGATACGGCGAGAACCTCGGCTATAAGGAGCAGGCAGGCATCAAAGCTACTCCGGCGGCCCGGTATACTAGACATGTCTTGAGGCTTCAATATACTCAAGACTCGGAAATCAATAGTAACGAATTAATGTATGCACGTCAGGTGTTGAGCCACAGCGATGCGGGACGCGTACGCCAGAGTGGTGGCGGCTGGATCGGGCAGGGCTGAGGGCGGCAAAGGGCAGAAGGACCAATCAGCGTGCCCAAAGTTTAGGCAGCAGGATCATGCACCGCGGCAGCTGCCCTCGCCCGCCCCGCGAGCTTTTTCTCTGGGGCCTAATCGGCACTTCTTCTAAATAATCGAGACCCCGGCGCCTCTGCCGCTACTTGACACACTGGCCCGGCTAGCTTCGATGTTGTTATCGCCCTGTGCAGCAGCGTAAGAGGGTGTTCCCGCGCTTCACGACAACAGCCCCACCTCACGCCAACATGTCCGCTTTCGCCCACCTCCCCCGGCGCCTTACCAAGCTGTACGCCGACACCAAGCAGGACATCAATGACGAGCAGGCCAAGCTGGAGAACGTGCCCGAGCTGAACGCCCTCCATCGCCGCTTCCGCATCCAGCGAGATCGCCTCATCGCATGGGGTCTTGAATGGAGCGACAACAGCTCCGCCGCATCCCAAGGCAGCATCGATGAGTCTGTTGCCCAGGCTGGCCTGACCGAAACTGTCACGAGCGTTCTCGGCACCATCCAGGACATCCTTGACGAGGCCGACCGCATCAGAGATGCAGGCGGCCAGAGTCCTTCCGACACAAAGAAGCCGTCTAGTCCGAGCAGCTGGACACCTGCCGACAAATCCCGCTACGAAGACCTAGCTCGAGATCTCACTACTTCCATCGATACCCTTTATGACCTTTCCAGAGCAAGGAGGATCTCGGCCGTTGGAACCCCTTCCCGGGACACCAAACCACATCTGGCCAAATCCGAGTCTCTTCCCTCCACTCCCTTCAAAACCCCTTTCTTGGATGACGACTACACCCAGTCCTCCCTCACTCTCGTGAGCCCTCCGACAGTCTCTGCTTCATCAACCATCGAGACAGAGTCTGTTCCTAAGATTGACCCGTCATGCCTCATTCTCCCTGAAGAAGAACCCCCGCCATACGAGAGCATAGGAGTCCCGTCGTGTACCCGTCTGATCGGCCATTTCCGTCGGAGCCAGTCCTCGACCAACCCCTGGAGATTTGAGTCCGGAGACGTTGTGACAATTCCTGTCCTCATCGAGTATGCGGGCTTTGATCCAGTCTATCGGATGAACGAACTCTCACCACCTTTGGAACGTGTCGAGAACCTACTTGATGTCTTTGCCCGAGGCGTTGGCCGCTTTGGCGAGGGTTCCGACGCCCCTGCCTTTGGCACTCTCAAATGCGTGGGCTACTTCGAGGACCTTAGTCAGCCTCGATTTGGATTCGTTTTTGAACTTCCAGGCTTCGTGTACGGTGGCATAACTCGGGCATTGCGACCTGCCGAATTCCAAGCAATGCGCCCCGTCACCCTGTTGAGTGTGTTGCAGTCCAGCGCAAAGAACAACGTTGCAGTACCCAATATTCCTGCTCTGGAAAAACGGTTCCGCATAGCCCTGAATCTGGTGCTGTCCTTCAGCAAGCTCCACGCCAGCGGCTTCGTCCACAAAGATGTCAACAGCAGTAACATTCTTCTCTTCCGCAAGCCGAAGGAGCCGGGCCACAGTTCCAAGCATCCGCAGTACGAGCTGCAGTCACCTTATGTTTGCTCCTTCGATCTCTTTTCGGAATTCAACGTCGAGGTACAGTCGACTGGTTCCAACATTTACCGTCATCCTCACGACCCCAGAGCACAGACACCATCACAGTCAGCTTATGCTCCACACTTTGACATGTATGGGCTTGCCCTTATCCTGCTTGAGATTGGCTTGTGGATCCCCCTTTTGGACATCTTTAAAGCCAAATATACCCTCGCGGATTTCAAGCTTCGCCTCGAAGATATCTGGATCAGGAGATTAGCTGGCAAATGCGGCACAGCCTACATGCAGGCGGTGCGAGAATGCTTTTCGGCTGCAGACCGACACCTTTCGAGCACAGACACCAAGGTGGTCTATGACCGCGTATTGGGACGACTCCACAGATGCACTCTCCTGGATGATGCAGACCCCTATCCGTACGATTTGGGGCACCATTTGACAACTAGCCCTTCTCCTAGCCCAAGCCTCCTGAAGCGCGCGCACGACCAAGGCCTGGGCATGAAGCGAGCGAAGCTCCAAAAACGGAACGTTGCAGAGTTCACCGAGCGTTTTCCTCATGAGCACAGCAAACCGTTACTCGCCCACGGAGAGGCTGTGGAGGGCAATCCTGAGCTCACTGCATTCTTGTCTCTGTCTCGCTCTCCCGAGTCAGGCTTAAGAGGTGGTGGGGAGGATCTCGCTCCCGAGCGCCACAAGCATGGCCACGACATTCGTTCCCACTCGCGGGAAGCGCTAGCGCCTGTAGACGCTGCAAAAATCATTCAACGAGCTTGGCGAAGATCTCACGGCAAGATGACTTTCAGAGAATACAGGAAGAGAGTCGCCATAATCCAAACCAAGTGGCGGGAAAAGAAGGCTCGGTTGACATCTGCATCTCAAGAGGAGCAACCGCCGATGCTGCATCGAGCCGTGACCGACAGCTACCCGGCTCCTGCTATGGACATCACCATCGATGAGATCAACGTGCAGACATCCATAAAATTGAAGCAACAAAAGTCTGCAGCAAAACGAAAGCTACTGGTACAGCCGCTTTGGAGACCTACACCAAGCATCGCAGCTGAGTGGGACCAGACCATCCTTCCACGACTAATGCGCATATGTGAGAGGGTACTCCGCGACTCTCCAGAGAGCTCCAGCATTGATCTCTTTGGCATTGGCCCGTCTCCTTCAGACGCAAAAGCTACCATAGTCGTCACCTGTGCCAGCACGGCAAAGGTGAAGGCCGCATTGGCGAAGAAGTTTAGCTACGATCGTGCTGCCTTCGATCTTAAAGTCCACAAAGGAAAGATCAAGCGCTCCAAATTGACGAGATCCACTAGGAGGCGGAGAGCACCGTATCGATCTATGATGGATGAGGATGACGAGATACCGGCGCTGAACGGATGTTTTCAGCAACGCCCAGTGTGCGGTGCATCCATCGGGGCGTATAATGGGGAACACCTGCCACCCGTATCGTATGGAGGAGTCGTGCTGGTCGATGGAGAGCCGTTCGGAATGAGTGTTCACCACATGTTGGACACTCCAAGTGAAGACGAGAGTGAGTATGGCGACGAATACTCAGATGTGGAGTAAGTGTTTCCCTTGAGGCTTTGCGCGCCCGCCATTCTCGAAGCTCCCTTGAATTCCTCCATCTGAGCCGACAAAAGGTGGATCTGTCTCCCTCGGTAACTACCATGCTCTTTCAAAGGCCACCCATACAGTTTTCAAAGCTTCAGCTAACATCGACTTACAGAAGTGAAGATGTTCTGCGATCGAGTGCGAAGGCTCCCAACTACAATTGGACCTCGCAGATAGGCTCGCAGCCTCTGTTGCATGATTTGCCGGACATTCCGCAAGCGTTTGAAATCTCAGACGACGAAGATTTCGACGATGGCGCCAGCAGCTATGCCTACGACTCTGCTGATGAAGACTTTTCCGACTCGGAGAGTGAAGCGACATCATCCGAACCCGGCGACATCCCAGGCATCGAGGCGGGCGACGGTGAAGAGATTCTCATTACTCAGCCCGCCATCGACGACGTCGAGGACGACTTCTTCCCTTGTGAAGAAGACCGTGACGAAGACCATCTCGACTCACACGAGTTGGGGCACGTCCATGCCTCGTCTGGGATTCGGCGCTGGAACCGGGATGGTGTGGTTCATGAGATCGACTGGTCTTTGCTCAAGTTGAAGGATGAACGGCTGCAGCCGTACAATCTCATCCAAGGAGGGAAGAGATACTGCGTGCAGCCGGCGAAGCTATGCCCAAAGCTGGTGGACCCTGTGGACAGGCGACATTCCACGCCAGAGGAAGACGAATATCCAAGTCAAGTAAGTCTTTTCGTCGGTGGGAGCGTGCGGGGTCGTGATCTAATTTTCCCAATAAAGGTTGCTAAGGCAGAAGACCTGGGTAGCCTTCAAGTTCACAGTCTCGGACGGACAAGTGGTCTGAAAGGCGGCATCATTAGCCATACAATGACCGCGGTCAAGATCCATGGTCGCAAGTCTTATGCCCGAAGCTGGCATGTCAGCGGAGGATTAGGTGGTGAGTGATCAAATGCACGTATTCCCAGTCCAGCAGCTAATTGTTCTACTACAGTCGGCGGTGATTCGGGCGCTTGGGTCATTGACAATGAGCATGGCCGCATCTGTGGCCATGTCCTTGCGTGGTGCGACAGGAACCACGTGGCATACATCTGCCCCATGCAGGTCCTTTTGGAAGACATCAAACGTACGTTGGGAGCGAAAAAAGTCCTTTTGCCCGGCCAGCAGGAGGAGAATGCAGAGTCGTTCACGTCGCAGGCCAAGGGAGGGTTCGACCTTCCCGACATCAAACAACTCAGCATTGGCGATGTGGATGGGGGGATCAGGAGTCGGTTCATGCAGAACCCCAGCAAGATTGAGGTCGTGCGGGGGAGGGCCGGCCAGATGGCTTGAGAGGTAGTGAGGCGCACGCATACATGATACCCATTGTTTCCAGGCAGTTAAATTCAACCAACATTGTTTACAAACAAATTGCGATCACGTCCGGGGTTGTGTTGTGACTCAAGGCTGGCGAGACTTCGCATGGGCTGCCATCCCCTGTTGCGGACGATGTGATACGTCGAATCTCGCATGTAGCGGCTGATGTTTTGGGCAGTTTGGCAGGCCTCTGATACACGAAAAATGGAGTCCCGCCCGCGGGTTGGCTGGACCGCGCTCTCTTTGCAGCGACCCTTGCAATATCTCCCACCAATCGTGACTTTTCCTGGTCCAGATCAAATATGCCGTTCTCCACTGCGAGATTTTCGCGACTTATGCTTTTGTGCTCTCCGGCCATGCGCCACAGCCGGCCAGCCCAACCCACAGCGCCAGGCCATCACGGTATCGATTTTTGTGCGAGATGACTCGTATCGCCTTACCGGGTGATTGACCGCGTGCAGCCGTCTGAGCCGGGACAAGATTGCTGGGGTGCATGCCAAGCTCTTTTGAGCGTCGCGGATGACGTGTGTGGGTTTGTGGACCGAGGGAAGCCCAGCCCGCCAACCCCAGACCGCATGCCGACATCATCATTTTCCAGCATGTGAACGCAAACGTCCGACGACACCGGTGGATGGCAGAATATTATCATCATCATCATCATCATCACTCCAACCAGTCCTGTTTTCTGCTCGCGAATGCAGACTTTGAGCGTTGCTTGCTGCCCGCCTACCTAATCCGTAGCTGTCCGCCGCCGAAGCAATTGCCGACGACGACTTGAGAAGAGACGTACCGCGCCGCAAACATGGCCGACAATGGCGACGACGAGGCGGCCGCTGGATTCCTCTACAACAGCCAGCTGGTGCGTTCGTTCCAAGAAGCTTTCTCCCGCGTCGTTCGCGGCGGCGAACGGTTTCCTCACACAGCTGCACTCTGCGCTCGTTGCTAACGGCCGTGCCTGCCCATCAGGATGCTTTCGACCTCTACCACATCGTCCAGGAAGAAACCAGGCCGCGGCGCGCCCCGCTCGGCCCCGCCTTGCCCGCGCTCGGCCACGCGACGTCCGGCGCGCTGGGTTCCGCGATAGCGAAGCTGCTAATGTACCCGCTCGACCTCGTCATCACGCGGCTGCAGGTGCAAGCACAGTTCGAGAGCGGTGATGGTAATGGCGACGATGATGCCGACTACAAGGACATCATCGACGCGATCAAGAAGATTTACGCCAGAGAGGGCGGGCTGCCGGCGTTCTACAGCGGCGTGGCGCAAGACCTGGCCAAGAGCGTGGCCGACTCCTTCCTCTTCTTCCTGGCGTACAATTTCGTCAAGAGCAGCAGACAGGCGCGCAAGGCGGATCCGAAGAAGGCGCTGCCGGCGTTTGAGGAGATTGCCGTGGGCATGGTGGCCGGCGCCTTCTCCAAGTTCTGGACGACGCCGGTGCAGAACATCGTCACGCGCAAGCAGACGGCCAGCATGGTGGCGGCGCGGGACAGGACGAGCAGCGCGAGCCCGGAGCTCAGCGCGCGCGACATCGCGCTGCAGATTCGCCACGAGAAGGGCGTGCGAGGCTTCTGGTCGGGCTACTCGGCCGCCCTCATCCTCACGCTCAACCCGGCGCTGACGTTCCTGCTGCACGAGTCGCTGCTCAGGCTGGTGGTGCCGCGCGCGGGCCGCGCGAAGCCCGGGTCCAGGGTCACGTTTCTGATCGCGGCCTTCAGCAAGGTGGTCGCTTCGACCATTACGTACCCGGTCTCGCTGGCCAAGACGCGCGCGCAGGCGTCATCGCAGGCCCCGACGGAGGAAACGGAGGGCGGCGACTCGCTGCGGGAGAAGGACTCGAATTCGGCCGCGACGAAGCAGACGAAGCGGGCGGGCCGCGCGACCATCTTCGGCTCGATTCTGGCCATCGCACGGAGGGAAGGCATGGCAGGGTTGTACCAAGGGCTGGGTGGGGAGGTGCTGAAGGGCTTCTTCAGCCACGGCCTCACGATGCTGATGAAGGAGCGCATACACGTGGTGGTGATCCAGCTGTATTACCTCATCCTCAAGGCGTTGCGGCGGTATCCGGGCCCGCAGGAGCTGGCGGCGCAGGCGCAGGAGGAGATGCGGGAGGCGGTGGAGGCGGGCCGAGAACTGGTGGGCTCGGCGTCAGAGAAGCTGGCGGGCGCCATGGAGCAGACGTCGACGCAGGTGGGCGACGTCTACGGCAAAAGCGTTGAGCGCGCGGCGGAGCTGGTCAAGCGGGACGGCGGTAAGCAGGGAAATTAATTTAACAGTATTGAACGGGGAGGGTCCGTCGGCGAATTTTTCTCGTCTGTAGCTGTCATGTGCGTCGTTGTGGGTGGAGTTTCGGGCGCCTCGCGCTTGCTGCGATGCGAGCCCAAGTGAGGGTGCCTGCCTGCCATTCCCTGCCAGAGCCATTGCCAGCTGCCAAACGCCACTACTGGGTACGCCGTGCACAAATGCGGCCGTGACGTGGTCTCGGGCGTGCTCAACGAGATCGGCCTTAGGACTGCAGTCGCGGGCGCTCATGCAAGTGCAAGGATTTCCGGAGAAGATCCCTGCGGCCGGGCTGTTGCTTGCGCGACCGTGCGAGCGCCCGCCTGCTGCTGGCGAGCCAAACACCTTCCACACCTACTCCCTCTTCCGACCGCAACCCCACGGACGCGCCGCCGCACACCAGGACATGGGCGCAAATGCGAACCCGCGGCAATAGAATACCTGACGACCGACCTCGCGCGCCCCCCGACGACATCGCGCCCCTACCCGCCCGTGAAACCGCCCAGGCCTTCACACACCGCTCGGCACAGCCTGCGGCAGGGACACACGCCTAACGCGCCTCCACCGCATCGCGCCGGACGACGACACTCACGACACACCCTCTTCCCCGCCACAACGACCTCACGTGACGACTTCATAACGCCGCCCCGTAACGATAACCCTCCTACATCACCGGCGGACCTCTCGCGCGAGCGAAGCGCGAGCAGACGCACACCACCCCAATGTCGACACAGGACCGCCCCCCGTCGAGCCCCGCGCCCGGCGGCTCGCTCGAAGCGGACCTCGCTTATTACAAGCAGCAGTATGAGCAGCTCGAAGGCGAGCTGCAGGAGTTCCAGGCCTCCAGCCGCGAGCTGGAGTCGGAGTTGGAGAAGGACATCGAGGCGTCGGAGAAGCGCGAGCGCCAACTGAAGGAGAAGCTGGAGGGCATGGGCTTCGAGGTCGAGGAGTGGAAGGTAAGATACCCTCCAATGTTGCGGCCCCGCGCATCGCGACCGTTGTGGTCGTCGCGGTGACTCGGTTGTGGGGCCCGCTGGCGGACCCGTTTCCAGGGGGGCCCGTCGTCGACGAAGATGAGCGACAGCTAACGCGCATCACCCCGCACGCCAGGCAAAGTACAAGCAGTCCAAGACCGAGGCCAATGGAGCGCAGAACGCTCTCCAGAAGGAGATTACCACCCTCCGCGAGACCAACCGGTCGATGCAGCTGCGCCTCCGCGACATCGAGGTCGCCAACGATGACTTCGAGCGCCAGGCCCGGAACCAGACCTCGTCACTGGAGGACCTCGAGCAAAAGTACAACATCTCCATCGAGCGCGGAGTCATGTTCGAGGAGGAGATCAAGGCAGGCGAACAGGAGCGTGAGGAGCTGCGGATAGAGAACCAGCGGTTACGTGACGAGCTCGCCGACATCTCCATCGAAGCCGACATCGTGAAGGAGAAACTTCGCATCGCCGAAGACACCATCTCCCGTCACCGCACCGAGAAGACTCACGCCCTGGTTACCGCCGACCACGGCCGGTCACGGTCGCCCGTGTCGGAGACGTCGACGTCGGCTACGACCGTATCGTCGCCTACGACGTCCACACCGCCACCCACCAAGTCGAACCGCACCAGCGCCACGACTCCACCATCCCCCAACTTTGCGGAGTTCATGGATCGCTCCAAGGATATGCGTGGCGTTCCGATCCAGCGTACAGGCTCCATCGCCTTCCACGACAACACGCCACGTCCCAGAGACTATGGTGGCCCACAGCGCACGCGGCACAATCGGGCCCCGTCGATGCCGTGGACTTCGGCGAGTGGCCGCTCCTCACCCACAAGGGCACGCAGACCTACACAAGGCCATTCGTACAAGCCTAGCCGTGATGGAGCACTCCCTCGCTCGGGCTCGCTGTATCAGATTCGTGGGCTGATTGGTAAGATGCAGAAGCTCGAGGCTCGCGTCCACAACGTGCGCAGCAAGCTGCCTGCACCTACCAACACGCCTCCGCGCGCCAGCCCTCGCGGTGGCAGCGCTCAGAGCAACCACTCACACCAGCCCTCGAACACCACGGTCCGCTCAGCCGGCCGGCAACGGACTAGCGGAAGCACTAACAGCTCTCTCAAGGATGGCGAGGACAACAGCACCACCGGCATCTCGAGGCTGAACTTTGGTGCATCCGTAGCCAAGACTGGCAGCATCTCGGGTTTCATGAGCGCTCCCAGCGACACGTTGAGTGCCAGCAGCCGGCCCACTAGCCGCGCCAGTGAGCTCAGTGGCGTCAGCAACGGCTACGGTCGCCCCGTCTCTCGTGGCAGCGGCCGGCCTCCGTCGCGCGGCAGCAATCCAGGCCGCGGCACCCCGCTAGGCCACTTCTCCACGAATAACACGACCGAAGCCCGCCGCCCTCGCACCAGCGCTGCCAACTCGAGTTTCTGGAACAACGACAAATACGGCGCTCCCACTCGCACCAGGACACGCAACAGGGCCAACACGCGCTCCCAGTTCGACGACCTCGACGAGCCCGGATCAGGTCCCAACGCCCACCGCGACAGGATAGGATCCATTTCCACGCCTCTCACGCGCAGCAAGACGAACGACTTCAGTCGTAGCGTTGGCTCCAACGGTTCCGGTATCCCGACGCCCGGCACCGGCATTCCCACGCCCTCTGGTCTGCCCAGAAGAAAGAGTGTCTCGGCGCCCAAGAGCCGTAGGCCTAGCATGGATCAGGGTCCGGGTGCAGGCATTCCGCCGGTCCCGCCGATTTTGCAAAGGCCTGGCCACACCAGGCAATTGAGCGAGGTCGGAGAGACGTGGTAGAGAAAAGACCGAAAGACGAAAGACGCAGCGATCCGGTCAATCTGGGAAATCGAAGTGCTCGGCCAGATCGGAGATGGAGAATTCCAGGGGGATTGTGGAGCATAGAGTGCCACGAGGCGCGGGGCTACGAGGCGCTGTCCCTGCCCCCAGACCGGACACCGCTTGCGTGCGGACAACGACAACATGACCTAAAAAAGCTTTCATGCTTTTCCTATCATCATCACCACCACCATCATCATCATCATCATCAAGACTTTTTTCCGATCCGATTCATCACAGCAGAGTTCAGCCTTTTCAGCCAGGAAGGGAAGAAAAGACGGGCTTGAAATTCACAGATTGTCCTCTGGGTTTGTTTGCTTTAGCGAGGACATGGGCGGGATTTCAAGGCGTCTTTGGCGTCCTGGCGTTGCAGAGCATTTTTTCGTTTTCTGGTTGGGGTTTATCTCGGAACCTTGGGCTGGCGCTTTCCATCTGCTGTTGCCATTCACTGCTGCTTTTCCTCGTCCTTTTTCCGTCTCCAGTTCTTGCACAGAACCTTCACACACAGACTCTCACATTAAAGAAACACGAGTCGCGACTGCCTTTTCCTTTTTTCCCTACAACTCTCAAAAAACTCCACAACTATTAGGCCGACCTCTTGACCTTAGCACACCTGCTACTCTCTCAGTCGTTGGCTTTCTCGCCGACGACTACTGTTGTTGTTTTTCTTACCTTTTCGGGTACATAAGATCATCAGTTCACCGCATGATACCCCCCTCTTCCTTTTTTGTTGCTGTTCTTTTCAAAGACTGCTGCTATACGCACACGCACAACATCCAAACCGACCAGCTGGCTTCCACTTTGTTTTTTTTTTACGACCAAACACAGCCAGGACAGAAGAACGTTCAATCATTGAAAAAAAAAGACTTTTCCTTACAAACAAACAAATCAAAGCACCTTCCTTACGAGCTCCTTCCTTCTTGTTTTTATTTTCCTTGCTTCCTACCTATCGTCCGACCGACAGACCAAACGACCAACCTACTACAAGACAAATTGCCTGAGAAAACCATTTTCCTATTACCCGACTTTCTCTCTCTCTCTTCTTTTGACTTTCTCTTCTTCTGTCCAATTTGAGATTCGTTTCGGTTGTACACAGATTTTTCTCGGTTCTGTTTCTGCTTCTTATCTTCGACTCTTGTTTTTTTCCGAGAGGGGGTTTGATTCTTTGTTTTTTATTTTTTTTATCTTGATTGAGGATGAGAGAAGGGAGGGAAGGAGGGGATTCGATGATGGCAGACTTTCGTTTTTTTTTCTTGGCTGGGCTGGAAAAAAAAAGGGAGGATGACTGCCAAACTGGGAGAAGAAGAAGAAGACGAAGAAGGAAGGAAGGAAACAGTGAGATGAAGGATATGATGATAAAGGTTGTGTGTGGGGAGGAGGGAATTTTTTTATATTTTTTTGGGGGGGGCTGGGCTGGGCTGGGCCAGGGAAATTGTTGGGTTTTTTTTTCGTTTGCTTTTTTTTGGAGGGGGCGAATATACTGAAGTAGTACTACTGGTACTCACCGCCACCGCTGTCGCCGCCGCCGTCGCCGCCGCAACAATACGATGCCGCTGCTTTACCCTGGATGGAAAGGGGGGAAGTGTGTGTGTGTGCTGTTGGCTGGTTGGGCGGTGGAGAGGCTAGAATGATATGAAAGACAGATAGCACACCAAAAAAAATGGAATGATGGAAAAAATTTAATATTTGGGAATTCGGTTTGTGGCTGTGATGTGATGTCGAGTGATGGAAAGGATGGATGGACGGGATTCGATACGTCGCCTGAGCTGGTTGTTGGCCGTGTTTTTCTTGGAGCTACATCGTATGTCGTTCGATCTGTCCTCGTTAGTGGGGTAGCGAAAACATGGAGATAGGTTGTCGTAATGTGTACTTGCTCTGGATATTTGCTGCTTGGCAATCGGTTAGACTCTAGCTGGATCGGGCGATTGGTCGTAATCATCATTTATAGAGGGATGCTGGTGTTGTACTGATGAGATTGTTGCTGGACAAAACGACTACGTTTTCGGGGAAATGGTGGGAAAGTGACTTGATTGCTACAGGTGAAGCTGTCATCTACTAGACTAGGTAGTGACAGTATCAGAAAGTAAGAATCGGCTGCTTTCCAGGGTCCCTCAACCACGGTCAACCTGCTGTGATGAGGTCCACAATCTTGGAAGTATGTAAGAATCCTTGGACAGTTCCTCCAGCACATCCACAGCACAATCGCCGTAGATCCTCATCAAGGCAGTACACTTGTTCAACTTCTTTAGCATACATGCTCTCTTTGCGAGGTAAGCCACGAGCCTCGACTTGATGCCGCTGACGATGCTGGGAGGTTTGCCGTATACTGCGTGGATCATTTCGTGTAGGATCGGATCTAAAACAAGCCGATCCATGATCTTATTTAATTTGTCGCTGGCGTAGGCTTCGAGTCCTGGAATGCCGAATGAGTTTGCCATCGCATACATATTGATGTGCAAATGAATGTTCCTCAGGAGGTCGTCGTCTGCACCCTGGGATTCCGTGTACTCGGCGCAGTGCAGGTATTGCACCATGGGGTAGACGGCCTGGAAATCGTAGCGGAGACCCGGGACGGGATAATTGTACACGAGCTCGATGCGTCTTATCTGCTGTGCCTGCCATTCCGAGTCGTCAGCGCCACATTAATCAGGGCAGTGCCAATTCCTCTCCGTAGAATCTTGCTTACCTGAGGTACACAGCCGAGGGCTTCCATGAGCCAGGCGCTCTTGCAAAGGTGGTAGGAGTTTGCTACGATGACTGGACCGTCCGCACAAACAACCTCAGCGTTGGCCGTGACGCGGTCCTGTAACAACCTAAGAGAGGATCAGTACCGTGGGTCTCCGCAAAACGCGTTTGTGTGGTCGGGCCACGGATGAGGTAGGCTTTTACTTACTCTCTACCCAAGTCTGCGTCTGTAAATACCTGTACGGTGCTTTGCCTCTCCTCCATAGTCGGCTTGGTGGCACGTTGATCGGTTGGACTGAAAAAAGATGTTTGAGAATAGGTTGGCAGCGGAACCCGAATGGCGCAAGACGTGAAGACCGCCCGAATGGTGACTGTGTGCCGGTCCTGCTGACTCCTCAAACTGGTAACCGCGATCGCGGGGCACCGAGGCAGGCACAGTGGGGGGCAAGATAAATTGACCCACCTACATCTATTCCGCATGGATTACGAAATCCTATACCTGGTTGCATTTGTATGTTTTTGATAATTGCATTTACATCCGGATATCTGCTTCAGCTGCATATGGAGAAAGGTCGTTTAAATCTACATCTACGCCCGGATACCTACCTTCGACTACTGTTGGTAAATTTGGCCTTGCACATACGTCGGCATACTTGCTTCAATTGCCTGCAGAATTCGTAGGTCAATTTTTTTCGTCATCCACTGCGCTGGCTTCACTGACTTTCTTTTCTTTTCAACCGCTTCCATCCTCAATCCTCGTCCAACACAGGACCCTGAAGCTGTCAAGCTTTTGACCAACAACGCTACCACTGAGGGATGATACGAGTCCTTTATCCACCAATCAGTATCATATCTTCTTCATTGTCTTCGACAGTGGAAAGGCCAAGCCCACCCGTGAGCAGTACCTGGACGACACGCTTCCAGACGACACCGCCGAGTAGCCAGTGATTGAAGACTGTCTATTTCAATTATCTCTTGGATGACGATATCCGGAATTCGGCGTGGTTGGTGTGGCACCCATTCAGAGACCTCCTCGACTTCAAAAGCATCGCCTTTCCTTCCGGGCATGCTACCCTGCATGACGAGAAAGGGGTTGATGCATATGGCCCGCTGGAAGCTCTACCCGTACAACTGCTGGGGTGAAAGCGGCTGAGAGCAAGAATGGAGAGGGAGATGCTGAAAACCTTTGCCATCGACCAGTGACAGGATCTCCCTTACGAAGACGGCATCGACACCTCCAACTTCAGAAAGACCCCAGTGGTGTCCAGGTACTCTGCGTACATCAATGTCCAGACATGCCAGCCAATCAGACACAAGCGGTTGACCAACCATGGGCCATCGGAACCATCACATTTTCTTCGCGCCGTTCGTGCCGTTTCGTGCAAGATGGCCGATCCGTCTCCCCTCTCTGCAATCCGGCGGCTCAGGTACCCGGCATGATTACTATCCCTGTCGATAGTTGGCCCAACCTGGATTCCAGTAGCCGTCCACCTCTCCTGAGAAGCGGGGCCCCTGTGGGGGCATTGTCGGCTGTTTTCTGTCAATCCCTGCTGCATTGTCTCGTTGCTGCGCCGCACGAACACGGTGATTACGCCCTCCCGCTCTTAAACTATGGCGGCCCGCCCCGTGGGCGCGGAGCCGACTCATTCGATTCCCACCCCCCTTCCCCATCAGCTTGCAGTTCTTTTGTGGCATTGACAACCACCCCCTGCACTAGCGCCCTGCGATTCTTCAAAGATCACAATGTTCACGTCCGAGCAGCACATCGAGGTTGATACTGGGGTAAGCGTCATCCTTGCTGAGTGGAGCTCGTGTACCTTGGCGCAACATGCTGCATGTGGTCGCTGCTGCGCCACGTTACTTGCTTTTTTTCTTCTCCCCCTCCCTTTCCATAATACGAAGAAGCCATTGGCGTTTCCAGCTTCGATCTGACCCGGGGGGGAAAATCTGGCTGTAGTTCGAAACCGACTCGGCCGTCGGCACCATCGAGGACCAGCTGTCGGCGTACTCGCAATCGCTCTCGTCCAGCGTCGTGAACTACCCGGTCGAGAACGGGCGCCGCTACCACGCCTACAAAGATGGCGCCTACTTCATGCCCAACGACGAGAACGAGCAGGACCGGCTCGACCTGCTGCACCACATGGTGATGCTGGCCACGGGCAGGAAGCACTTCTTCGCGCCGATCGGGAAGGAAAAGCTGAAGCGCGTGTTGGATGTCGGGACGGGGACGGGCATATGGGCGATTGAGGTTGCGGACGATCATCCGGATGCCGAGGTGCTGGGCAACGACCTCTCGCCTGTGCAGCCGCATTGGGTGGTATGTTTTCGGTATTCTTTTGTGCGCAGGGAGGAAAGAAGGTGTTGTTGGGTCAATTGGGCTTGGGGCTGACATGTGGGGGTTTTTGAAGCCGCCGAATGTGAAGTTTGAAGTCGACGACGTCGAAGCGCCCTGGACGCACGCTACGCCCTTCGATCTCATCTACGCTAGGCAGCTGGACGGCTCGATTTCCGACTGGCCGGCGCTCATCGGGAACATGTTCAAGTGCACCAGGCCGGACGGCTGGACCGAGTGAGTGGCTGGCTGACTGGCTGGCTTGTGGGGTGCGATTGGTGTGGTATCGTCCCTGCTGACTGTTTTGTCTAGGCTCCACCTCTTCGACACGCACTACAGATCCGACGACGGATCGCTGAAGGCCGACGCGCATATCAACCATTTCCTCGCAACGCTGGAGGAGGGTTGCAAGAAGCTCGGGAAAGAACTGTATCCGGGACCGTTGGCCGAGGGGTGGCTGAAAGATGCAGGCTTCGTCAATGTGCATACACGCGTGTATAAGATTCCTCTGGGCCCTTGGCCCAAGGATCCGAAGATGGTATGGATCGAAAGTGTGGGTGTTGAAACAAATTGCTGACCACTGGTGTAGAAAGAGGTCGGTCTTGTGAATCTGATGCAGTACCTTGATGGACTGGAGGCTTTTTCGTTCCGTATGTTCACCAACGTCCTGGGTTGGAAGCTCGAAGAGGTAAAGGTCATCAATGCGGAGGTGAGGGAGGAGCTGAAGAACAAGTCGATTCATCCGTACTACACGTTGTAAGTGAGCCTTGGAGTTCTTCGAGGTGCCAGTACTGACGGGAATGCAGCCACGTTGCGTACGGTCAGAAACCAGAGTGAAGTTCGTCGTGTCTGGCAATCAGAGAGGATGGTCTCCCGGATGTTTCCTTCGGCGCAGCAGCCGGTAATAGTTGGTGCATTGGTGTAGTGCTAGGATAGGGATATTTTGGAGATGATTCCCCGCGGTGAGGCCGTGGCAGAGATATATGTCTGGCTGTAGGTGTGAAGTAGAAATTCTACTGGGAAGATTTGGGAGGGAACAGCTGGGCGTACCTGCCCAGAGAAGCGGGCCAGGTTGTTTCCTGGTTAAGCATCAGCTGCACAAGGGTTATTTCAAGCTTGCTTCTCTTCTAGCCTCAAGCCTCTTCTTTCTTCTTCAGAACTACCGCAAATCCCTTTCAAGCCAGTCGGATGGCTCTCCAGCTGGCACACTGCGATGTGCTGTGCGTGCCCTTTGCCGTGCCCACCTCGGTAGTTCAGCTTCTAGGCCATCGTGTCCAGGTCGCACGACCAACGCCTCGCCGTTCGCTCGGTGCAGTCCCACATGCAGTCCCACATGCATCTCTTCAGCGGCTTGCGCGACCGCATCATAATCGCACAGCCGCTGCCGAGTCCGCCAGCACGGGCCGCATCGCACACCACGTGGTCGCGTACGGCGGATGCGATGGCCACCATGGCCGACATGGCGGTCATCACGACAACGACGACGACGACAAATCTGGCGGCGGTCACGGTCCATTCTTCTACCCCGCCACCGTCGAGACCCCCGGCTGGTTCCACGGCATCCGTACTTCCACGACGTCAGTTCTGGTTCCTGGTACATACCGACAAAAGATCCAGCATTTTTTGAACCTCTTCCGTTCCGCCATATCCTTCTCCCCTTCTAGCCTCTGGCTTGCCGGTGCTCTAAATCAGAGGGCGAGAGGCGGGTAATGCTCGCTCTCAAAAAAAAAAAAAAACCGCTTCACCTGGGGTGTTTGTCGGCAAAGAGCTAGCATTGATATCGAGGACATACGCTGGCTATCACTCATTCGAGAAATAGCAATCAAGCTTATCTGAAAAGGCAAGGCACCAGGAGGGTGTGAAGCGAGAAGCTATGCAGGACGACATGGGATGAAGTGCAGCGCCAGCGGGGCTGACAAGCATGACAAAGCTGACAGGGCGAGCTTTGCCGAAAGAGGTATGGCGGTATCAGCCGTCGACCCTGAGTGAGCGGCTGAGGCGATATGGCGCACGCAGGAGCTGTAGGGTCTTCCGCGAGGGCGGAGCCGAAAGGGTTCAGGTGCATCGGGTGGCTGGCAAGGATCAATAGCTGAGTACCAGCGAGCGTGTTGCCGCGGACGGAGATCGAGCTACGGCCCGAACGCAAGCTGTACCCCAGCATTTTTCGTTTGGGTGCGTCTGGGCGCTGGAGAAGAGCCCAATGCACCCGCGATCGACGCGAAAAAAAAGAGGCGATTCGAGATCGCTGTCGGCTCGGATCAAGAGAGGCACACTACCTACGGATACGGCGACGATATAGCAGGTGGGCGCTTGCGCCGGCGGAAGGTGGGGGTCCGATCGGTGTTGCATCCCTTCATCAGCCGCCCGCCGCCAGCCGCAACCCCCGGGGCCGAGAGGTCATCCATCCTGATCGCAGTTGGCGGGCCGGAGAATGGGACGCGACGGAGGCGACGGAGGCGACGGTGCCATTTTTAGGCCGGCTTCTGGGGGGATGCGACAGCTGCCAGGTACCAATTGACGGCGGCACAGCGGTGACGGTGCAGAGAGCGACAGGCCACAGGCACACGGCGGCGGCGGCAGGAAGGAACGGAGGCCCGCTCGGTTAAGAATCGGAAGGGATGATCTGTGATTTTGGTGAGCATTTGGATGAGAGGGAGTCGCTTTGTTGGGCCACCGCGTTGAGGGACCACTCCAACCCGACAGCGCAGCTTCCGCTTGCCCGCTTGCCCGCTGCGCAATTCTGTTGCGGCCCGTCAGGGCGCGGTCAGGGAGCCGCCGCAAATGGCGTTCCGATAAACTCCGTCATGGTGCATCGCTGGGGAAGCGGCGTGGAGGCGCCGTCAGCCGCCGCAGCTCTTATCCAGCATCTTGCATTTTCCGACGCGTTGGGGGCACCTGCGAAGCTCGGACGCAAAGCCCATGCAGTTGGCCATAAAGTTCCCCCGCGGCGCGCCAGCCATTCTCACCCGTTGACCTCGAGCTGAACTTCTTGAGCTGCCGCCCTGCCTTCCCCCGTGTGCTTTTGCCTCTTATCTCGCTCCCCGCCCCCGCGAGCTCCCTGCATACACTGGCACCGGTCTGCTTTGCATCTTTTTAATTCTCGATACCCCGTCCGCCTGTTGCGTTAGATCTCTACCTAGTAGATCTCCTTCCCCCCACCCAGTAGACCAGAGAGACGCGCCGAATTCCTCCCGCCGCCTCTCCCAACCCCGACATCCCATCTTCACGCACATTAGAAAATGGGACTTTCAGCAGACTCGGGCGCTCAGCCGAACGGGACACCGTCGAGCTGGGCAGCCAAGAAGAACATCGGTAAGCTCACGGACACCGCGGCGGGCTCCCACGCGCCAGGCGGCAAATCGACCGCCCACGAGCTCCTCTGCGCCCAGCTGCGCAGCCTGCTGACGACCCGCAGGTGAGCACTTCATTGGGCTTAACCACCTCGGAAACGCACCACCCTCGAAGGTGAAGGACTTCGTGGCCAGCCATGACGGTAAGACTCTTCATTCCCGCCGCCCGATTCCAGCCCAGCTAACGCGCGACAGGCCACACCGTCATCACGAATGTAAGAATCGCCTCGCGAGCAGCGGTCATGCGCGGTTGCCTAACGATGCTCTTCTTTGCAGGTCCTCATCGCCAACAACGGTATCGCAGCGGTCAAGGAGATCAGATCGGTGCGGAAATGGGCGTACGAGACGTTCGGCGACGAGAGGGCAATCCAATTCACCGTCATGGCCACCCCGGAAGATCTGCAGGCGAACGCAGATTACATCCGCATGGCCGACCAATATGTTGAGGTGCGTAGCCACCCCGAGCGTTGCGTGAGAGTGGGCGAGAGCTGACAGCGATCAAACAGGTCCCCGGAGGCACCAACAACAACAACTACGCCAACGTCGAGCTCATCGTCGACGTGGCAGAACGCATGGGTGTCCACGCCGTCTGGGCCGGCTGGGGTCACGCCTCCGAGAACCCGAAGCTCCCCGAGTCGCTCGCCGCGTCGCCACACAAGATCGTCTTCATCGGCCCTCCCGGTTCGGCCATGCGCTCGCTCGGAGACAAGATCTCGTCTACAATCGTTGCTCAGCATGCGAACGTTCCCTGTATCCCGTGGTCGGGTACTGGCGTGGACCAGGTCGTCGTCGACGACGGCGGAATCGTCACGGTGCCCGAGGACGTGTACGACAAGGGCTGCACACACTCGCCCGAGGAGGGTCTTGAGAAGGCCAGGGCGATCGGCTTCCCCGTCATGGTCAAGGCCTCGGAGGGTGGCGGCGGCAAGGGTATCCGCAAGGTCGAGTCGGAGGAGAACTTCATCCAGATGTACCGCGCTGCCGCCAGCGAGATTCCCGGCTCGCCCATCTTCATCATGAAGTTGGCCGGCAACGCTCGGCATCTGGAGGTGCAGCTCCTGGCTGACCAGTACGGCAACAACATCTCGCTCTTCGGCCGTGACTGCTCCGTTCAGCGGAGACATCAGAAGATCATTGAGGAGGCGCCGGTGACGGTCGCAAACTCGGAGTCGTTCCAACGGATGGAGAAATCAGCAGTGGCGCTGGGTAGATTGGTCGGCTACGTCTCGGCGGGTACGGTGGAATACCTGTACTCGCACGAGGACGATGCCTTCTACTTCCTGGAACTGAACCCGCGTCTGCAGGTCGAGCACCCCACCACCGAAATGGTTTCTGGCGTAAACCTGCCCGCAGCCCAGCTCCAGATTGCCATGGGCATTCCGCTGCACCAGATCCGCGACATCCGTCTTCTGTACGGTGTTGACCCCCACTCCGCCACCGAGATCGACTTCGATTTCTCCTCTGAGGAGTCCCTCGTCAACCAGCGTAAGCCCAAGCCCAAGGGTCACACGACTGCCTGCCGTATCACCTCGGAAGATCCCGGAGAGGGTTTCAAGCCTTCCAGCGGTACCATGCACGAGCTGAACTTCAGGAGTAGCTCCAATGTTTGGGGTTACTTCTCCGTCGGTACTGCCGGTGGTATCCACAGCTTCTCCGACAGCCAGTTCGGTCACATTTTCGCTTATGGCGAAAACCGTACCGCATCTCGGAAGCACATGGTTGTTGCATTGAAGGAATTGAGCATTCGTGGCGACTTCAGGACGACTGTTGAGTACCTGATCAAGCTTCTGGAGACTCCCGCCTTCGAAGACAACACCATCACCACCGGCTGGCTTGATGAGCTCATCTCGAAGAAGCTCACCGCCGAGAGGCCTGACCCGATGATCGCCGTCATCTGCGGTGCAGTCCAAAAGGCCCACGTCGCTAGCGAGGCTTGCATCACCGAGTACAAGAAGGGTCTGGAGAAGGGTCAGGTTCCGTCCAAGGATGTCCTGAAGACCGTCTTCCCCATCGACTTCATCTACGAGGGCTTCCGTTATAAGTTCACCGCTACCAGGTCTAGCACCGATGCTTACACCTTGTTCATCAACGGCTCGAGGTGCCAGGTCGGTGTCCGCGCTCTTGCGGACGGCGGTCTCCTTGTTCTGCTCGGCGGCAAGTCTCACAACGTCTACTGGAAGGAGGAAGTCGGTGCGACGCGTCTTTCCGTCGACAGCAAGACCTGCCTGCTCGAGCAGGAGAACGACCCCACTCAGCTCCGTACCCCCAGTCCTGGTAAGCTTGTCAAGTTCAGCGTCGCCAACGGCGAGCACATCAGCAAGGGACAGGCCTTCGCCGAAGTTGAGGTCATGAAGATGTACATGCCCCTGATCGCTCAGGAGGATGGTGTCGTCAACCTCATCAAGCAGCCCGGCGCGACTCTCGAAGCTGGCGATATCCTCGGTATCTTGGCCCTGGACGACCCCTCGAAGGTCAAGACTGCCCAGCTCTTCCTCGGCCAGCTGCCTGAGTTTGGTCCGCCTCAAATCATGGGCAGCAAGCCCCCGCAGCGCTTCACCTACCTGTACAACATTCTTCAGGACATCCTCAAGGGTTTCGACAACCAGGTCATCATGGCCGATACTCTTAACGAGCTCATCGCTGTCCTTCGCGACCCTGAGCTTCCTTACGGCCAGTGGAATGCTCAGGCTTCTGCTCTCCACGCCCGCATGCCTCAGAAGCTCGACGCTGCTCTCGAACAGATTGTGGATCGCGCCCACAGCCGTAATGTCGAGTTCCCCGCCAAGCAGCTCATCAAGACTTTCAACCGCTTCCTTGAGGAGAGTGTTGACCCTGCTGATGCTTCCCTTCTCCGCACCACTCTCTCCCCTCTCCTTGAGATTGCCAACCAGTACATTGAGGGCCTGAAGGCGCACGAGTTTGCCATCATGGCTACCCTCGTTGAAGAGTACACTGCTGTCGAGTACCAGTTCTCTTACCGTCAGAACAGGGACGAGGAGATTGTCCTTAAGCTCAGGGATTCACAGAAAGATGATCTTGTACCTATCGTCTACACTGTCCTGTCTCACACCAGGGTTGGGTCCAAGAACAACCTTCTCCTTGCCATCCTGGACTCTTACAAGCCCAACAAGCCGGGTGTCGGAAACGTTGCCAAGTACCTGAAGGAGCCTCTCCGCAAGCTGACCGAGCTCGAGTCTAGGGCTACCGCCAAGGTCGCCATCAAGGCTCGCGAGGTCTTGATCCAGTGCGCCATGCCTTCCCTTGAGGAGCGTACCTCTCAGATGGAGCACATCCTTCGCACTTCCGTTGTCGAGTCCAAGTACGGCGAGAGTGGCTGGGACCACAGGGAGCCTGATTTCGATATCATCAAGGAGGTCGTTGACTCGAAGTACACTGTCTTCGATGTTCTGCCCACCTTCTTCGCTCACTCTGACCCTTATGTCGCTCTGGCTGCTCTTGAGGTTTACACGCGCCGCGCCTACCGTGCCTACCAGCTCAAGCAGATCGACTACCACATCGAGACCGAGGCGCCCTACGTCCTTTCTTGGGATTTCGCCCTGCGCAAGGTCGGCGAGTCTGAATTTGGCCTCCCGGTCGAGTCTTCGCACCCGTCCACCCCCTCGACCCCCAGCGGTGAACAGAGCTCTTTCTTCGGCAAGCGTATTCACTCCATCAGCGATATGAGCTACTTGCGCCGTGGCGCGGAGGGTGAGCCCACCCGCAAGGGTGCGGTTGTGCCTATTCCCTTCCTCGAGGATGCTGAGGAGTACCTGATGCGTGCTCTTGAGGCCTTCCCTACGGTCGGCTCGACCAAGAAGCGGGCTTCCAGCGGCAACAACGGTCTGATCGCCGATCTTGCTGGCAAGCGCAAGCCTGCCCCTAGGCTGGAGAGCGAGGATGAGCTTACTGCCGTCTGCAACGTTGCCGTCAGGGATGCCGAGAGTTTCGATGACACTGAGATCCTGGGTCGCATTACTCCCATCGTCAACGACTATAAGGAGGAGCTCTTGGCTAGGCGCGTCCGCCGTGTGACTTTCATCTGCGGTCACAAGGATGGCACTTACCCCGGCTACTACACTTTCAGGGGCCCCCTCTATGAAGAAGACGCCAGCATCCGTCACATCGAGCCAGCTCTTGCTTTCCAGCTTGAGCTTGGACGCCTGAGCAAGTTCAACATCAAGCCTGTGTTCACTGAGAACCGCAACATCCACATCTATGAGGCTGTTGGCAAGGGCGCGGAGAACGACAAGAGGTACTTCACGCGTGCCGTTGTTCGTCCGGGCCGTCTCCGGGAGGGCATTCCCACGGCCGAGTTCATGATCTCCGAGGCTGACAGGTTGATGAACGACATCCTGGATGCTCTCGAGATTATTGGCAACAACGGCTCTGACATGAACCACATCTTCATCAACTTTTCCACCGTCTTCCCCCTGCAGCCCCAGGATGTCCAGGAGGCTCTCGGTAGCTTCCTCGACAGGTTCGGTCGCCGCGCCTGGAGGCTCCGTGTCACTGGTGCTGAGATTCGCATCATCTGCACCGACGAGCACGGCGAGCCCTACCCTCTTCGCGTGGTCATCACCAACACTGCTGGCTACGTCGTCGACGTTGAGCTCTACGCCGAGAAGAAGTCCGAGAAGGGTGGCCAGTGGCTCTTCCACAGCATTGGTGGTACTACCAAGATTGGCGCCATGCACCTGCGTCCCGTCTCCACTCCCTACCCCACCAAGGGTGCTCTCCAGCCCAAGCGCTACAAGGCCCACATCATGGGCACTCAATACGTCTACGATTTCCCTGAGCTTTTCAGGCAGGCTATTGAGAACTGCTGGCACTCCTCTTGCGCCAAGAGCCAGGCGCTCAAGGAGAAGCAGCCCGTCAAGGGAGAGTGCATCGAGTACAACGAGCTTGTTCTCGACGACAACGACAACCTGGCCGAGGTCAACCGCGAGCCGGGTGCCAACACCATCGGTATGGTCGGTTGGATCGTCACGGCCAAGACCCCTGAGTACCCCAAGGGCCGTAAGTTCATCATCATCTCCAACGACATCACCTTCAAGATCGGTTCCTTCGGCCCGGCGGAAGACAAGTTCTTCCACAAATGCTCTGAGCTTGCCCGCAAGCTTGGCATTCCTCGCATCTACCTGTCTGCCAACTCCGGTGCCCGCATCGGTATGGCCGAGGAGCTGATCCCGCATTTCTCCGTCGCCTGGAACGACCCTACCAACCCCGAGAAGGGCTTCAAGTACCTCTACATCACCGAGGAGAAGAAGAAGGCCTTCGACGAGGGTGACAGGCGCGAGGTCATCACCGAGCAGATCGAGGACGAAGGTGAGGTCAGGCACAAGATCACGACCATTATTGGTGCCGAGGATGGTCTTGGTGTTGAGTGTCTGCGTGGCTCCGGTCTCATCGCTGGTGAGACTTCCAGGGCCTACGAGGACATCTTCACCATCACCCTGGTCACTTGCCGTTCGGTTGGTATTGGTGCTTACCTCGTCCGCCTCGGCCAGCGTGCCATTCAGATCGAGGGCCAGCCCATCATCCTTACTGGTGCTCCGGCTATCAACAAGCTGCTCGGCCGTGAGGTCTACACCTCTAACCTGCAGCTTGGTGGCACTCAAATCATGTACAAGAACGGTGTCTCGCACATGACTGCCTCCGATGACTTTGAGGGTGTGTCCAAGATCGTCCGCTGGCTGTCGTACATCCCGTCCAGCAAGGGTCAGCCCATCCCCCTGTCTCCTACTGCCGAGCACTGGGACCGCGATATCACCTACTACCCGCCGCAGAAGCAGCCTTACGACGTCAGGTGGCTCATTGCCGGTAAGGAGGACGAAGAGGGCTACCTCTCTGGTCTCTTTGACCGTGGCTCCTTCGAGGAGTCGCTTGGCGGCTGGGCCAAGACGGTTGTCGTTGGTCGTGCTCGTCTCGGCGGTCTTCCCGTTGGTGTCATCGGTGTCGAGACCCGCGCCGTTGAGAACGTCATTCCTGCCGATCCCGCCAACCCCGACTCCATCGAGCAGATCACCTCGGAGGCCGGTGGTGTCTGGTACCCCAACTCGGCCTTCAAGACGGCCCAGGCCATCAAGGATTTCAACAACGGAGAGCAGCTTCCGCTGTTCATCCTTGCCAACTGGCGTGGTTTCTCTGGTGGTCAGCGCGACATGTTCAACGAGGTCCTCAAGTACGGTTCCTACATCGTCGACGCGCTCGTCAAGTACGAGCAGCCCGTCTTCGTCTACATTCCTCCGTTCGGCGAGCTCCGTGGCGGTTCGTGGGTCGTCGTGGACCCGACCATCAACCCCAAGTTCATGGAGATGTACGCCGACGAGGACTCGCGCGGCGGCGTCCTCGAGCCGGAAGGCATCGTGGGCATCAAGTTCCGCAAGGACCGCCAGCTCGAGACGATGGCGCGCCTGGACCCGACGTACGGCGAGCTCAAGCGCAAGCTGGCGGACAGCAGCAGCCTGTCCAAGGAGGAGCAGCAGAAGCTGCGGGCGGAGATGACGGAGCGTGAGCAGCTGCTGCTGCCCGTGTACGGCCAGATCTCGCTCCAGTTCGCCGACCTGCACGACCGCGCCGGCCGCATGGCGGCCAAGGGCGCCATCCGCATGCCGCTGCGCTGGCAGAACGCCCGCCGCTTCTTCTACTGGCGCCTGCGCCGCCGCATCAACGAGGAGTACATCCTCAAGCGCCTCGCCGTCTCCGACTCGGGCGCCATCAGCCGCAACGAGGCGCTCGCGCAGCTCGCGGCCTGGTCGGGCGTCGAGGACTTTGCGAACGCCGACCAGGCCGTCGCCGAGTGGATCGAGACCAACCGCAAGGAGGTCGCGTCCAAGGTGGAGAGCTTGACGAGGGAGACGACGGCGTACCAGGTCGCGGAGCTGGTGAGGAAGGATAGGGAGGCGGGCCTGAAGGGCATTTTGGCGGCGTTGGAGACGCTGCCGACGGGGGAGAAGGAGGAGTTGTTGAAGAAGTTGGCGAGTGCGTAGGTTTTTTCTTTTTTTTTTTTCGTCTCTCTTGTGAGATGAGGATAGGAGGGGAGTGGAAGGAAGTTGTAACATGATCAGAGGGTGAGTGCTGTACAAGTTAGCTACTGAGGGGAAAGAGGTTTTGGGTCTGGCGCTGGCGGTGCCATTGCGGTTTGGCTTCATGTGTTCATGATTATATGGGTTTTCTCTTGTTCTTAGCTTATGGTTGTTTTTTACTTGTTTTCCTTTTTTTTTTTCTTTTTGAGAGGTTAAACGTTTACGGGATTTTTTGGTGGTGGTACTTGAGAGGAGCAGAGACTCTGGCTGGGTTTCTCGACTTACTTGCAAAGTATTGCACGGAAATATGAAATATAAACGTACGTAAATTTACATGGAACTCAATGATGCCAACGTCTTCATACTGCAGTCTCTCGTCGGTCTTCTTGTTTGTTTGTCGCGTGATCTTTTTTGAGGTACGCGATGGATGATGTCACAATGGTGTAGGTATTTTCCTTCGGGGTGCTTGCTGTCTGCACCGGTCGGCCTCCAAGTGATTCCAACCTATCATCAGCCGAGGATATTTGAGCGGCGGAGGAGTTTGATGAAGATACTAGAGGTACCCACGTCCATCCTGTACCTATCTATTGTGAGTGGTAGTAGAAATGCGAAACAGTACGGCTGAGGACCATTACTCTCTCAAAGACCCGCTCTGGTGGTTTATACCACGGGGCTTTCTCCATCGTCACTCAAGCCATCATAATCTACAATAGCCTCGCCAGCTTCGCGCTCAGGCGTGTGCGCTCAGACTCGTTTGCGGTAGTGAGTCGTGTCGTCGTTGCATCATCCATTCGTTGTTGCTGGAATGATCGCCTTTCGAGCGAGTGTGGAGGAGGGCGGGCGGTACCGCTATTGTCGTTCCATGATGGCTTGCTTGCTTGTGCCTATGTCTAGTAGCTGTACAAGTGCTGGGTGCGTTTGAGGTAGGTGTATTGGAGGCAGCTTTTTGTGCGTTAGGAAAGACTTATAGAAGGTGATCGAGCGAACCTCGGTACTAAACATATACAAGGAAGGCCACTCAACCACACAGACATGGTTAGGTATGTCTCCACCACACGCTCGTTCATCGAAGCCTCTTCTGCAAAGTGACACCTGGAAGTCTCTGAAAGCATGGGACGTCGGAAGCGACACCACCAGGGGGGAGAAACCTGTCCGAACCGCTCGAATCACGGATGGTAGTTGCGGGATGGTTGGTGAGTGGATGCGGTGCGGTTGGGGGTTTGTGAGAGACGGTGGTCCTTTTCTTTTTTTTTTTTCCTGGTTCAGGAGGGTCGGGCTGGTGTGGTGGATGGGTTTGGGTTGGGTTGTGGGTGAGTATCGGGGTTCGTTCGTGGTGGATTGGGAATGATTCACTTTATTGATGGGTGGGAGGTGTCGAGAGTTCGAGTACGCAGGGTGTTGATATTGATGCATTGATGTGTAGTGTTTGTTAAAATTGTCGACACTGCAAGGTTTAAGTTGCGGTTGTCTACCACTGATGCCTAGGTTTGAGCGTATCGCGTCGTGTCATGCTTTCATCATAAGGACATGCAGTTGGGACTGTTCTTCCCGATCTCAATCCAGCAGGCAGTACGATGCTCCTGCGGGTAATGGAACTCTACGTCCAGATGTCGGGATTCAAACTCTCCATATTCACATCTGGATATTTGTTCAAGTGCAATGCAGGAAGATTGCAGTCTTTGATAGGACACAGGGAGGGTTAAATACAACCGCAGCGCACTGTGCCGTTGTTGCTGATCCGGAGCCCATCGAACTGCGCCTCCACGTGGGATATGAGAAAGGAGTACACGTGGGCAACTACACAAAAACAACGTTAGTCTGGGTGCTACTGCAGTCCGGATCGGGTAAGCGAAATGAGTGAGGGATTTCGGAATAGGAAAGGAAACGAGAAGGGTGATGAGACGAATCAAAGAAAGCCAATATATCGATAAGATCGGAGATAAAATAGTCGGTAGATCCCGAGTTTGCGGCAACCGTGCTTCCAATAGACCATCCGTTGTCGCCAAGAAGAGGAAGGGCATCATTCCATTTCCCGAATCATTAAAACATCCAGCCAGCAGTAAATACCCAATTACCGTCAAAATTAGATGGCGTCGGTGTTGCATCCTCCTTCCAAGCGTGTTGTTGCCTCGTGGAAAGTACGTTCATAACCGGTTGAACAATAACCTTTTCCGCGCCGCCCGCCCCGGGCCCCAACCTTCCCATTAATAACCTTAAACCGCATAACCTCCACATCAACCAAAAAACGTTAGCCCAGCCCAGCCCCATTCCCACACCCACCCAACCCATCAATCCTTCCTCGCCCCATCCATCTTCACCTCAAACAGCTCCTTCGCCAAACTCCTCACGCCCTCATCCTCCACCCCCGCCAACGCCTCCTCAATCGCCCTCACCGTCCCCGGCCTCAAGCCGTCCGGGTGCCGGCTATACAAATCGATGCCCGCCGGCGTAAACAACGTCTTGGCGAAATACGTAACAACCCACTGCCTGGCATCCGGCGGCTGCGTCTGCGCCCCACCACCACCATTTCCACCACCGTCCAGCTCGTCCCCATACCCCAGCACCTCCCACCGACTGCTCGCAATGACCAACCACCCCTTGCCGCGCCAGTCCCACGCCCAGCCCGCGCAGTCGGCGGCGGGCGTGTCGACGCCGTGGACGGATTTGATCTTGGCGGTGGTGCTGCTGCCGTCGAGGGCCTGGTACTCGACCAGGTCGTCGATCTTGGTGCTGTCGGCCACGGGCGTGTAGGTGATGGTCACGTTGCGCTTGGTGCGCCACATGGGGAGCGTGCTGTGCGTGACGTGCCATTTGCCCTGCAGCCAGGCGGGGGCGGGGACGGGCTGCGCGGGGGAGACGCTGGTCGGCGAGGGGGCGGTCGTGATGGGGGCGTGGAGGGGGATGGGGGGGTGGTGGTTGTCGTTGTCGTTGGACATGGCGGCGGCGGGTGGCGGATGGGTCCCGGGGTGGTGGGTCGGGGTGGGAGTGGGTGGATGGCGTGGCGTGGCGGGATGGCGTGGCGGGATTGGAGAGGGTCGGGCGGGCTGTGTGGTGGAGATGTGTGTGGTGGGTATCGTATTCTGGAGAGAGAGGGAAGCGGTTTTGTGGAATGCGGCGGTTTGGGGTACGAGGCTGACGGAGGTTGGGGGTGCAGGGTGCAGGGTGGTGCGGGCGACAAGCGACTGGTGACGCCAGACGCAGGGGCTGCGGCGAGAGGCTTGCTTTCGATGGCGTTGTTGTTGGCTGGGCAGGCCGGGGGGCGACGCGGCGGAGGGCTGGTGCTAAGGCTGGGTGGGGCCAGTGATCCTCGCGAGCCCTGGTCTTCTGGAAAGAACGGGGGGGCCTGAAGGCGGCAGGGCACGCCAGGGCACGGCAGGCCGGCTGCAACCTGCGACCCTGCGACCTGCGACTTGCGACCTGCGACCTGCGACCTGCGACTCTCCGGCACGCGTGCTGCGACAACACCGCCGGCCGAGACGTTTGGGCTCGTGTCGCGGCCATGCGCCGGCACTGGCAGCACTGGCAGCTCGCGCACGCGGCTGGTGGCTCGGCGCGACATTTTGCTTAGGGCGGTGGCCGCGGCGCTGACGACGCGCGGATGCTAGGCTCTGCTGGCCCCAGCGGGGCAGTGCAGGAGACAAAAATATATTGTAGCAGCCCACACGCCCCGAGTAAGACGCACGCCGGCCTAGTTAAAGACGTGGCTCCCGTCTGCCCTGACCGTTGTCTTCCTATCCGCTCGTGTATTATTTCCCGCTAGCCTCTGGAGCTCCCACCACTCGCTGTTGCTCCATCAGTCGTCACTGCCCAAAACAGAAACACCACAACACCACGCCCGCAGCCATGATTTTCCGAACCCTCGCCCGCGCAGCTTCCGTCCTGCCGCTCCTCTCGCTCTCGGCCGCCGCCGAAACCGTCTGCAACAATGCCGCCTCACTGTGCAGCAAGTCCTATGGCAACGTCACCCTGCTGGGCGCCCACGACAGTCCCTTTCTTGCCGACTCCACCACCAGCTACTCTTCGTCCGGGAACCAGGACTACAACTCGACCGTGCAGCTCAACGCCGGCGTGCGCCTCCTGACCGCCCAGGTCCACCACTACACCGACGACAACGCCGACGAATGGCACCTGTGCCACAGCTCCTGCACCCTCCTCGACGCCGGCAAGCTGTCCGACTGGCTCTCGGAGATCAAGACGTGGATGGACGCCAACACCAACGACGTCGTCACCCTCCTCCTCGTCAACTCGGACGACGCCTCGGCCTCGGACCTGGCCGCCGAATTCACCACCTCGGGCATCGACGACTACGCCTACACGCCCGAATCCACCACCGAGGCCCCCTCCGAGTGGCCGACGCTGCAGTCCATGATCTCCAACAACACGCGCCTCGTCACCTTCGTCGCCTCGCTCGACGCATCGTCCAACACGGCCGCCCCCTACCTGCTCGACGAGTTCACCTTCCTGTACGAGAACGCGTACGACAACACGTCGCCGTCCAACTTCAGCTGCGAGCCCGACCGCCCGACGTCGCTCAAGGGCGACGCCGAATCCGCCGCCAGCGGCGACCGCCTCTTCCTCATGAACCACTTCCTCTACGCCGAGTCCGCCTTCGGCATCGAGAGCCCCAACACCACGTACCTGGCCACCACCAACTCGGCCAACACCACCGACGTCGGCGAGGGCTCGCTGGGCGAGTCGGCCGCCTCGTGCAGCGAGACGTACGGCAAGGCGCCGTGGGCGGTGCTGGTCGACTTCTTCAACGTCGGCCCCGCGATCGAGGCCGTGGATAACCTGAACGGCGTCGCGGGCGCGACGAGCGGCCGCGCGACCGTCAGCGAGGAGAAGATTACGCAGAGCACGGATTCTTCGGTCAGCTCTGCGGGCCGAGCGAGCTTCGGGGTGCCGAGGGGTGGGGCTGCGGTGGCGGCCGTGGTGGGCGTCGTTGTGGCGGTGATGGCGCTGTGAGGGATTCTTGTTCTTTCTTCTTCCCTGCTTCTTCTTCCTCTTGACGGTCACGAGGTCATGACGCTCCTTTCTTCGTTGTTGGATTTGTTCTTTCTTATTGGTTGTAACTTTTATATCGTCTTCCACGTTGGATGTCACGAGATGCGAATAGGGTAGGTCCTGGTCTATGCATAGCCTACGGCGTTTTTGGGTTCTTTTCTGGGAGAGTTCTCTCTCTCTCCTCTTGCAGCATGCATAGCGTAGACAGGGTTGTAAAGTGGTTATAAAAGGGGGAGGCATTGGATTTGGGGATAGCATAGCAGCAGCGCACATGTTCGAAGCGAAATTATTAGATAGAGAGGCCGAAGTTGCAATACCACAACCGCATTCAGAGACCAACCATCCACCACTCGGAAACTGTGCACACATGGCGAGCGAAGTGCGAGGGCGCCACGGCAGTCACTCGGCGCATCTAGCGCCAAACCCGCGACGTACGCGTCCTCAATCTCACGTCCACGCAATGTGTAATCAGCCAAGCCGCACAGCTGAGACACTACTTATGGACCCCCTCGTCGGCACATCTAATTCCCTGAGCGACCCCGCCTCGCGCCGCGTCGAGCCGATAAGCTTTTTTGGATTGCCGTCCCTGCAGCTGCTGCTGTCTGTCATGCAGCAGCAGCACATGCCCACTCATGTCGATCAAACGCGCATCGTGCCGCTGCCGAGAATCCAACGACCCACCATCCCCAGACGTGCGGGGGATGGATGCGTTACACAAGGTACGACGGGAAGTGTAGGGGATGGAAATGAGGGGTGTAGTAGGGCTTATGAATGGACATGTCGTACCGCTGCTTCTGAGGCTTTGGAATAGACGTAAGAAGAAGAGAAGGGTAGATTCTGCCAACCGAGGAACAGCAACAGAAACAGAGTAAATACTACGGACAGAAGAAGCGTTACTGAATGAGAGGCAACGGAGACGGCTCTGCCATGCTCGCGTCAAACGCCATCATTGCAACCATGGCCGAGTTGATATGAGTAGAGTTGAGAAAGCCCCCTTCTCCAACAGCTACAGAGTGGGCAGTCCTGACAATGTTCTTGATTTGCCGTCCATTCAGTTCCTGCGAAGCCAGATGATCCAGGTATTCCTCGGCCCACCAGAAGTGCACCTCTGACGTCGCTTTTTGGATGAAGGTTTTCCACAGCTCGCGACGGGAGTCGAAAGTCAATGCGGGATAGTGGATAGCGATGTGAATTCGAGATCGGAACGCTGCGTCGATGCTGCGCACTCTGTTCGTGGTGAGGAACAGCATGCCCTCAAAGTACTCGAGCATGCGTAGGAACACTACGACTACTTTTAGCGGTCTGTTACGGGCGCGTCTGGGGAGATTGTATACCTGACACTATGGCGTTTCGCTTCAAGTCGTGGTTTGATCCGGCGCGGGTTTCCAAGAATATGTCGGCCTCGTCCAGGAGCACGATTGCGTTCCAGGTCAGCGCAAGTTCAAAGGTCGAATCCAAGTTCTCCTCGACGGAGAAGGCATCGACGCCCAGATCACCGCATCCCACGGTGAACAGGGGGCGCTTTGTGAAATCGGCAACGCTCTCTGGAAACCAAGTCAATTGAAAACGTACGCGATGAGCACGGGCTGGGGAAAGCAGTGACTGACCGGCAGTGAGAGTCTTCCCCACTCCGGCATCACCGTGCAGGAGAAAGACGATACCCTTCCCTTTGCCAGAGATGATGTCGTCAAATGTGACCCGTCTAGTGGAATGAACTCTTACCACCGAAGAAATCATCTCCTTTTGATCCAGCGGCAAAATGAGTTGGTCAAACGCGCTGTCATTGAATTTGACATCCTCGATTTTGTCGACTTCAAACAAGGCCCACTGCCCGTTGGCGAAAGAGTATCCAGGAATGTCATGCGCGCATGTTATCAAGTCCGTCTCACTCATTCCAAGATGCTCGTCCTTCTCCGGGCTGTAAGTACGATTTTCGTACTCAATATCAATTGAGTGACGCGGCAAAACTCTGTCAAAGGTTTTGACATCAATCATGATCCGTCCTTTTACCTATGCGATGTTAAAACAAAGAATTTTATAACGTAGATGACAGAAGGGGCTTACAGTAGTCTCGTAAGCCTCAACGCTGTCAGTATCATTGAGGAACGTCCCTTTCCGACAACGTGACAGCGCCATGACCTCACCGTTGTAATATTGATGTTTGGCTTCTCGAAGGGACACGAACTTCCTTCCTCTTTCTAAGAGCTGCTCACGAACCTTTCCTTTCTCGGGATGATACTCTAAAGGGAAAACGATAAGTTCTCTGACGGGTTTCCAGCCCTGATATGGAGCAATCCGGACAACCCAAGCAACAGTGCCGAAGACGTTTCCATCGTAGTTCATCACGTCGGCCGTCACAACCCAGTCCTTTTCTTTAGACGTTGGAGTCTTGAACTGAAGTTCCATAGACCGGAATCGCATGGCTTCAGTGGATTTGGAGAGCTTGTAGAGCAGGATATCCCCGGGGCGGAAAAGCATCCAGAGGTTCTGATATTCCAGCCCCGGTTCCGATGTCGATTGCTCGATATGATCAACGAAGCTGGTGATTGCACGATGCAGTGCACGGAATGTGTATTGGAGCAAGAACCTCACGTGCTCCTGCTCGTCTTCATCCTGGAGCGTTTTGCGATAGGCCTCGAGCTCCTTTCGGTAATGGAAGATACACCTTGGTTCGTTGATGATGATTATCGACGGCGCATGCAAGTCAACGCCTGGATAGCGCTGAATGGTCTCTCGGAGGGCCTTCTTCATGTGGGGTGACTGGATGTACAGCTCGGTGTGCTTCATCTCCATTGCATGGTTGAAGATCCTCTTCAACACGAGCGCAGAGTTGAAATCGCTGTCTTTGTCTTCCAGCAACTCACTCTTTTTGCCGACTTGGAGGAAGACGCGTTCGCCTTTGGAATTGTACCGGCCATCGTAAGTCTTGATTTCGCAGTCAATGCCCATGGCACCCTCATCTTCGGCTGTTCCGAACGCGTGCGCGAAGGGATCTTCCAGTCGTTGAGAATCCTCGTCCATGTCCGAAGCGGATTCAAACACATCATTCTCCATTGCGTAGCTGTCGGGGGTTTCGTGTCGTTCGGTGTTGGGTCAGTGCAAGGATGCGACCGTCAGAGGCAGGCAGATTTGTGAAATCAAGCGAAGAGGGAACAAGGCTTAAATATTGCTATGAGTAGAAGTCCGGTACGTGCCTTGCACGGAAGTAAACGGATGATGATCCCATCAGGCAGCAAACGCTACTCGTGAGTGCCTCCCCTTGACCAACCCATCACATGTGCCATTTTGTGCCTTTTCCATGCAGCTGATTCCCGTCTCCTTGACGCGGCAGGGTGGAGCCGTTTGTGGCTGACGAGGACCAGGCTGAACCAGTGGAGAATTTCTGGAGACCCGTCGATGCATTTGAGACGGCATGCATATTGTGATATGGCTCATCAGCCATACCCTGGTTCAGCCAGCGCTCCATTGGGCTGGCGGCACTGGCGGGGTGTGCGCCACGAGCGGCAGCGGGCGTCTCGCCCGAGCTTGCAGGTCCGGAGGCCGCCCCACTCCAGTGACGAGTAAGAGTTGTGTATTCATGACCGCTCGAATTCTAAAATTAATATAGATCGCGTCAGACAGGTAGATTATTCTCGCTTCCTCACTTATCGTACCTTTTCAGGAGGTGCAATCGCACTCGACCCATCAAGCGAGCGACCTTGCTCGCAGTTTGCCATTGGGAAAATGGGGGAGGTTTTAGTTTCTTCAGAAAGGCAGAAAAAATCAATCTCGACTATCTTATTGATCAAAGACGAGTGGAGCGTGTATCTTGAATGTCTGCGATAGAGCCATGTTTTAAATATCAACGGCTTCCGAAGACCACGAGAGGCCGCGCGCGCGTCTGAACGCCTCACACCTGTCCTCACCAGCTTTCTGAGCTTCCAAATTTCTATGAACTTTTGGGGATTTTCGTTGATACATCAAAAATACATTAAGATATCGGCCGGGCTTCTGCGGAGAATCTAGCCATTCGCCAATATCAAGTAGGCAGCGATGGTAAAACAGCCCCGAAAGTCCTTGCAAAAGTCCCTGTGTTAGCTTCGGCTCCAGACCTGTGATGTTGCCGAGACAGACTTTTGCAGTGCAAAAGTCCAGTACAAAAGTTCATGTTGATCACTGCCTTCCAAGGGTAAGCACTCACACGACTCTACGAGGAGTCGGAAGGCGGATGCCGAAAAATTACCAAAACTTCTTGGCTTGCTTTTGGAATGGGGCTATCATACGTAGTGGCAAGGCCGACGTGGGACTTTGGTGGATTTTCGAGGACTTTGAGGAGGGAGCAGGGGTCTTCCTGCAATGCCTTCGGGAGTAAGATTTCCCAGCTCTACCGAGTGATTGCCTGCATGTGGCGTAACCTCTCGCAAGACTTGCTTTCTTTAGTCAACAGGTTACTGCCCAACAAACTGACGGTTGCAGCCTTGCCCTCATCATGCCACGCTGGGATCGTCACATGCCCCAAGCCACAAAAACATCTGCATTTTGCGAGAGAAAACCCCTATAAACGGCTCAAGGCAGCAAACAACTTGAAAGGAAACGCCGTCATGGACATCAACAGCTTCATGAGTGGTTTCAACGGTTCGACGTGGGATTCACAGTTTCAGCAGCTGCCACAACCGAGCTCCTCGAGTACCAGCCGCTACCAGCCAAACGAGTATGCACTCGACGGTCGCAGTGCCAACCACGGGTTCAGACCGATACAAAGCTATGGTCCCCCTTCCAACATGGCTCGTCATGTCTCACCAATGCAACACACAGGTCGAGCTCAATCACTAGTGTTCGGCCATATTGGAGCTCATGCTATTCCGTCCGTTCCATTGTTCCAAGAGATGTCTGAGGAAACAACTTTCACTGCACCAGTGCAGCAGAGTGCGCCTCCAGGACGCGGCGCCACTCAACCCCTCGACTGGACGGCAAACAAGGCACTGATCGAAAAGTATTACCTCGAGGAGAACAATGATCTCAAGACGACAAAGCAACTCATGGAGGGGCATAATTTTTCGGCCACGTAAGTGATTTCGTCTTGTTGATTTCAGTTTACCGGCTCGCTGACCCCTGTTAGCGAGAGGCAATACAAGGAGAAGTTCAATGAATGGGGCTTCCACAAATACATCCCAAACAATGTAGCGCGATACATGGAAGCCAAACTGGACAAGCGCAAAAGCGAGGGGCAGAGGACAGTCATCCGCATGTCTGGGCAGCGGGTTGAAGAGGCGCAGGTCCGCAAAGCGGCACAAAGAGGGAAGAAAAGGCTCAGGGGACAAGCTGATGACATCATTGTGACTAGTAGGTGCACCTTTCTGGATTTATGATCACAGAGGTGGTGAAAGGCTAAATCTGCAACGCAGCTCCGTCTTGGTTCGACATCAGCACACCCTCGAACCCCTCAGACTCCCCTCACGAGACATTCACGGTCCAGTCAGCCATCCTCTCGCCCTCGGAATGGCACCGACAGCCCACTGGCATCGAAAGAAGCCAGCGACGTCCGGCCCCGACCTTGACAGAGACCGGCGGAGATCAATACTATACCATACGAGAAGAGGCTGAAAGACTTGATCGTCAAGGGCGCGTTGAAGAGGCCCAGATCAAATACCAGCGAGCGCTTGATGGCTTCAAGCGTACTTTGCCCCGAATGCACGATGACACGGTGTCTCTTGCGTACGACCTGGCAAGATTCTACCACAAGCACAGCCAGTTTGGTGAGGCGACCTCCGTCCTCCACTGGCTCAACAAGAGCGCCGCCGAAGCATGGGGGCTTGGGGATGTGCGGTTCACAAAGCACATGGATGAGGTGGTGAGCCTGCTTGAACATTCCGACCGAGCTGCAGATGCTGTACAGCTTGTTGAGCGGTTGGCCGCGACCATCTCTACAGAAGAGATCAGACCGGCTTCGGCTCTTAGCGAACCTACAGAGGTTCGCTCCGCCGAGTATAATCTGCTCCTCACTCGTGTCCAGGTGAAAGCACGGCACCCGGAAGCCGAGAGCAACCTGCGTAAACTGATACAACAATGCAGCCAAGTGCTGGAACGGCTCCCCGGGCAATCTCTCCGAGCTCAGTCTACCTTGATCGAACTCTACTTCTCCGTTGGGAGCGAAAGACGCCAGGCAGAGGAGCTTGACAATGCCGAGAGAAAGTTCTGGGTGATCGCGAGACTGAACTGCACCTGGTCGAAACCCCTTTGCCATGCCGCACTCGAGCTTGTCTCAAAGCACATCGCAGCTGCGCGCTACAAGAGTGCGGAGATGATGCACAACAAGATAGCTGCGAATGCGGAGAAGGCATTCGGTGAGTGTGGCGAAGAAACCATCCAGCTCCTGATCGACATTGGCATTCAGTACCAGAAGTCACACGCGTGGCACTATGCGAAGCCATTCTTCCAGCAAGCCTGGTCGGCATGCATGTCGGCGTATGGCGTCAATGATGAACGGTCGCTCAAGTTGGAGAAGAGTTTGGAAAAACCAGCATTATGACATGGGCTCTTCCCCTGCTCCATCTCAGCAGAAGCCTGAGGGACAGCACTGGAAGCGGATCTCGTTCCGAAAGTCTGAACCAGAGGATATTTTCTCACCTTTTTGATCTCATTTTCACCGGTTTCGGTTTTGACATTGAGATTGTCATGTATGAAAGGGTCAAGAAAGTGTGTGTAGGTTGAGTCATGAGTGTTTCAAGATGTCGGCATCATGGACGAATAATGGGAAGGAAGCAACGCATCACTCCGGTCAGATAAACTAAAAAGAAGATTCCAGATGTGCAGCTCGGTGCGTATCGAAATATTTGTGTCTCGGATGTCTGTGATACGTCGTCACGTTGTGTATGCGGGGGAAGGCTGGGAACCGACCACGTCGTCGTTGCTGATTGGTAGGACCTTTCATGGGCTTGCTTATCTTGCTTCGTGTGCAACCTCAGCCTCACATGTCTCATCTGCTTGCTGATGTCAACGCAGAAGCGGGGTAGCCCAGCGAATAAGTAGGTTGAATGGTGGGATCAGAGATGCCCTTGGCGAATCCCCTCCTGTGCTCTCCGTCTGACCACTGAAATACTCCAAGTGCATCAGGCAGGATAACCTCCACAACTTAACCGAGCTCGGAAGCGATGCGAGGCAACAGCAAGCAGCTCGGCAAGGCCGGCGCCGTCCACAAACCGCGTTCAGTAGGCAAAGGATCTGATCAAGATTCTTCAAGCACTGCTTACAACTACCTCACTCCGATCAAGAGTCGACAGATCCGGCTTGTCAATCTGCTCCCCGGATTCTTGGACGACCCCATCAGACTCAGGGTTGAAGTCATTTCGTTGGACGATGAGAACATCAAACCCTTCGAAGCTCTGTCTTATTTCTGGGGAGACGAGTCGAGAACACGGACCATCTATTGCGAGGGGGAGATGGTGCACGTCACAGTCAACCTCTTTTCTGCATTGACTTACTTGCGGGAACACATGGAGTCTCGCGTGCTGTGGATTGATGCTCTTTGTATCAACCAGGGCGACAAGGCTGAGAAGTCAGCACAAGTCGGAATCATGGGCGAGATCTACAAGACCTGTAGAAAAGGCATACTCTGGATAGGAGAGGAAACTGAGGAAATCGACGACTGGTGCGCATTCGAGACATTCGGAACCTGCGAAACACTTGGCTTCGTGCCCAGAATACCCGTCGACATTGAATCATACTCCTCCGATGACGGCGATGGCGAAGATCCGGATCATCGCCCGAACAAGGCCAGTTATGGAGTGTCCAGCCCTATTTCAAATGCTTCTGTGCGGTGTGAGTGGCACGGAAATCGACCAAGAATGTCGGAAGCATTCAAGCTCCTGGAAATCCTGGCCGAGGGGATCCATCTATACAAAATACCTGGCTTCGCCTATCTCACATCGCGATACAACACCGATGATCGCCGGTTCGTGGAACCAATCCAAGCGCTGTGGGCCTTGATACGGCGTCCTTGGTGGAAACGCATCTGGACCGTGCAAGAGACCGTGTTGCCCAAGGAGACGACGCTTGTATGTGGGGCTCTGAATATACGGTGGGAGACAATAGTGAATGCAGCCTTGCAGTTACAACACCATGCCAAAGCTAGCTGCTGCGCCTCACTGTACGAAAAAGTCGTTGGCTACCTGTCATACCCCACCCATGGCCGACCCACGTACGAGATACTGGAGCTTTTTCCCCAGGATATCAAGACTTTGCACAGAGTCCGCGGCAGCCTCTCACATCCAGAAAGCTTGGAGCTACTACAACTTGTCCAGTCCTTCGGCCACCGTGAAGCGACGAACCCCCGCGACAAGATATACGGGCTTCTCGGACTTCTCCATGAAGGTCAACGATTGATAGACGTCGACTACAAGCTGGACATGACGACTCTGAACAGGGAGCTCAGCAAACGCATTATCCAGTCACCAGAACGACTATACAGCAACTTCTCTATCATGTACGGGGATGGGAGGCACGTACATTCGAGTCCCCTCCCGTCATGGGCGCAAGACTTCAGCCGCACGCTCGACCGCACCGGCCAAAGCATCGAGGAAGATCGCGAACGGAACCGCAGGGAGTACAACGCATCTGCAAACAGAGCTACCGCGGTCGTCCACCACGGGGGAGCGGTGATGTCGATGCACTGCGTCCACGTCGGCCAAGTCGCCAAGACCACCGACGCGGCCTGCACCAAGCTCGAAGCGGAGACGGTCAAGCATTTCCTGTCGAGCAAATGCGCGCCCGTGATCGAATACCGCAGCCGGAAGAACCTGCTCTACCCCGTCTGTCCCGGCACCGCTCGGGACCCGGACACCGACGTCGAAAACCGAGAGGCCTTCTACCGAGCCATCTTTGGAAACCGCCGCGCTTCCGAGGCCTCGGACGGCGCCAAACGGATTCCTACCAAGAGCGATATCGATCAGCTGAAGACTTGGGTGTTCTTCTGGCCCAACGAGCACCTCCCGGACAACATCCGTTCCCAACTGCTCTCGGACATCGGCTTTCATGTCTTCAACCGCAAGTTCTTCATCACAAAGGGAGGGCTGGTCGGGTTCGGCCCGTCCAACATGGAACCAGGCGACGATATATGGGTTCCCAGCGGCAGCAAGGTTCCCTTCGTTTTTCGACCGCTGGATGGTCGCGGGCCGAAGGAAATGGGGTATTCTCCATCCGACAGTAAGCTCGAGCCTACCAGACACTGGCGCAATGTAGTTGGCGACTGCTACGTGCACGGGGTAATGGAGGGTGAGACCGCGGGCGTTAGGGAATACGTAGTGTTTGTGAAGTGATGCCAACGAAAATGGTCTGGCGTCCGTCCCGAAACCATGCCACATGATATGTCCCGCTTTGAGGCTTCCAACTACAGTCACAGTATCAGCCATCTAAAAAATCGATCGGCACGCCGCTGCAGTCGAACTCCAAGACCTCCATACCACCCACCATCCCACGCCAACGAGCATGTACAACAGCCTCCCTCCCCCTCCCCCACCTCTACCCCACCACCTCCAGCGCCTCCTCCCCCTCCTCCCCCTCCCCCCTCCTCGCCCTCTTCCTCGTCCCCCGCCTCCTCCTCTCCGCCTCCGCCTCCACCTCCTCAACCTCCCCCCTCACCCCCCCAAAACACGCATGCCCCAACGCCTCCCGCGCCCCCACCCTGCCCCCCTCCTCCCACGCCAACATCTCCACCAAAAGCGCAAACACGCTGCTGCTGCTCTCCCTCTCCCCCTCCCCCCGCTTCTCCCCCACCCTCCCCACAGCGCCCCTCAACGCCGCCACCCTCCCCGCCCACACCCCTTCCTCCTCCGGCACCCGCCGCCACGGCAGGCCCGGCTGCACGAACAACTGCCACCCCACCACGCCGAGTGCCCACACGTCGACGGCGGGGCCGTATGTGGGTGGTGGTGGCGGTGACGATGATGGCGATGATGGCGACGATTGTGGCGGCGGAAGAGGCAGAGGCTCCATTTCCGGGGCGAGGTACGGGATGGTGCCGACGGTGCCGGGGCGGGGGTGAGCGCGGGGGGCGTGGATGGCGTGGCCGAAGTCGAGGATGACGATGCGGGGGGGAGGGGGTTTGTTTGTGGTGGTGGTGGTGGCGAGGATGGCGGCGATGGAGGAGAAGGAGGGAAGGGGGTGGGTGGTTGTTGTTGTTGTTGGTGGCGGTGGGGCACTGATGGGGGGCATGGAGACGATGCCGATGTTTGCGGGCTTGATGTCGCGGTGGATGAAGCCGTGGGCGTGGAGGTGGGCGAGGCCGGAGAGGAGTTGGTGGAAGAGGGTGAGGCGGAGGTGGAGGAGGTGGGGCGGGAGCGGGGTGGAGAGGGCGGAGGCTGCGGGCGAGGTCGTTTGGATGTGGGCGGCCAGCGTGTCGCGGACGAAGGGGGAGGAGATGAGCCAGACGCGCTCGGGGCGCGGGCCCGTGTACCAGCGCTCGCCGCGTTCGTAGATGGTGTCGATGAGGGAGGAGAGGTTGGGCTGTTGCACGTCACACTTTCGTTCAGCGTCTTTTCGGGCTTCGTTTGCTAGAAGCCATGCGTGTGTTGCTTGTTTTCTGCTTGGATCGAATGTAGAGATAGAGAGGATGCTTACATGACCCGGCACCTTGGCGCAGATATCAATCTCCCTCATGCACTCCCTCACGCTCCTCTGCGTCCTCACCACCATCTTCGCCGCCGCGATCCTCCCCGTCACCCGATGCCTCGCCGCCGTCACCGTCCCGAACGCGCCCCTGCCCACCGTGCCCCTGATCAGCCAATCGCACAGCGGATGATCCGCCTCGGCGGGGCTGGCCAGCAGCTCGCGCGGCGGCGTCGCACCGGCACCGCCATCCCTGCCTCCAAACGTCTCGCGCAGGAACTGGCCCAGCCGCTGCTGGAACGCGCGCTCCTTCGCGGGCCCCCCGCTGCGCACCACGTACTCGAAGACGTACGCCAGGTTCCCCAGCCCGATGCGGCACCGCGGCTTCGCCAGCACGCGCCCGCCGCTGTCGAAGCTCTCGTCGCCCAGCACCACGACCGGCCGCCGCGGGTTCTCGACGACCAGCATGAACGCCCCGTTGCGCTCGAAGGCGAAACGCGCGTGCAGGCCCGCTAGCCCGGACGCTGGGACCCGCGTCTTGGCTAGCAGCAGGTCGACGCCGCCGTGGTTGCGCACTGTGGAGGCGGAAGCCGGGGTGGTGGTGGTGGTGGACGGGTTTCCTTTGCTTTTCTTCCACCGCCCCGACCCGACGCGCCAGCCTAGCGGCGGCAGCTCGAGCGGCGCGTCGAACGAGAAGCGGTAGTGCCCGGTCCAGACGAGGCGCGGGTCCTGCGTGGCCGTCTCCTCATCCGTCTCCGTCTCGGTGGCGCTGGCCTGGGGCGGGAATCCGGACTGGCTCTGGCTTTGGCTCAGGGGCGGGTCCTCGTCGTCATCATAACCATCGGCTGGCCGGGGCGGGTGCTGTAGTGAGCTGAGCGGCACGATGGACTCGATGGAAAGGAAGTTGCGGTGGTAAGGAAAGGCGTCCGGCGCGCTCTTGATCTCTGATGCTACCTCGTCGAAGGCGAGGCAGGCCTCCAGATTTGCGGGCCGAAGGTGTGCGAAACAGTCACATGGGTCTGAGGGCTGTGTGGCCGGGGGCTGCCCGTCGATGTCGGTGCTGACGGTGCGGTGCGACGAGGTGGAAGATTCATCAGCTTCGGTCGGCGTGAGGCTTTCAGGGAGGGGATGCGTGGGGGAGTGCATTAGAAGGCTGGCGGAGTGTGTCTGGTAGTATCAAAACGTGGGAGGGTATGTGGAGATGGCCCGTGTCCATGTTGTTTTGAGGCGACGGATGAGCGACATGGGGTGCGGGGGATTCTGGCCAATGGAATTGCACATTTCTGGTTACCTAAGCTCGCTGATTTCAGGCAGCAACACGCCCTGGTCAGTCCTCCAATGGATTGTAGACCATGTGGGCAATATAGCACACGCTTACAGCCAGAACCGGGCTTGGATCAATTGTCAATCAGATACAACCCTCACAAAAATTGAACACACATGGACATGCAACTGCAGAGCAGCATGTTGATCGTGGAGCCTGCACCCATAGATTTTGACCATTCCAGGTCAGTCCATCTACGCTTTATCCAACCTAAGACTAACTACGGTGTAGGTTCGGGACGCACTTCAGATGAAACTTCTCCTTTCTCACATTCCGTGCGTTCGGCAGACAAGAATTTCCAGGCACTTCTCTTCCTTCCAACACGAGCCCGGAGTATTTCCATTTCCTGCATCTTCTCTTCCACACAACAAAGACATAAACGACCTCCGACAAGGGTCTTTGATTTCGGGTGGATGTTAACCGTACCCACGGCACGGCGAGGCGGCGTTCCGGCCGTCAGTGCGTGCAACCCAGTAGCGAGCACAGCTGTTTCTGCCGAAAGGCCGGTAATGCATGTTGCCGGTGTTGGATCCATATCGTCGCTGTTGGCTCCGCAATCGCCGGGCAGCCATCCAGCCTGTCGACCAACGCAAGTCGATAATGATAGGCTGCGAGGGCCCGGCTCATGATACTCGTTCCCAAGGAGTCCGAGGGGCGCAGTAGCGAATCCGAGTTGACCATCGGGAGGTGATTGTGGTTTGAATGGTCAGGTCGAGTCTTCTCTTCATCCAGTACTCCTGCTCTTCCTAACCTTCGACCGCGTCGTCATCGCATGCGTGTTACACACCTGGAGTCCAGCCGCGAATCTCCTACCCCTCGGAAGCCGCCTAGAAGCATGCGACTTCCTCTTGGGCGAAAAACGCGGCGTGGCAAGATGCCGGCCAAACCTACCATAAAACCATCAGCATGCGTCCCTCAAAAAAACAGAGAAAAGAAAGAAGAAGCATCCGCACGCAACATCGCAACTCACCTCACAACATCCGCATCCACATCCACATCCACACGCATCCTCTTCGTCGCGCACCCATCCGCCCCCTCTCCCTCCCCACACCCTCTCTTCCTCTTCCCCCCACCTCCCACCACCACCACCCCCGCCTCATCCCCACTCGACGGCGGCGTCACCAACTCCCCCCGTCCCTTCTTCATCTTCCACCCGCCCTTCCCCCCACCACCACCAGCGGCGACCGCCACTACCCTCGGCATCGTCTGCACCCCCTCGCCGTCTTCTTCCTCCTCAGTCTCCGCCGTCGCCTCCCGCAGCTCCCGCATCGCAGCACTTAACCGGTCGTCGTACGCGGCGCGCACATCGTCGGGCGTGGTGCCGCGCGGCCACAGCAGATGGTGGTGGCAGCAGTCGTCGGAGGAGGAGAAAGAGGACGAGGAGGTGTGGTTGTCGTGGACGCCGTACTTTGCCGCGCGGCGGGCGTCGGCGGCGACGGTCGCCTCGAGCGCGGCGCGCAGGTGGTCCGCGTGCGAGCGGTCGGGGTCGAAGAAGGCTAGGTCCATGTGTATCGAAATGCAGGTTTGGTGTTTTGTCGCGCGTGGATGGGGGGTAGGAGGTAAGTGATGCGACCGGGACGGCGCGCGACCGGGCGATGAGGTGTTCAAGGGCGGCACCGGGCCTATTCTTGGCTTGGGCGAGGGCGTCTCACGTCAAAGCCGGGGTTTTGCCGCTGGGAAATTCGGATTGGGTGGTGATGTGACGGATGTGGTTAGCGTGGTGTTGAGCATGACGGTAGCCTTTTTCGTGCGCGTGGGTTCAACAACGGTTGCTGGGGTCGAGTCTGACGCTGTTATTATGAAGGGTAATTTTTCATCACTCGACGCGACTACAGGAGGAAGAATTTTAGCACATGGAAATAAATGGAGTGGCCGTGTTGTTCGAAGTAGGCGCAATCGCCTCGCCGCTGCCTGCGACTGGGACGAACGAGCAAAAAATACCACTGATGTTTGGTGCTACACAAGCGTAGGGAATAAAACATCCGCCAATACGAATTGCAAGGCGACGCAGACGGATTGAATTATTTCACCATTCGTAGTGGCTCCCGGCTTCTCGGCCAGGCATGGACCATTGCCATAGGCTTACACTTCGCGGTCATGTGCCACGACAGGCTGCTCGCTAAAGGTTTGCAATGTGTGATATGCGGAGCTACTGGTTCGGAACTTGCAGACAACAGGAGAGACGGTGCGCATGGCAACGCAGATGGTGTGGAATGGTGTGGGATGGCGCAGAGCGGCGTGTGACGGCGACAGGGCACGCAGGCGAGGTGAGAGGTGCGGTCTCAGGACAGACTCGGGCGAACAGTTTTTCCAGAATAGCGCTGTTGAGGGCAGGCGAATGGCGTGCCTGGGTCTGGTCTCCCGCGAATAACAAAGCCGCCGCCCAGCCTTAACGCGGGCGCTTCTGCTATCACCTCGCTCCTTCCTGCTCCGCGCCGCTGCACCCCGCGACAAGAGCAGAGCCCCCGCTGTCTCCCTTTCTCACGACGTGACGAGCTCCCACGAGTCTTCTTTTTTCTTTCCTTGGTCCCTCCCCGTCCCTTTGTACAATAGACGCCTTCCGAAAAAGCCCCACTAGCTCCCAGGGTCCGGATCTGCAAGAGCCCGACGGTGCTTTCGGCTTCTCGCGCCCACGTTTCACCCTCCTTCGCGCCTGCCTTTGAACTACAGCATCCTATGAGCAGCTCTGCCCGCCACAACAACCCGACCCTCACACCCGTCTCTCCTTGCCCCGAGCGCCCGCAATGGCTACCGGTACGTCCGTCGGTGCAGCCGAGCAGCGCTGGCACAGAGCTGCCTCGCAGCCCTCACGGCCTCACAGACGCGCGAGAGCTATATGCTGACCGCAACACGCTCCAGAAACCGTCAAAGTCGTCCCCTTGACGTGCCATGGCCACTCGCGGCCCATCACCCACATCAGCTTCTCGTCCGTCATTGACGATGACTACTTCCTCATTTCCGCCTGCAAGGACAACAACCCCATGCTGCGCAACGGCGTGACTGGCGACTGGATAGGCACCTTCCTGGGCCACAAGGGCGCCGTCTGGTCGGCGCGCATCTCGTCGGACGCCACCCTCGCCGCCACCGGCTCGGCAGACTTTTCGGCCAAGGTGTGGGATACCCAGACCGGCGAAGCCCTGCACACGCTCGAGCACGAGCACATTGTCCGCGCCGTCGCCTTCCCGAACCAGCCGCATCCCCAAATACTGGCCACGGGCACGGTCGGCAAGAGACTCCGCATCTTCGATCTTTCGAGGAGTACCAGCGCAGCTTCGTCGCCCACCGAGCCCAACGGCGTGTCGTCTGCGAGCTTCGAGATCGGCGCTGGAGTGCACCAGGGATCCATCAAGTCCATCGTCTGGGCAAACGACCCCAACATCATCATCACGGCGTCGGAGGACAAGAAGATACGGTGGTGGGACCTGCGGACGCAGTCGACAATCGGCGAGTACGCCGTTGACGGGACTTTTGGGAGCTGCGAGCTGGACAACATGGGGGCCGACGGCAGCCAGGGAGGCGGCATCCTGAGCGTCGCCGCGGGCAAGACGGCGTATTTTTTCGACGGAAGGCAGCCCGCAACGCTGATCAAGAGCGTGACGACAAAGTACGACTTGGCCAGCGTCGCGCTACACAGCGCGCAGGAGAAGTTCGTCGCGGGTAGCAGCAGCGACACGTGGGTGCATGTCTTCGACCTCAGCACCGGCGAGGAACTGGGTAAGCGCACATCACCTGAGCTCTGCCCTTGCATGCGCGCGCTAACGAGTCACACCAGAGATTGGCAAGGGTCACCATGGTCCGGTCTGGACGAGCATGTTCTCACCCGATGGAAAGCTGTATGCAACGGGCAGCGAGGACGGCACAATCAAGCTGTGGAAGTTCACAACCGGCCCTTACGGTCTCTGGAGGTAGCCCTAGAGCTGCGCAGCAATAGAGAAAATAGGCAATATGATACCCCTGCACACACACGTTGCAGACTGTGTGGCTGTCGACCGCTACCGTCCCGTCTACTTTCCGTCCAATGCGTCAGTATCAAGATGCCGCGTGCTTATCCCGTCTCCAACGCAGGGGATCCACGCTCCAGCTCGCGGCCGTCGTCACCCGCGTCATTCTTCTCCGTCGCAACTATCCTGGATCCCGGACTTAAAACCTGGACCCTGCCATCACGTGCTGAAAACTTGTCCTACCTTGCTCCATCTTCGCCCAGGTGACACTGCTTTTTGTCTTTATTTTCTTCATGAAGACCCGCAGCCCCGCCATTCAACACCGAAACCTCACCTCCCCCTCATTCCTACAGTCCTCCCTCTCTCTTCGCACGTTACACCCGACACACTTGTGCTTCGAACGGCCAAGCGCGTCGCAGCTATAGCACCGCGACTCACCGGTAAATTCCCAATTGATCGAGGCCGGACGTTGCTCGAGCCAGGGTCGGCCTCCACCCGCCGCCGACACGGTCGACGCTGCGAAACACGCACAAGGTTTCATCATCGACTACGCACACGCGCGCGCGCACGCGCAAGCCACAACAAACACGAGCTACCAGCCATGGGCCAAGCCCTCCCCAAGCAGCATTGGCACGATGCCGACAGCTTCTTCGTCGCGGCCCAGCTCCACGTGCTGCCGGACCAGCAAGATATTGCGCGAAAAGGCGACGACCACCATCCGCGACAACACCAACACCAACAGAAGCAGAACAGCCATCATCGCGATCGCCATGACGGCAGCCACCATCGCCACGACAGTCACAGCCACAGCCACAGCCAACCTCCCCCCAACGGCTTGAAGCTCACCACCACCACCACCACCGCACTCCAACCAGCCCCACCCCCCTCCATCCCCTCCTCAAAGTCCAAGTCATCGTCGTCGTTATCCTCCTCTTCTTCCTCCTCCCCAGCCCCCTCCCCCACCACATCATCATCATCCTCTGACGAGGCCTCCTCCGATGACGAAGCCGCTGACGACGCCGCTGACGACTCCCCCTCCGCCTCGCCCTCCTTGTCCTCCTCCGAGCAGGACCAGGACCAAGACCAAGACCACACCGCAATCCCTCCTCCTCCTCATCTCCATCCACGCCTCGACCCACCCACCAACGTCTCCGCCAACGCCAACGTCTCCGCCCCCGCCCCCGCCCCCGCCCGCACCCTCGCCGCGCAGCACTGGGTCGGCGTCGTGAGGGAGGCGCGCGGCTTCCAGCGCGTGTATGCGCGGGCGTTGGAGGCGTGGGTGGTGGGAGTGGCGGAAGGGAAGGGGGAGGCGGAGGCGGAGGTGGTGGAGGTGGAGGACGAGGAGGCGGCGGAGGATGAGGTGATGGGGAATGGTGGGAGGATGGGGAGAAGGGGAAGTGGTAGTAGTAGTAGTAGTGGTGGGAGTTGGGGTGGGAGTGATAGTGATAGTGGGAGTAGTAGTGGGAGTGGGAGTGGGAATTGGTCGACGAAGGTGGCAAGGAGAGCACGTGGACGCGGACGTGGACGCGGACGCGGACACGGGCATGGGAGGGTGGGGAGTGGTAGTGGCGGCGTGGTGGTGGATGCGGGAGGTGGCGGAGAGGGAGGGAATTGGGTGGCGCTGGATGTGATGGAGAGGAAAGGGAAGGGGATGGATGAGGGAGAAGACGAGGAGGACGAGGAGGAGGAAGAAGAAGAAGAAGAAGAAGAAGAAGAAGAAGAAGAAGAAGAAGAAGAAGAAGAAGAAGAAGAAGAAGAAGAAGAAGAAGAAGAAGAAGACAAAGCAGTGGAGCCTCTCAACGGCAGAGCTAATGCGATTGACGCGACAAAGGGCAACTGGCTGCTGCGCAGTACCGCCGCCACCCTCCATGATACGCGGACGAAGTGCCGAACAGATGTAAGCAGTTGGACAGCGGCGGACCTGGTCGATCTAGCGACGAGAGGCGGCCCGCTGCGGTGCTACCGGTGGCACAGCGACGGTGATGGGCGGGAGGGCAAGGAGAGGAGCAGGCGGCAGCTTACCGAAGACGCGGCGAAGCTGGGGTGGTGCGGGAGGTGGCTTGTGAGGAATTATTACCGGGGCTCGACAACAACCGCACCCGACACCAGCAGAGCGAGAGGAGACGAACAAGGGGAAGCGGCTCAAACGGAAAGAGAAGCCACGACCGTAATCGACGACGAAACGGGTCTCTGCAGCATCACCGTCCGCGTTCCGATGCACAACCGGCCTCGGGACGACACCTCTTCATCCTCTCACACAACTCTCGTAACCATCCCCCCCACGACCTTCCTCCTGATCAAACTCCTCACCATCCTCTACCCCTCCGGCGCCCCATGGTCATCCCCCCCATCCCCCACCGACCCCGACACCGACATCGACGCTCCACCCTCTACCAACCCCGCCACCGCCATCACAGCCGAAAAAGCCTCCCGCAACCGCCGCGTCTGGCTCGCCATGTGCCTCGGCTGGGCCTGGGCGCTGCAAGCCTATCTCGCCGCACACCCTCCTCCGCGCACAACAACGAACGGAAGTATAATCGACGGCAGCGATGCCAGCGACGGTGATAGCGACGATAATGGCGACGATCTAGATGCGGACGCATACTTGCTGGACAGGTCCGACGACGATGAAGGGCTCCTAGATGGCGACGGCGACGATGACAGCGATGGGCAGGAGGAGTGGGAGGGTATGAGCGAGGTGGGGATTGAGGATGCGGATGTGTTGGCGGCATTGGCGAGGGTGGGGTTGGGTGGTGGTACCGGTGGACAGCGGAGGCGGAGTTTGGTACCTAGTGATGGGGATGATGAGGATGAGATTGGGGGAGGGTGAATTATGGGATGAGTAATGGAGGGCGTGCTCGGATTGGGAAAGAGCACAATAAGGCAAGGGAAAGGAGAGTGAGTCAAAAGGTACGGTAAACTTGCGATTTTGACCGAGTTGACGGGCATTATGATTCAAAGGCCAGAAGATTATATTCTAGAGATAATGGAAGCGTGCTGCTTTCATACTACGGTTCCTGCTTCAAGGAGAAGTGGGTGCGTTTTGCCCATTTCAATGCCAGCGCGTTCCCACTCCATCTCTCGCTCTACACAGTACCGACAACACCTTGGCTGCAAACCGATTATTTGAGCGCCGACATTCCTTCAGCTCTGATCAAACAGCAGACGAGCTTTCACTCCACGCTGACTCATCGTCGTCTCGCTGTGTCTCATTCGATCCGTTCGTCTCCCCGAAGCGAATGTCTCAGACTTCTGTTTGCAGTCAATGCCACCCATTCTCAAAACTCGAGCTGAGAAGCTAGCCTTCTCCTCCACCCTTGTCCCCGCCATTTTTTTTCTTCAAGCTGTATCCCGACAGTATGGCGCCAAAGGTAGACCTTGTATCTGCTCTTCGCGATTCTCCCGACCCTCGGCAGGCCGATGCCGACACAGGCCAACGCCCGCGTCGGGAGACGCAACGCCGAAGAATGTCTGTCGCGGACCAAAAGCGAGAGGTTGACGAGCAAGCAACTGCCGCCGGCGTTTCCATGAGAAATTTCGCCCACCTGGACCAGAAGAAAATCCTCCGCAAGATGGACGTCCGCATCGTTCCCATCCTCGCTCTCCTCTACCTCATGTCCTTCCTCGACCGCTCCAATATCGCAAACGCCAAAGTGGAGGGCCTGAGCGAAAGCCTCAACATGTCCAGCGGCCAATACAACTGGACGCTGACCATCTTCTTCTTCTCCTACTGCGCCTTCGACCTTCCCAGCAACATCGTCCTCAAGAAGCTACGACCTAGCATATGGCTACCAATAACCGTACTCGCCTGGGGCATCGTAATGACGCTCATGGGTCTCGTGCAAAGTTACAAGGGCCTCCTCACAGCACGATTTTTCCTTGGGCTTACGGAAGCCGGGTATCTTTTCCCCTCACACACTTCGGCCTACACATGGGAAACTGACACAAAACCGCACAGACTCTACCCCGGAGCATCCTTCTACATAACGACATGGTACTGCCGCGGCGAAGCCCTCTGGCGCCAATCCCTCTTCTTCAGCGCCGCCAGCATCGCCGGCGCCTTCTCCGGCCTCCTCGCCTTCGCCATCGCCAAAATGGACGGCATCGGCGGCCTCGAAGTGTGGCGCTGGATCTTCATCCTCGAAGGCCTCGGCACCGTCCTCGTCGCCCTCCTCTCCTACTTCGTCATCTGGGACTACCCGCAAACCGCCACCTTCCTCACCGCCGAGGAGCGCGCCTTCGTCGTCCACCGCCTGAAGTACCAAATCTCGGACCTCAACACCGCCCCCGACCTCGACTCCTCCGGCCGCCTCGTCGTGCCGCAAAACGACGACGCCATCCGCTGGACGCACGTGCGCGCCGCCATCCTCGACTGGCAGATCTGGGTCAACATCGTCGTGTACTGGGGGATAGCGTGCCCGCTGTACGGCATCGCGCTGTTCCTGCCGACCATCATCCAGACGGAGATGGACGTGTCGCCGTCGACGGCGCAGCTGCTGACCATCCCCATCTACGTCTCGGCGGCGGCGAGCTCCGTGCTCTTCGCGTTCCTCAGCGACCGCCGCGGGCAGCGCTCGCCCTTCCTCCTCTTCTTCTTCCTCGCCATGGCCGTCGGCTTCGTGACGTGCGTGTCGTCGGCGCGCCCCGGCGTCGTCTACGCCGGCGTCTACATCGCCGCCTGCGCCATCTACCCGGCCTTCCTCGCAAACGTCACTTGGCTGAGCAACAACCTCGCGGGGACGTCCAAGCGCGCCGCCGGCATGGGCATCCAGATTGGCTTCGGCTCCTTGGGCGGTGGTAAGTCGTCTTCCCTTTCCTTTCGTTCCCTCTCCTCTCCTTAAACCCCCTTCCCCCTCTCCCCTCCCCCTCTCCCCCACCCCCTCCGCACACACGACCCGAACCCAAAAAAAACGACAGAAAGATTAAAAAAAAAAACCCCCCCCAGCAATCGCATCCAACTTCTACCGCGACCGCGACGCGCCGCGCTACGTGCTGGGCCACGCGCTCGAGCTGGGCTTCATCCTCGCGGGCGCCACGGCCGCCGCCGTGCTGATGCTCAGCTACTCGGTGCTCAACCGGCGCCGCCAGACGGCCGTCACGCGCGGCGCCCACTTCGACTACACGTCGCGCCAGCTGAGCGAGATGGGCGACCGGGCCGTCACGTTTCGGTATTTCTTGTGAGCGCACGGGGGAGGGAATGGTGGGACTGGGAGTACTGGGAGTACTGGGAGGGAAGAGAATGACAGCGATGATCAGTCAGAAAGGGGAAGGACAAAAAAAGGATGAGTCAGAGGGGAGAGGGGATGTGTGGGTGCATGCAGTGCATGGATTTCGGGTTCGTGTGGCTTAAATGGTCGTTGTTGTTGTTGTTGGAAGAAGGGAGGAACAAAGGACGGAGGAAGCGGGTTGTGGCTACTACATATGCTTGTCCCGTTGGTAATTGTGGATGGGCGTGGGGGTTTTCTCAAGATAATAGTAATGAGTAATACGGTAGGAACAGAGACAAGCATGGCCCCTCTGATGATTGAAATTCTTATTGTCCTCGCTGATAACTATGTTGCCTATGAAAAAGAATGACCGCAGTTGAAGTAAAGACTTTTTACCAAAGCAAAGCAAAACCCAGCAAATCCGAGCCCTTATTAAATTCACCGCTGATTATTAGTGCAGTGCCGATTGAACTGAAATTGTTGAACCAGTGGCTGAAGTTCGATCATGGAAAAAGTCAAAGAGAAAATAGGAAAGCAGTCCCTCCCGTAATGCCACTGTCCTAAGGGAGAAATCATAGGAGCCAGAACGGGCTGTCAGGAGATGGAACGTTGCCGAATCAATGCAGCGTTGTGTTACTGGCGTCGGCAGCGAACTCGCTCTTTGTGTAGATCAGTGGGTTCTTTAAGAAAAGACTTAGTCAAGGAGGCTCTGCTCCGAATTGGTCGGTGTCCTGCTGCTCGAAACAGGGTCGTAATCGTGCACCCATCGCTGGCGATGGGGGCCACGGCCAGTTGAGGGTGGGGTAGCACCACGCGTTCCAGAAGAATACTTAGCACCAGCCGTAGCCTGTAAAGCTGAAGGGGCGCTCCGATAGTCATCATTGAAGACGGAACGTTCCATCTCCTTTTCCAATAGGGCAGTGCGGCGCTGGTCCAAATGTTCCAGCCTTTCCTGGTACTGTTGGTTTGCTCGTTGTGCCAGTTCTGCATCGTGCTCCCTGACGTTCTGAGTGTAGGCTTGCCATGTTGAGTGGTCAGATCCATCACTGTTCGATTTGCGATGGGCGCCACAAAGTGGTGAAATCCGTACAGAGCCGGCCTGACGGAATGGCTGAGTAGTGGGTCCAGCACCAGGCGTTGGAGGACGCCTAGAGTGGGCAGCAGTGTCGTTCTTTCTCAGCGCAACCTGGCCAGTGTTAAGCGTAGGCCTCGCTCCCGGGCGGAGAATGGACCCGACTGCACGCACGCAGATTGTGCAACGGCATTCGTCAGCGCAAGATGCTGCACACATATGACCACAACCTAGGGTCCTTCGGCAACTCTGGTTGCAACTGACTGTCTCGTGCGGGAACGGGTGGCAGTGTAGAATGCAGTGATGACCGCAGGGAAGTTTTCCCTTGCACATCTCTTCGCAGCCGCCGTGCACAAGGCTCCAGTCATCGAGATCACCGATAAAAGTTTTGCGCCCATGCTTGACACAAGTCAGAGGCAGGTGATAGCCAACCCGCATGGCTTCCTCCTTGAGACTCTTCTTACCAGCTAGAACGGTGATGACCTCCGACCAGATCTTGCTCTCGGTGGCAAGAAGTTGGCCGTTGCCGAACATGTAGAAACCTCGTTTAGCGCGTGAAAGAGCAACGCAAACCCTATTCACGTTGCTCAAGAAGCCAACGCGGCCATTGATGTTGCTGCGGACCAGCGAGAGGAGGACAACTTCATTCTCTTCGCCCTGGTAGGAGTCAACGGTGACAACTCTAAGGTCGCGTCCGGTCCCTTGTAAGTTCGGATGGGACCTGAGTTTCTTTAGGATTAGCTTGCGTTGGCCGTTGTAGAAGGTCAGCACCGTTATGTTTCCGTAAGGCATGCCGTTCATAAAGAGATAGTTGTAGAATTGGGCAATCATGTCGGCCTCCATAGCGTTACACGAGGACATTTGGGTATCAACGGTCTCCGGCCACTCGTGAGTAAAGAAGAAAGTGTCGATGTCACCCATGCCAGGAACAGGAGCGCGGATGGCTGGGTCCTTGACTGAGGGATGGTCTTTGATGAGGTCTCCGTAGATGGGTCTGATAAGACGTCGGATCTGCGGAACCATGCGCCTCTGCCGGCGAAGAGTGTCGTACTCTACCTTGTTCCTTACAAGGCGCTCAAAGAGCGACACGTTAAGAAAGAAAGGGTCATCTTCATGGTCCGAGACATGGCAATGGGGCCGAAGTTGCTGATGGTCACCAACGAGGATGAGGTGCTCCAAGGAAGGGACGCAAGCTGCGGTCACCGGGGCCTCCAATGTCTCGGCAGCTTCCTCAATCAGGACGATCTTGGGTTCCAGAGACGACACCAGAGCGCGGTACTTGCTGAGCCCAGTGGTTGTCATACCGATAATCTTTTGCTTCCTCAGTACCATATGGTCAAGTTCCCATCGACCAACGGCACGCTGTACGACAGCCTCCTGGTATTCTTTCGCAACCTCACGGAATGCTTTCAAGATCAGTTCTTTCGCCTGGTTCCTCAGATAATTGTACACCACGCCCCTCAGCTTGTCCTTGATCTTGTACATGTTGTCGGTCTTCGAGAGTAGTCGTCGAACGTCCTCATCCGTGACGCTCGTGGACGTAGAATGTTTGCCGACAAGGTTCTCTGACAGGTTTATTATACCGCCTGGTAGTGTTTCGTAGTCTTCATCGTCTTTGACCATGTTCTCGGCTTCGATTTCCTTGAGTTGCTCGAATTCGAGATCGACCTCTTCATACTCAAACGCGAAATCGTCTGGAGGGATGCCCCTCTCAACAAACTCATAGTGCTTGCCGATCCAGTCAGCGATTCGATCCTCAGAATGATCTTCCTGTTGGGCGCCATGGGATTCCCAGCGAGTATCACCACGCTCAAACGACTCGAATTGCTTTTCAGTGATAATTTTGAGCTGGTGGAGGAGATTGTGGGAGAAGAACGCACTCCTGACTTGTAGAGGAGAGAGAAGCGTACGCATCTGCCTCTCAATGTTCTTTAGGCGGAAGATCGCCGGGCTCATCGCACCACCGGCGATGGACGGTGGCCTGTCAACCTGCTTGAGCTCAAAGAGTGTGCGCTTCTTGATCTCTTCATCGCGAGAGCGACCGCCTAAGCGCACGAAGCTAGGCTCAAAGGCTGCAACATGACGCAAAAGCTGATCCAGAGCGTGGTTGGTCTGGCAAGCGACAATGATGGGTGCGTCGAAACCTTGCTCCATGTTGTTCAGTAAGGCTTTTAGAGCAACCACGGACACGTGAGTCTTGCCAGTTCCAGGGGGTCCTTGAATGATGGCGCATTTCTTCGTGATCATGCGCTGTAGGGCAAGGACTTGAGTCTTGTCCAGCTCTGTCTTCAGATAGTCCGGCCACGGCTGAAGGACATTCATGCTTGTTTCGCCCTCGAATACTGGAGTAAGATCAAGGTGTGGGTTCCTTTCGATGTAGTCCGGGGCATCGACAGCTGTCTCGAGGTTGATGAGATGCTCCGATAAAGGAAACGGTTCTCTCATCAACTTCTGTAGCGCACGGAGCGTGTGTCGTGTACCTTCAAAGTAGCTGCTGCGCTCTTCGACCATCATCCAGCATTGGCCAGGATCAATCTCAACTTCCTCGGGGCGTGGGAAGAAGATGTCGATTTCAGGCGGGTCTTGCACCAGGTTGGCCAACGGCCTGGCAGCGATGACCGCCACGGTACATTTAGAACGGAAGTTGTCACTCTCCGGTGTCAGTGCAATGAGTGAGCCTGTAAGCAGCCGCTTAGATTGCTCCCAGTGGATTCGTTTACCAGCGCGGGCAAGAGAGAATTGGACGCGGGCGGCAAGTCCACGAGGAGAGAAGGTAAAACCGACTATGTGGACATTATTATAAATGCCCACAGTACTGCCATACTCGTCTTCTTTTCCCCACGACTTCGTGCGGATCCGGCCGACCGTCTCGCGTAAGGGCCGGACCGTGTCCTCTCTCAAGAGCTCAAACAGACTCTCGAGATACCGTTCCTTCGATGCCCAGGGGCCGTCGATGTTGTTTGGCAGAATTGACACCGTGTCACTCAGAAAATCCTCTGTATCAAGGATTTCCTCAGTGGTCGGTACCTCTGGCCGAGATAACCATGACTCAGTGGCCACGGGAAGATTTGCTTCGGACACATACTGGCGGATGGTATGAGGCACGGTAACCGAAGGTTCAACGGAGGATCTGGCGAATGAAGTTCCATGTTGTGAACGACCAGCGATGTTTATGCGTGAAAACTTCTCGTGGAGGTGTGGGTTCACCTCATCTTCGGCATCCATTGCGGCGAACTGGTATGAATCGGCAGCAGAGCGCGGCGCTCTTGTCGTGGAGGGAGCCATCGTCAACTCAGGCGGAGTTGCGGTAGCGGCAGGCTCAGGCGGCGGGCCCGCCACGAAGCTCTTGAACTGAGGTTTGGCTCGCGCCATAGCGATAGCGAGCGCAAGTAGACTGTAGGACTGCGATGCCTGTTAGGGACAGCTGCTTCAGCGAGACGAGCAGCTGCTGGTACTGCGTCGCAGGCGAGCGATGGCAACAAGCACCTAGCTGCAGGATGTACCAGGTGTTTTCTGTGCGGACGCAGTTGCAAAGCGGGGTGTAGAGATGTTGGGTGAGGAAAGCCGAGCGGCGGACGCAGAATGGTTGTTGCGGCGCACCGCTGGAAACGGCAACCGCGACGGCCACCTAACTATAGGTAACAGCCGGTGCTCGCAGGGCTCATCAGTGCTCACCGGTGTTCTTTCTTGATGGTGATCAGCCTCACCCCGTGATGTGAATGAAGACTAGTCTTCCAGCGTGATGCTAAGGGCACGGAATCGATTCCGAAGAAACAAACACAGAAACAAGTGTAGTAAGTCAACAGCAAAGATACCCACTGGGTTCGACTAAAGGCAACTTTGTAGCGATAGCGCCGCAGGAAGGAGCAGACGTAGACGAAGGGTCGACGTAATATAGGAAGCTACAGAACAATGCTCGGATGATCATTGCTCAGGCTTGATTGCTCAGAGCCCCTGTTCAATCGGCTGCTCTTGTAGGACAGAGATGCTTGAATTCCGGTTTGGCATCAACGCGCCTACCGGGAAGCTGCGGCAGCTGCGACGCAGCCTTCCAGTTGGGAGCCCGCGCATCGGCGCCCGGCGGCCGTCGCTTGTGGGACCTGCCATCACGATGACTTGTAGAGCGATACGCGTCTTGTTTGGGGGGCTGCGGCTTTTCGCGCCGCGCGCCATGACGGTTGTCGTCTGTGAGGGCAGAGGTGTCGTCGGCGGAGGATCGACAGCGACGGGGTCCTGGGCCAGGGCGAGGCTTGAGAGTGAGGGTTCACCGCCCGCGCCGTGGATCTGCCGATGGAAACGCGTGCAACGTCGACCTCGTGCTTGTACTGCTCCACTGACAACCATCCGCCAAAGCGCTATCGTGTGCCTGCTTCTGCCAGAGTCCTTCCAAGTGCCGCCCGAGCTCCCGGTTTCCTACCTGCTGCCGTGTTTGTTTGGGCGCATCCATCCAGCTTCCACCCCGCGAGCAAACCGACCATCCCCGCAGCCACCCGCAACCCGCGACTCGCAAGATACACTGCGTAAAGCGCGCCCAACATGGTGAGCTTTGAGGACGACGACGAGAATGGTGCTTGCCCTCCGTCCGCCCCTGTGACGTCACGTAGTCTCTAACCCAGGCCCAGAATCCAGCTCCGAGAACGAGGTTGACGAGACCATGGACGACATTGACGAGGGCGACGCCGACGCCGATGCTGATGCCGACGCCGATGCCGACGCAGATGGCGACGACGATGCAGAAGGGGACAATGACGACGACGACGGGGACAACGACGAGGAGGACGAGGACCAGGATGATACCCCGGACTCCCCCTCGCGCTCCCAGCGGCCGAGTGCGCCGGACGGGTCGCAAATGCAGAACGGCACCGGTCCAGATGCAGCCCCGTCGCGACAAGACCAAGCCATGCGCCTTGCTTCTGCGTCCCCGCGTCGTTCCGTCACCCCGAACGGAACCCTCCCCCTGCGCCCCACAGTGCGCCCAGAAGCTCTCACGGCCAGCTCTTACGACATAGTTCCTACCATCGCGGCTCCTCACAGCACGTCCATCAACACCATTACCGCGACCCCAGACATGCGCTGGGTGTTCAGCGGAGGTGCGGACGGATATATAAGAAAATTCAACTGGGTGGATACTGCCAACGCCAAACTGATGTTGACCGTGGCGCAACGGCACCCTTTCGTGGACAGCGTCACGAAAGCCGGCGTTTTGCTAAGTTACTGGGAGAATGAGGAAACCTCGGGTCAGTGAAACATAGCCCGCCACACGCCCGGAAGAATCTAACGAACCAAAAGACAGGACCCCTCCTTCCACAAACGATGACAGTTTATCTCTCTCACCCGTGTATTCTTTAGCTGTGCACCACCAAGCTCTTTGGCTTCTTTCAGGCACTGAATCCGGTGCGATTAACCTTCAGACCGTTCGGCACCAAGAAGGTCATCGCATCACGTCTCTTCGAAAGCATACGTCCGCTGTCTCAGTTTTGAGTCTTGCGCAAGACGAGAAATCGGTCTTGTCTGGCAGTTGGGATAAGACCATTAATGATTGGGACCTCAACGTTGGCCAGGTTCGTCGGCGATTTGAAACCAGTGGAGGGCAAATTTCCGCGATTGAGCAGCGCCCCTTATCGACCCTGCCTGTACCAGAAGAGGCAGGCCCACCGCTTTACTCCAATGGAACCTTCAGCTCTAACAACGACGCAAAGCCACTCACCAACGGCGTTCTAACAAATGGTGTGCCAGCAGCAGGCCAGGATGAAGATGCACCTGGAGCCGAAGACGACTCTTTATTTGGCGACAATGATAACGACTCTTTATTTGGTGGAAATGGTGACACCAACGCAAATCCATCGGGCGCTGCATTTGGCGACGATGAAGATGATGAGTTCTCAAGAGCCATTGCAAATGAGATTCGACACGCCGAAGAGCAGGATGCGCAGGGTGACATCGACATGACGGACGTCGGTGGCCCTGTCCAGGCCCTCGATTTGTTGCAGGGCAGCGAGAACGGTGCTCCTGCGGCTGCGTCTGCCGAACCAAATGCGAATGCCCCAGGCATTACAACAACACAGCCTGATGTCACAATGAACGGTCTCCCGCACGCCGAAGAAGGCGCCGATGCTGGAGCCTCCGTCTCGAACACCTTCTCTTCGCAAGACGACACAATCCCTTCTTCCGAAACCACATTCCTGGACGCGTCCATAGACGGCACGTTGCGCATCTGGGACCGAAGACAGCCAAACCCGATAGCACGGATACGCGGCACTCCGCCATGGTGCATGAACGCCTGCTGGTCACCAGACGGCAACTACATTTATGCTGGACGCCGCAATGGCACTGTTGACGAATATAGCCTACACAAGAGCTTGCGGGAACCCTCTCGCACATTCCGGTTCCCCTCTGTCAGTGGTGCGGTCAGTGCGGTCAGGGCCATGCCCAACGGAAAACACCTCGTCTGGTAAGTTCACGTACTCAGTCCAGACACTGAAGAAGCAGTTGTGCTGACCTGCTTATCCAGCGCTTCGTATGATATTCTCCGTTTGTATGACCTCAAGGAACAAGAAGGCACCAAGCACGCGGCGGTTCCGTACACCATTGTACCCGGACACAGAACCGGAGTCATCTCGCAACTCTACCTCGACCCCACTTGCACTTTTATGATCTCGACGGGAGGCAACAGAGGCTGGGAAGGCAACTCCACGGAAGTCTTGTTGGGATATGAAGTCCACTTCGTTTAGGGAGTTGTGCGGGATAAAGTATTTATGGTGCAAGATAAAGCCCGTCGGAACGGACTTGGGCATTTTTGGGAACGGAATGGTTATACCCAGGCTTTGATATACGCAGGCGTTGGATGCGGCACCTACAAATGGGGTTTTGTATCGAAAGAATTACATAGCGAATACTTCGACTTTGGTGTCTACGTTGTACGCGTGCTGGAACTGGGTCGTGTCATGTCGTCGAAATCCGCGGGCTTTCTCGACCTTTGTAGCATGAGTGACGGATGTGGGCGGCTGGAGCTTCAGTCTGTCTGGCCTTGTCACCTCCAGACACTGCAGATACTGGACGTCGAGTGAGGACATGGAAGATTGAAGCCACCTGCGCCCAACAGAAGATTCAAGAGTCACTTCTACGGTCGCGCTCCCAGGTTCAACCATCTACGTGAGTTTGTTGCAGTAGCTGTGTGAGACAGATGCGGGTGGGCTCAATTCAGTTGCAGGAAGAATGACATCCTGCTCATAGTGACGGTAGAACACTTACTCGGCAAGAGAGTAATGCGAAGAAATTAGTGTGGTTTCACATGCCTCCTCATGAAAAAGATTACGTTGATGTGAAATCGACAACCTGTCCCTTCCTGAGGATTATAAGGTGCCGTATTCCTATAGGTGTCAGTAGAACCATGACTTCGCAGGTGAGATGACGGTATGATAAGTGCTCGCTGCCAAAGGAAGATGACTGAGATGCCTTGGCGACACTACAGTCTAGATAAAGCATGTGTTTAACTTATGTAGATCTTAGAATCATCAGTGTGATCGCGTTTAAAAAGACTAAGGCTCGCATTCGGATATCTATTCCAGGCGGCGGGTGTGCAAAAAAGCAAAACTGAAGCTGATGCAACCCGGGATTGAACCCTGGGCTGCAACACCACACGGCCGGACCAAGTACGCCATCTGGACGAACTTGGCACAGAGCTACATGGGCAAGGCCCCGAAGGACTCCCTAAGCTGGCCGTGCGGCACCGGTAAACCGGACCGCTACAGAAAGGTGACACGGGGGACCACCACCTTTTTTCGGTATCCATGACGCTCTAATCCCCGAGCGTTGCCTAGGAGTCGTGGGCTGGTAAACCAGTTAGCCACGTAACCTTTATCGGCTGGATGGGAGAAAAAGTGGCGGATTTAACCTATATACCCCCGCTAAAATATCTCAGTGTTGGTGCCATGCTCACCCAGATCTCCGCTCACCGCGTAAAACAGGCTCTGCCAGGCGCTCAACCTAGAATCTCACAGGGATTCTGGCCCTCAAGGGCCGTGCCGATGGCTTGGAGACAATCTTCAACTATCCACATTCTCTGCGAGAGTGAGAAGACTTAAACCCTCCGTAACCTGATATGCGCCGGTAGACACGCCAGTGACCGCACCAACCGAGGAGATATTCAGCCAGCCTGTCACTGTTTTCACAAAAATGGTTAGCACATGTCACTGAGGGCTTCGCGCTTTAAGAGTCTGCCCCATGCCCTTCCCTTACCTTTCTTCTGCCTCTCTCCTCCAACTCCGCTTCTTAACCAACCACCACCACAACTTCACCATGGCGACCTGCAGGAGCAAGAAACCGCCGTTCATCAACCAGGTGTCAGGTCACTTTGCGAACAACGAGCTCTACTCCGACATCACTCTCCGCTTCAGTGACGGCACCGAGCTGTCGGCGCACCGCGTCGTCCTCGCCAGCCAGTCCGGCTGGTTTGCGCAGCAACTTCTGGATATCGAAGACCAGATGAATAAGGTATGCCCCGTCTATTATCCATTGCACACGCATACGCACACACGCACCCGACCCGTCACCCGCCGGATCCAAAAAACCGCCGCCCGCTGGCTCCCTCCCCACCGCACAACCTCACTCCGCCCACCCACCACGATCCTCGCCACCCAGCCCAGCCCACCGTCGCTAACCCCGCCGACCCTTCCCCCAGGATCCCTCCGCTGCGACCGCGACCGCGACCGCGACCGCTTCCGCGTCTACCCCGCCCACCGACCCTCCCGCCTCATCCTCATCCGCGGCCCGACCCGGCCTAATGATCACGCTCGACCTCCCAACCGACCACTCGCACCCCTCGCTCCTCTGCGCCCTCATAACCTACATGTACACGCGCGTCTACCCCTCCCTCATCCCACCGACCGACCCCACCGAGCCAAAAGCCTACACCGCGCTGCGGCACCTGCGGCTCTACATGCTGGCGACGGAGTACCGCATCCCGGCGGCGCAGGCGGCGGCGGCGCGCCGCGTCAAAGACTACCTCGACGAGCTGTTCCGCATCCAGGCGGACCTGCTGACGGATTTCGTGCCGTTTTTGTTCGGGGACGCGCTGGCGCCGCGGCGGTTCGAGAGGGACGAGCATGGGTTGAGGGGGTGGGTGGCGGAGAGGGTGGTGGAGGCGGGGTTGGATAGGGTCGAGGCGTGTGAGGTGGGGAGGTTGGTGAGGGAGTGGCCTGGGTTTGGGGGTGAGTACTGGTTGATTGCTCTTGTCTTTGTCGCTGTTCGTCTGTTTGTCTTGCCTTGATTGCCTTGCTTCTTTCTTACTTTCCTTCCTTCCTTCCTTCCTCCCTTGCTTTCTTTCTTTCTTTATGTGGTGGTGGTGTTTGAAGTGATGTGTGCTGCTGATTCGTGGGTGTGGATGTGTTAGTCGAGTACCTTACTGCTTTCTGGAACCGCCGCAAGAAGCAGATCGAGGAGGAGACGCTGCAGGGATTCTTCTGCCCGAGCTGCGATTGCAGTATGGAGATTGTGATTACGGGCGTGAAGGAGCGCGGGGCGCGCAAGAGCTCGGCGATCTCGGTTGTGCGTAGTAGCGATGGCGGTGGCGGAGGTGGTGGCACGGCGGTCGGCGCCTTCGACAAGATTGAGGGAGGTGGAGGCGAGAGTGGTGGTGGTGGTGCAGATGGTGGTGGCAACCTTATCAAGATGTGCCCGAACTGTCAGGGACCGCTGGAGAAGCAGGCCATTAAATGAGGGAAGGCATATGGAGACATTGGGGAGTTCTTTTCCACTGATATGCGGGATGGTGGTTTGTTGAGCCGGGGAACACTGTTTCTGGCTCAAATCGGGGCTCTGGTAGTGGTGTAGCGGAGTCAGTCGAATCTGGACGCTTCGGGAGAAAAGCTCCAAGCAATCTCACAATTCTTCAGTTCCCGCGGTCATGGATTCTTGAATTGAAAGTGGTGAGATCGACTTCATGATGGAAAGCACTTCGACAATACGGAACGACTACATCTCTTACTGATGCTGCTTTAGAACATTCTATATTGGCGTTCATCATCATCATTGGATCTCCTCGAGTTCAACTGGGTGTGGCTGAGATGGTCAAGTACGGAACCAAGTCTACGTTGTTGGCGATTGGTGTAGCCGTAACCAGTGCGACGAAGTCGCACTTCAGCAAGCGATGTACCCTGAGCTTTAGCACGTACTAAAGGCGGAGAAAGACAACACGCGGAAGATATGCTTTCTCTCTCTGGCCACGTGATAATTCCTGCTGTTCAGGCTGTGACCAAGTGAACCTAATTGAGATTAGAGGAAGACATATCAAGAATGATCTTACTGCTCGGTTTTGCAAGGGCCAGAGAGCGGAAAGCCAGCTGCTTCTTGCCCCAGTGCGGCGAGTTCCTCGCCTGACGTCGACGTTCGTGTAGTAACGCAGCCTTGCATCGCCATGACGTCGACTCTCACACTCGTATTTCGAGCTCAAGATCAGCGCTCGATATATTTCGCATGGGCGATGAAACCTCCGGTCCTGGCGCGGAGATCGGGAACACCTCCCGCCCCCGGCCGCTGCGGGCTCGCTGGAAACCTCCGCGCTGCCCATCACATTTTCCGTATTTCGCGACTCGATAAATACACAGCCAATCAAAATGCTTCAGGCCAGCCGCACCTAATATGAACAACCCCCCCTCAAGGCCTCCAGCTCCGATCCCGGAACACGCACAGATCCAGCATCGTCAACATCGAGAAACGTCGGTTCCGGGGGTTAAATTCCATCCAGCCCAGCCTCATTCAACCTAGTCAACGCCTCGCCTCGCCCTCAAGCTGGTAGGTAGGTATGTCGTCAGTACCATTATTAATTTTTTAGCGCCCAACGAACTTCTATAGATAGAATTTTTATTTTCTTGTCCCGACAACGTGACATCGTCCCCGCCACTCGTACCCATCGTTCCAATCGCGCCTTTTTTTCTCCCTTTCCCACCGCCACCCGCGTCCGACCGGCCGGGGCCCAAGCCCGTTGCGGCGTCTTCCACGCCCGCTAAACCGTACGCGTCGCTGGTCTCCCCACTTATTATTCTGGGGCTGCCCAGCCCGTCGGCTGATCAACCGCCACCCCTAAAGTCAAGTCCGACGTGGTGTTGTTGATGCAACGCTTGGTGGATGGTTCCAAGCGACGTTAGGGAAAAGAAAGCAGTGCGTTCAGGAAAGGGCGGGTTGTTGCGCGCCGGCGTGGAATTTAATTCTTTCCATGAACTACAAGTTTGATCCCCGATCGAAGCTGCGCAGCTGTTCGATGGATCGGATTTGTGGAAGCTGTGCCTCAGCTCAGCCGGGGAGTTTCTGCGAATGCATGGTGGTGGTCAAACAGCGTTCTCGGACGTAACTAGTCCTTCGGCTTTTCTTTCTTCGGGGATGTTAAGGCGCAGGTGCCGTGCCTCCACGGGCGAAGATGGACATGTTTTTGCAGCATGGCGATGCTTGCATGAACACTGCGGGCCGCCTGCGGTTCGAGCAGCATAAACGCGGAGCCGAATGGGTTCGTTCTCCAGCGGACATATCAGTCTCAAAATGACGATCATAACAGGACGCTTCAGCACCGTGGCTCCGTAACGACGCGGATGGCCTGATGGTCGAATACAATAATGGAAACACTGTTGTGCTGTAAGTAGTCGAATAGCATAGCGTAATATCTTTCATCCCGCGTGGGTCAACAGCGGCTATGAACCTTCCAGAATGCGAGGCAGGTGGATCCGACACACGTTCTCCTACTAATGAGCACGGTCCAAGAGGCGGTGACGAGGATGATATGTTAGGAACGATAAAGTTTTAAGTTTAATGATGAAGGGTACATTCGGCCGTGGATCGCCAAGGCATCTTGTTATGCATGAAACAGGATCAGATCATCAACAGCACCGAGGCGCGCATGTCACTCAATTGTAGGAATGGCCGGAGAATTTGAATGGATCGAAGCGAGTTGCTTCGATGCCCATTATCGATTACTTCATGAGCGTGGTTGCCATGAGCTAATTGATACCCGATGCGATGCTATTTATATTTACATGAAATTTTTCCACAAAATGCGATGCGATGCGATGCGATGCTAAAAGACAAAGTGCTGCCACGAGCCGCTTACTGGCCCTGCTGGGAGTAAGAGCAGCCAACGGGCGAGTCGGTGTACTGAGCACTGAAGCCGAAGGAGACGCAGTCCTCGGAGAACTGCTGCTGCCAGATGCCGTAGCTGCCGTCGGTGCTGGGGCAGGCGTAGAAGGCGTCGGAGCCGTCGAAGGTGAGGTAGCCGCTCTCGCTGACAGCGAAGCCAGTGCGCTCGCTGTTCTTGGGAGTGGGCTGAGCACCGGTGGTGTAGCCGATGTTGCCACGGCCCATGCCGGAGCGGTCAACGTAGACTAGGGAGGACAATTAGTGTTTGTTCGTTCGCATCTTGAAATCTGCTCAAAACTTACGCTGCTGGGGAGTAGCGCTGGTGGAGTAGAGGTAGGCAGCGCCGTCCTGGATGTAGAAGGTGGCGAAGTCGGTGCCCTGCTTGTCGCAGGAAGCGTCCTGGGCGTGGTTGAGCCAGAGGCTGTTCTTGGAGGCAGAGACACCAGCGTTCTGGATGTCAGAGCCGGAGTGGATGGCGAGACCACCAAAGTACTTGTTGGTGGCAGCGGGGGCAGCGGAGGCAGCGCCAGCGGCGGCGAGGAAAGCGACGGCGGTCTTGGTGAACATATTTGCGGTTGTTGGAAGATTGATGAACGGAAAGGTTCGAAGGTTGTAAAGTGGATTGGAGTGTTGGAAGTGGTGAGAGCTGGTTGTTGGATGCTGTTTCTCGATGGCTTGTCCATTGGTATTTATGTGCGTCCTTCTAGAAGCAGTCCCTCACCCGCCCCTATCCCCGTGACGTTCAATACGAGGTGTGCTTGGCGACATCGTCATAGCTTCCAGGTAGTGTCGGCAGAACACAGTCGCGGTTCGTATCAAGCATCGAGTTAAGTGCGGTTTTAGGTAACGCTGCAGGCGCGGACGGCGCGCGCCCAGGTGCCAGCGTCGTATAGGGCGGAGAAGCGTGGTCTGGCGTGCAGCGTTGTCGACCGACGCAACCCTGGGACCCCAGAGTGATCGGTCGAGCCACAGGCGGCCTGCTCCACACTTGCGGCTCGGTGGCACCGCGCACCGCGCACGGCCCCGGGCGTCTAAATATGGTTTCCAGTTGAGGTGCTGGCCGTGGCCTGCTGGCCGCGCTCAGGGGAGCCGAGCATGGACTGCGGCCGGTGCGTGGTGCGCGCCTGATGGTCCTGCGGTGGCCCAACAAGCCGGCTGCTCGGCGCACTGCTTGCCGGTTGCCGCCGTCTGCGGTCGCGAGATGCCGCGATGGGTGGTGTGTGTCCAGGTGGCACAACACGGATGCAGGGCGGGGGCGGCAACGTGGGTGCGTGGGTGGCGTTCTCGAGCGACGCTCGCCAGGCTGGCTGGCAGCGGCAGCGGAAGGCTGGGCTGGGGCCATGGGCGGAGCGAAACAGTCGCGCCGTAGGGCGGCCTTGGCCTTGGCCGGTGCGCTGCGCCCGGACGATCCGCGCGCATGAATCGCCGCGGCCGCCGACGTGCAGCTTCACGTCTGCCCGCCCGTCGCTTGACCCTCCGACACCACCGCCCTGCTACCGAGCTCGCTGCAACCCTACCGCCCGACTGCACCGCCGCCTAGCTGCTCGCCTTGCCCCGGCCGTTCCCAGCGGCTTCCTCCCGATCCCACGCAGCAATGGATCGCGCCCTTGACGACGTCATCTCCGACCGCCAGGTGAGACGCCCTGCTGCGCTGCTGCGCTGCTGCTCCAGCCCAACCATACTGACAAGCTGCCCACAGCGAGGTGGCGGAGGCCCACGCGGACGCAGAGGCGGCCGCCGCACTGAAGACTACCCGCGAGACGGCGTAAGAAAGGTTTGTCGCTCCTGTCCGTGCTGCGTAGCCTGACCCGCGCGCTGATTGCCCTCCCCGCTAGGTTCTACACCTCCTCCCTCCTCATAGCCATGGCGCTCCGTAACCGCTCCGAGCCGACACCTTGCTCTTGCCTGCACCGCTCCTGTCGCTCTTGGAGATGCAGCCGCTGTTCGCCGACGAGTCTTGTTTCAGGCTGCCATGGTATCCTGTGAGACCTCCGCTAATCTGCAATTCCTCTCTGCGATAATAGTCGAGTCAGAGAGATGAGTCCAGGAATCTCGATCGGTAGGAAATTAACGCCAGGTGCGCCAACGTGCATCAGAGCTTTGCTGATGTGGCGCAGGGACTGGGTCCACGACCGTTACGAAGACGACGATGGTGGGTATCCTCCACTGAAAACACCGTGGCATGCATGGCTAACACATCGCAGCCCGCCGCCCCTCGCGCACCCAGGGCTATCGTTCCGAGCGTCCGTCCCGCCGCAGCCCCGACTACGAAAAGTACGCCCCCTCGGACCACAACTGCTGAGGCCTTTTGCTCACCACTTGGGACGACAGGGAAGCCGGCTATGAGATCCGCGTCGAGAATTTGCACTACGATCTGACCGAGGAAGACATCCGCGTATGTATCGCTCGCAATGGAGACGTTGACGGCTTAGCTGATGTGCACCAGGAGCTATTTGAGCGCATTGGCCCTGTCAAGACCGCTAAACTCCTGTTCGACCGCAATGACCGCAGCCAGGGCATTGCGCGTGTAGTCTATCACAGCCTTGCAGACGCACGGGTCGCTCTTCGCGAATTCGATGGTGCCAACGCACACGGACAGCCCATCCGCCTGACACTCGTCCCGCCGGGGCCATCTGGGCCATCTCGCCGCAACCCGTTCGATTCCGTTGAGCGTCCCTCGCGAAGCCTGTTCGAACGCATTGAGGGAGGCAGGAGCAACCGCAGCTTGAGCCCTGATAGGCCCCGTCATAGCGATACTACCAAGCCCGCACCTGCTGGCATTGATCGCTACGTGCCTGGTGAGGACGATGGCCGTAGGCTCTCGCCTCCCCGCCGTCGTGGCGATGGCGGAAGAAGGGAAGCCGGTCGTAGGCCTGGCGAGAGGAGACAGCAGCCTCGTGGCAAGAAGCCTGATGGCGAGGGTAAGCCGGCGGTTGGAGGAAGGCCCCGTAAGACTGTTGAGGAGCTCGATGCCGAGATGGCAGACTATTTCGGTGGAGGTGGTGAGGATGAGTCTGCTGGTGGACACGCTTCCAATGGAGCTGGCGCGGCTGCCAGCACCGCCCCTGCCAACTCTGCGCCGGCTAACATCGATGACATTGATATGGTGGAGTAAAGAGTCAGGCGTAGGTGTTCGACCACTTCAGCGATGTTGCTATGTTATCTTCGAAAGATTGGAAAAATGCAGAAACATCTCCTCTCGACGTAGCCACGAAAACTCAGGACGAAGGGGCGTTAAGAGGGCGGTACAAGCACCCGGGATTGTTATATGAAAAAAGTCTATGATGTGAGATTTTCTTGCTTTTGGGTTGGAAGGCAGCCGATCTGGGTCGTACAATCAAAAGGGTTGAACATGCTTGGTTTTTCTGTGCTATGTGACTTTACCTCCTGCGATGCTGAACTAATAGACTTCTACTGTGATGGGACGCATAAACAAAGTTAGCTTGGATCCTTTAGCAAGGGGAAGACGAGGCACCGTGCGGGACTAGTATAGACGAGAGTCCTGATTGGTTGAACTGGCCACTTTACCCCTACTGCAAAGCCCAACGCTAAGACTCTAAGATTACTTGTGTCTCCGACCACAGTACATCATGAGCGTGCTGCCTTGCTATTGTTGTGGAGGTTTTGGTCCTCGCGTCGAGGGTTTGAAGCGCCGTGTCGAGGAGCGTACTGGTAAACACAAAATACGGGCTTCCCAATTTCTCTTTCTCACTAGACATATTGCTTCCCGCCTTATATAGGTATTTAGCTTCCAGGTCTAAAATTACGTTTGAACAAGTCATTCAAAGCGTCAAGGTACTTCGATTCAGATGCTTACGAAAGAGAAGTGATGCATCCCCCATAGAACACGGACGGAAGCCGGTTCAAATTCCTCCGAAGTCGACACCGCGGATGAGGTTCCATGCTCTTCGTGCTCCATCTCGAACATGGCTTCCTCAACAGCTCCCGGACGGCTGTACCGTGCGCATGAAGAGATGAAACGCTGTGCTCGATTTGCCGAAGCCAAACTTTCCTTTAGCGTAGAGCTATGAATAATCCACGACAATGAATCTTGCGTCTCAAGGGGCTCGAAGCTCGAAGCTGCAGATCCAGTGAGATACAACATTCACCGTAAGACATGTCCACCGAATCCCAATTACCGAGAGTTCGCCTGACATCCTGCAGTACATGCCCAACATCAAGAGCATCGCCAACCCCCACGCCTTTGGCCAGCCCTCCACCATCCCTGCAGTGTATGACCAGCTTATCCCCTACGCTGCTTTTTTCGCTGTTGCATACGGCGAGTGGTTGGACGACTGAACCTTCCTCGATAACGATGACCGCCAGTACGGAATGCGGAGCGCCCCAACCGAGATGACGACAGTCCGAAACGACGCGCACAACGCCAACATCGGCGCGATGGGAGCAACTCGACCTAGTGGTTCGCAGCACCATCTCCAGCCAAGACGACGTCCGTGATGCCGCCGCCATAGCGACCAACGGAACCGCAGGCCATGCATTCTGGCAGGCTTTCGACTGGGGCCGCGCGCCGCCGCACGGCAGCTGCCGCCCTCGCTCGCCATTCTTTGGAAAGAACCACGCACGTCTCCTCGCCCCACCTACGCTCTGTGCCCGGGGTTGGCTCGGCTCGGCTCCCAAGCGTCCGTTTGGGAAAGGAACCCTGGCAGCCGTGTCACCGGTGCATCACGACCGCCGTCTGCAAACTTGGAGGAGAAAAGGAGAGGAGAGAGACGGCGAGAGTATGGATATGCTGAGCCTGCTGAAAATTCTTCTCGCGGCCCCAGAGAAAGCATCAGTCATGGCGGCATCACGCGCTGCTGCCTCGCCCCTGTGTTGTGGTTAAGTGTTCGTGGTCATTGGTGTTGACCCACGCGCGATCCGTTGTACATACCAAAAAGACGCGATAAGGTAGAAATTCTCATTGCAGTTTCCAAGTCGGGAAATCAGCAAGAATTGTTGCGAGTAAGATCAGCTGAAAGCTTTTCCGACTGCACCACGTCGCCATGTAGGTCGTTTCGATGGAGTGATTAGTCCAGATGCCACTGCCATCGCTGCGATGACCGGACTGGCTTGCGACCTCGCCTTCCATAGCCGGCATTTACATGTAGAAAGCGCGAAGCGGCATCAATTGGCAAGTGCGATGGGTTGCTGCCTACTCTACCTCGGCTCCCTGTGCGCCCAGCTACGCATCCACACCTTGACCATCCACACGCTCACACCCCCCAGCCACAACCGCTATCTCTTCCCCTGCGCCAACGACTGCCTTGCTGCCGCAGCACCGAAGCCGACAGCGGCCGCCTGCAGACCAAGACCCGACCATCCACTTCGCCGACAACGCCGACAACAATGGCCAGAACGTCATGGCGAACGGCGATCCTGCGCATCACAGCAACGAGAGTGTTTTGCATCAGGCAAAGCCGCTCGTGCAGCCGTTGTTGATCCGTGCACTAGCGCTTTGGCATCTAGCAGTAGTTATTGCCTATCCCTCTTCGGAGGGCACTTAGAGAATACACACACACTTTCCACCACTCTTTGTGCAGAGTCCTTCACCGTCCATGGCGGGCAATGTGCACTTCCAGACTCACCCAACACCAATTTTTCTCGACGCGGAAAGGCACAAAAACAAGTAAGAAGAAGCCCTCCTCAGATCAGCTACCAGTCAACTAACAAGCGATAGGCCTCACAACCCACAAACAAAAACACATCAAATCCGCACCAATCCTCCTCCTCCTCCCGTGAAAAGGGCAAAAAACAAGTAAGAAGCAAGCCTCCTCACATTCAGCGATCACTCAACTAACAATCGATAGGCCTTTCCACAAAAAAAAAAAAATAGCTCAACATCAAAATGAGCATCAAAACAATCCTGCAGCGCATTTTCTGCCTGCCTCCCTCCTCCCACAAAACCAAATGCACAACAACAAGACAAGACATGGTCCCAGAGACCTTTGTTGTGCCAGCGGATTTGCCATGGCCATATGGCTCTGGAGCTCGGGAGTAAAGGATTTTTCAAAGCCGATGGGGCACAAGTGGAGGGTTTTTGGGGCCGATGGGGCACAAGCGGAGGGAGTATGAGGGAGAATAGGGGGTTTTTCAGCCGATGGGGCACAAGTGGAGGGAGTCTGGGGTTTTGATACATTCTTTTTGATAGATACTTTCTTTTCAGAAATACAGTCTTTAGACGAGACCACTGCTTGATCTTGACTCTTGAGCCAGCTCGGTGAACTGTCGTGCCTATTCTGGAAAGTGGTGTTGGCTGAGGATGCTTTTGTGATCGAGGTTACCTTCATACTCCTCTGCCACGTGAGTGTGACTGGTGGTGGCGATGTTGGGCCAAGTCATATATACCAGCATGCTCATCGCACTAACCGTCCGCATTTACTGCACGTGAGGCTGCGCCGCATATGAGTGTCTAGATAGGTCATAGCCACAGGGCTCGCCCCATGATCAGCTCCTCCGGAGCGGGCCGGGCGGGAGGCGCCAGCCTTTCGAAGGGGCATTGCGGGAGTGACGGCGGTGTCGATGGGGGCGATAGGGTAACAGTGAGCCGTGGCATGTGGCTGACGGGTGGGCGAGGCAGATTTCGGCACGAGGCTGCATGATTGTTGGAGATGTGGCGCATGGTGTTGAGGGTTGGTGTGGCGGAGAAGCCTTGCGGGGCTGTCTGTGGCTTGCAGCACGTCACGGCGGGGTAGGCAGGTAGGTAGGACCGCCCGTCTTCGGCGCGCCTGACTGGGTCTCGTCCCTGAATTGATGCGTCAGGGAAAAGAGGCCCGTCTGCGCCGCCCATATGCGCCCATCTGCACCACCCAGCTCCTTTGCTCGCCGTGCGACGCTGCCATCTGCTTGACACCGCAACGCCCGGCCCCAAGCGCACGCCTCACAACTCATCCTCCGGTGTGCATCCAGCCTCCGCCGCCCTTCGCCCTGCCAGCAATTCAACCGCGCTCGTCACACGACTGAGCCTGAAGCTAATACTTGTCCTGTTCCGGTCTTTGCCGGACCAGCGTTACACTCACCGCAGTCCCGGCGCCTGCTGCGGTGCAAGGCGATGGGCCGGCGGCATGTCGCTGACGCAGATGCACAGGGAATCTCACGCGCGGCTGCTGTGGGTTTGGGTTTCTTCAACCTAATGCAGCCGCCCTCCCCAGGGCCGGCCGGTCCTTGTCGCATCGTGGCAGGTGTACACCGTTTGGATCTCAGCCACCATTTTCCGCTCGCGCGCGCGACGACAGGCTCCCGCCTGCCATGACGCCCGACCGCATCCCAAGCACCTTGCCGACACGGGCGGCTACGGCCGTCTTCGGAGAATAACACACCAATCCCAATCGCTTTGTGCCTCCCGCACATGCAGCCCTCGGGAGAGACCGCGCACTTGCATCCGCGTATGAGTCTATTCCCTTGCGCGACGCTCCATTATGCTGACCTCATATCGCATGCCATCACATGCCGTGGGTTTTTGGCTGATCCACATGGTGAAGACATCACGGGTAGGTAGCTCCCCTCAGTCGTTTTCTTGCCAACGGCCAATGGCCAACGCACCAGCACCGCCAAGATTCTCACCGCGCTGAATTAGGCACCATGGTTTCGCCCCGTCCCAAAACTTCGTGAAGGGCGAGCTGGGGCGTTGGTATCGCCAAAAGTCTTTTTTTCTTACGGGCGTGTGTCCCGCCGAGCCACTTTGGCAACTCTCGTACTCCACGAGTCCTCATGCCACAAAATGGACCTACGGGACTCTGGTCCCTCGCCTGCCGAAGGCCGTCACCCAATAACCTTTGCAACCATTTTTCGTGAAGGGCGACAGCGCCCGGTGAGGCGAATTCCGCAGCAGTGTGCAACACGCACATGCGTTTATTCTGACCCTCGAGACGTCCGCTTCACTCTTTGCTGTCTGTATATGAGTTGCTGCCATCGTCACGGCCTGTTCTTGTAGAGCATCGGTTTCTATTTCGACCCGCGGAGCTCAGTCATCTCTCCAGCTTCCCATACTTCAATCTTTCTCGGAACCCTCACTCACAGCTCAGCTTTGTTGTGATTCTAAGCTCTCACTCGAACTTTCCAGCATCGACACAGCAAACACTTGTCTTCCGTGGCGTCATCAAGACCAGGCATCACAACCCAGGACATTGCAGTCATGAGCGCCGTCTGGACGTGTTGTCAGTGTGGCGCAAACAACCTGTGCGAGACTGCCCCAGCATGCCCGATCTGTGGTCATTACCCATGCTCCTACTGTTCCGTTTGGACGCCTTCAAGCCCCTTTGCGACCACAAACATGCCCGGGACGCAAGGCTCTACCCGCAGCAACTCTTCGGGGACAAGGGGGATTCCTGAGGTGGTTGAAGCCAATGACTACCGACCTCAACGTCTCCCGACCCCCGTCACTCCGGCTTCCGACCAACTCCATGGCCCAGTGCCGTCTTGCCGGTGGGGAAAGCCGTGTTCGGACGGCACGATTCCGCTCAACTCCTTGCCGTACACTGACGTCTGGACCTGTTGTCGGTGCGGCGGCCACAACCTGTATGCCAACTCGATAAGGTGCCCATTGTGTGCACACGATCCGTGTGAATACTGCAAGTGGGGATAAGTCTGAGAACGCCCAAATCATTCCTGAACCGCACCCCACATCGGCTTCCTCCATGTACTCACAGGCAGAAGTATTGACCAAGGCAAGGAGAGGCTTTCCGGTGATTCATCTATTGTTTACTGTATGTTGTTTGGGCTTTGTAGCAGATCCCTTCACTTCTCCCTTGCATCATTCCGGGACTCGGTCTTTCTTGGTCCCGTCTTTCTATTTTCTTCTCACATGTGCGGCTTGATGACACTTTTTCGATCTTCTTCCTGCCTTACATTTCCCCCCGACCTATATCATTATCATTTCCGATTCCCCGAGCTGTGTTTTTGCGTCCTTTCCTAACGCTTTGATCGAGTTTGCGTTATTTTTTTTCTCTTCCTTGGCTTCCTTGGGCTGATAGCTATTTGGATGACCATTTTGTATTGTATCGAGGCTTATTGGACGATTGTCGGGCCTCGGACGCCACCAGTAGCTAGCTAATGTATGATTTCCGGCCATGTTGAAGCCACCCGAGCTGATGCATCGTTGAGGCTCACGCCAGCGGCTGCAGTAAGACATTGGTGCAGCGCTTGACAGTAGGGCTGAGAAGTGGCTCAAGCCCGGCTCGCCCTCACTGAACGATTGTGGAGTGACCGAGGGAGAGGGGACGACGATTGGCCCCGCATCCCCGCACTCGGCTAAGTCTTCCTTGCGCCAGATCGCTCTGGACGAGCCCTCGCCAGCCCAGCGCATGCACCGAACATGCTGGGCCGCGTCCGCTCCATGCAGCCAAGCCGTGGGCGCTGTGGCTAGCCGGAAGCTTGGGCGATGCTTGCACCCTCGACATCGCAATTGCCGCCCTCCGCGTCATCGACCACCCCCCTCGCCCGCACCCTAGCGCACCCGCCAGCCCGCCTGCGCTCTAGCAGCCTCGGCGGAAGCCCTGCAATGCTTCTAGCGCGGCGCCGAGGCGGCAGGCTAGTGGCGAGCTTGGATCGCGAGAGGGCCTGCCTGGCCGCGAACTGGTGGTGGCGCCGTGGGCATTTCCCCAGCTTTTCTCCGCCAAAACCTCCGCAGTCCTATGGGCGTGTCCGGCGACGTTGGCCCGCTGCCGGCAGCGCCATTTGTCGTCCTCGATAGCTGCTCTGCACAACGGCGTACAAATACCTTGCTTCGTCCCCTCCACATTCACTCCATCCAGCAACGAGGCACTCGGGCCCTCTTCACTCACTGGAGAGCTTCGCACCGTTCTCTTCGCCATTCTCTTCGCCATTCTCTTCGCCATTCTCTTCGCCGTTCATTCTTCCCGCTGAACCGAACAAGCATGGGTCTCACCGTGACCATCAAGGGCGGCGCCGAGCCGACGCTCGACGACGTGCACGCCCAGCAGGCGAGACGCCCCTCGGCCGCCGAGGCCATCGCAGAGGACCGTCGGAGGAAGAGCGTCAGCGACAAAGCCATCACCGGCGCCTCTCAGATCACCACCCGCCAGTCCATCGTTCCAGTCACCCTTGTTACCGTGCTCTTCTTCCTCTGGGTATGCGCCCGCCATCACCACCGGGACGCAGAAGAAACGAAACTGACGCTTTTGACAGGGCTTTGCGTACGGCTTGCTCGATGTCTTGAACTCGCGCTTCCAGGTCGCCCTCAACATCACCCAGGGCGAATCCTCCGGCCTTCAAGGTGCTTACTTCGGGTATGCCGTCTCCCGAAACTTGGTACCCACCATGTCATCTAACCACTTCTCAGAGCGTACTTCATCGGCCCCCTCACCTACTCGGGCTGGTTCGTCAGGCGCTTCGGCTACCGGTACACCTTCATGCTGGGCCTCAGCATCTACTGTAAGTGATGATGCACAAGCCAACGCCAGCCCCCCACCGCTGACCCTCCCACCCCCCAGGCGTCGGCGCCCTCATGTTCTGGCCCGCCGCCGTCAAGCGCTCCTTCGGCGGCTTCTGCGGCGCCATGTTCATCGTCGGCAGCGGCCTCTCCACGCTCGAAACGTCAGCGAACCCGTACATCGCCGTGTGCGGCCCGCCCAAGTGGAGCGAGTTCCGCCTCGAGCTCTCGCAATCCTTCCAGGCCGTCGGGTCCGTCGTCGCGCCCGTGCTAGCCTCGTACGTCATCTTCAAGAACGTGGGCGAGGACGGCAAGTCGCTCGAGTCGGTGCAGTACGTGTACCTCGGCATCGCCGCCTTCGTCGGCCTCCTCGCCATCGTCTTCTACTTCGCGCCCATCCCCGAAATCACCGACGCCGACATGGCCGACCAGGCCGAGCTCACCACCGCCGCCACCGGCTTCGTCGACAAGCCGCTGCGCAGGCAGTACACGCTCTTCTGGGGCGTCGCCGCCCAGTTCTCCTACGTCGGCGCCCAGGTCGGCATCGCCGGCTACTTCATCAACTACTTCACCCAGGCCCGCCCGGACATCCCGCTCCAGCGCGCCCAGCACCTCGGCGCGAACTTCTACGCCATCGCCCAGGCCCTCTTCGCCACCGGCCGCTTCGCCGCCGCGGGCCTCATGTACTACGTCAAGCCGCGCCTCGTCCTGCTCGCCTTCCAGACCCTCATCATGGTCTTCATCGTGTGCGCCATCGCCGTCGACAGCGGCGACGGCACGAGCGCCAACTGGGCCGGCCTCGCCATGCTGATGCTCGTGCTCTTCTTCGAGAGCTGCATCTTCCCCACCATCTTCACGCTGTCTTTGCGCGGCCTCGGTCGCCACACCAAGCGCGGCGCGTCGTTCATCGTCGCGTCCATCTGCGGCGGCGCTGTCGTGCCCGCCATCTTGGGGAATGTCGCGGATCGCACGGGCACGCGGCATGCGATGGTCGTGCCGCTGGCGTTTTTCGTCGTCGCGTGGAGTTTCCCCATCTATCTGAATGTGTTCAAGGCGAAGGAGCTGGATGCGTATCGGGACAGCCATGTGGGGGTTGAGGGGGGCGCTGCTGCGGCGGCGGATGGGGATGCGCCGGTCAAGACGAGGGAGGAGGCGTTGTTTGAGAAGGATGTCGAGGCGAGTCAGTTGGAGGTCGTGAAGTCAGGGGAGTGAGACGGAGGCGGGAGTTTAGAGAGGGATTGGTGGAGTCTGAGTCTCTCCTTTATGTGATATGATCATGCGGCGTTTCTCTTTTTTTTTTTCGTTTTCTTTAGAAGACTTTCTCTCCAGCGGAATGGTTTTGGTTTGGCCGCCGTCCTGCTGGCCTGTATATACCAATACACGAATACATAAGCTTTTGGCTTTGCAACATTCTCATAGATGCGTTCGTCTGTGTTCTTGAAGTGATCTGCGACTGCCTACTATCTAAAGTTGTGATTAAGTCTTTTCATGCGCGTCGGATGTCGAAGCTGAGGTTGCGTGTGATACCTGAACCCCCCGATTCGGCGCCATCATACCGGGGACACCGATTCCGTCCGTTAGCCTCGCCCATGCGACACATTCCGCAGGTGCAGAGGAATACCAGACAACAAGAGCAAAGAAGAAGCAGGAAGCAGCGCGCTTGGGAATAGCACTGTACGGTTAGCTGTGACGAGACAACGTCGCAGAAAAGCGCCGCTGGATGACGCATCCGAGGGAACTTGTAAATCCCTGCACATACATTCGCCGACAACGCTGGTGTGGTCTGCGAGATGGCGTTTCTCCGCCATGTTCGTAAGACCGAGCTGACGTCATAGCATGCAAGTACATACATACATGCAGCGTTCTCGTATGGGAGCTGTTTCTGCGTCACGGTGGAGGGGGCATAGTGTGTCGGTTGTTGTTGGTACGAGGTGATATCCAGGGCGGAAGTATCATTACCATTCCGTGGGTGTTCAGAAGAACATCTTACACAGGCATGGTGAGCTTTTCCCAGCAAGCCGTAGCTTCTACCGTCACATTGTCACTTGCTCCCTGTCTTGTTCATTGCTCCACGCCGTCAAAGGATGATTTCAATGAGCGTGTATGTGATGCTAAAAGTGGTGCAAGTGCGTTGCTTCGATACATTGTGAGTTGAGATGCCAGTGAAATATTCGGACAGAGCGCAAGAAACGGACGCGCACACGGGGAGGAAGAAAGGGTGACAGGCCAAGTACGACTGCTGAACACGTCCGTTTCTCGGAGGGAAAATTAAATGTGGCCATAAGCGAAGTCGAGTACAGCCCCTTCTCGCAGCCGATGGCTAGCGCGAAGAATAGCAGAACATGGCGTAACTATGCCTTAGTTCGTTCTTAGAGAAAAAAAAAACAACACGCAGGTAGTTGGAGCCATCGTCCGGACGTGTATGTAGAATTTTTACAAGGATCTCAAAGCCTGGGCTGTGCGAGAGACGACGATTCCGCCGAGGTCAATCGCCCCCGTCAAGGTCAACTTTGCCAAAGCTCTCCCGTCAGGCAGAGACTTCGAGTTCGTGCCGTCGCCTACCGCCCTGATGGCTCCGAGGGGATCGGGAGCCCTCATCGCCTACGCCCACATCTTGGACCGAGACACGGACGCCATATGGGTCCGGAACGATTCCGAGGATCCCGTTAAAATCCAGAGGAAGTGTCCCCTTGGCAAGGTTTCTGATTGCGAAGTTTCCCGGGCCGACGAGCTCGACCCAGCCCTGCACGGGATGGCTGGAATGGATTCCGACAAGATCGATCCATCGATGGAGGAGCGCATTTCCAATTAAAATTCTACATACACGTCCGGACGATGGCTTCAACTACCCATGACATGAGCATTAAAAAAACAGATCCACGCTAGCCATCAGCTGCGCGAAGGAGCTGTAGCATGCGGGCCGCGCCCGGCGCCCACGGAGCTAACCATTTGGAGACCCGTATAAAGTAAAACAATGCGAGGCCGGTGTGTTGGGACACCCGTCGAGCTCGGAGCATGTGAACCCCCACTCTTCAGGAGACCATGCTCCCTCTGTCCTGCAAGAGCGCAAAAAAAGAAAAGAGATACATGGTAGAAGATTGCCTGATTGCGGTCAGTCTCAATAAACGCGTAGGTATTCTGAATATTGCACTCAAGTGAAAGTTGAAATCGCGGTAGAGTGGGTAAATAATGGGACACACTAAGAAATCAAGGGAGGATGATTTCACACTGACGAAAACCGATCTAAGCGTTGATATACCATGTAAAAAGGGCTTAGACCTCCTCAAAGGAAAGGCAACTAAACCGTGCCTCCCTCCCTCGTTCCAAACACACTCGTCCGTTGAGTAGTAGGGAAAGACGGCGAAGATAACGGAGAACGACGTTTCCCGGGATCAGCACCACACCGAACGAGCAACAGTTCCGCACAAATCAGCAAGTCTTCAAAGGACGACAGATGACGTTAAAATTTTTCATTTTTCGTGACACGTAACACGGGATAGTACGAGTAGTCGTTCACATCATAGAAACAGAAACAGCCAAACGTCATCACGCCTATCCCTTCCATCATCGTCATCATCGACCGGGGATCAAAAAACCCCTCATCAAACCCGTTCCTGCTCCGACACGTGCTCGAGGCGCTTCTCCTCGCCCGCCTTCTCCGAATTGTACGCCTCGGCCAGGGTGCTCGGCTCGGCGTCGCTGATCTGCTTGCCCTTGCGACCGATGAGGTACCAGGGCAGGTCGAACATGCGGTCCATGCTCTCGAGGCTCTTGCCGCTCGTCTCGGGCAGGAAGAACCACACCCACACGAAGCCGATGAGGGTGATGGCGGAGAAGAAGAACATGGTGCCCGAGTTGCCGAGGGCGATGAACATGTTGGGCACGGCCTTGCTGTTGGCCCACTGGTTGACGAAGTGGATCGTCATGGCGATGGAGCCGCCGATGGCGCGCAGCCGCAGCGGGTAGATCTCCGAGTTGATCAGGTACTGGACGCTGTTCCAGCCGAGGGCCCAGCCGAAGCCGGAGAAGTAGATCATGACGATGGCGCCCATGGCGGCGTGCTTCTGCGACGGGCTCTGCGGCGCGCCCGTGTCCGCGACGCCCTTGTCGATGGCGAGGAAGATGGCCATGTACAGCATCGACACGAACTGCAGCGCGATGCCCGAGCCGAGCGAGCGCTTGCGCCCGATGAAGTCGATGAGGAAGAAGGCGCAGAGGAGCGCCGAGATGAACTTGACGACGCCGAAGATGGCCGTCGCGAAGAGCTTCTCCGACTGCCCGGTCGTGCCCATCATCTTGAAGTACTCGGGCGCGTAGATGGTGATGGAGTTGGCGCCGCTCCATTGGCCCAGCAGCTGCGAGAAAAGGGACAGCATCAGGCGGTACCGGTTGGCTGGGGTGGAGACGAGCTCCTTGACGACGCCCCACCGGGAAGCGCCGTGGGTTGCCTCCTGCTCACGGTTGAGCTGGTCATTGATGTCGATGATCTCGGTTTGGACGAACGGATGCGAGGCCGGGAGCTGGCGCAGGCGCGAGAGGTTCGCAGCAGCCTCTTCGTGCCTGTTGACCTTGATAAGCCAGCGGGGGGATTCGATGGAACCGAAGCTGAGGATGAAGATAATGCCGGCGAACATGAGGTGCAGGCTGTTGGGAACAACCCATTGGTTCTGGCTGTCGTCCGAAATGTGGAGCGAGGAGCCCCAAGAAGCGAAGTAGCCCCTGCAGTCACTTTGCGTCAACGCATGTTCTCGTTTCTTAGATAGCGCACGCGCACGTCTATGAGGAAGGTCCGGAGATAAGCAGAGACGACTTACAGCATGATTCCGAGGTAGACGCTGCCAGCGAACATGCAGACGCAAAGTCCGCGAAGTGCCCTCGGAGCAATCTCAGCAAGATAGGTGGGAGCGACGACGGTGGTCTGGCCAATGCCGACGCCAGCAATGAAGCGGCCCGCATAAACCATGCCGATGCTGCCATTGGCCGAAGCAGCAAGGTAGATGGAGATGCCGGTAACCCAAACAAGGCAGAGCTCGCGTGTCGCCCAAAGGCGCCCAATCTTATCCGTTACCCAGAAAGCAATGATGGCGCCGAGAATGGAGCCCATCTGCACCATGGAGGTGATGTTCGAGAGGAGGTTTGCCTGCTCCCCTTCGCTGAGGGAAGGGTCCTCGAGGCCGAATTTGTTGATGAAGGAGTGCTGTTCGGCCGTGGTGCCGGTGAGACCCTCGTCGAGACCGCGGGCAGCGCCCATTAGACCGAAGACTGAGAAACGGTCAGTCGAAATGCGCTTCGCAGCAGCCAGCACGATTGCTCACCGAACACGCCATAGAAAAGGCGCCAGTTGGTCACCTCCTTGGGGGTGTCCTTCAGCGCTGCCTTGTAGATGCCCATGGTGGCGGTATGGCGCGACGGAGGGGATCAAAAGGGCAGGAAAGGCAATGGGAAGAGGGACAGAATCCAGAAGAGCGAACCGCCGAACACAACCGGTACGACCGCAGCTGGAGAGGCTCAAACAGAGGCGGAAAGCAGGAACTTTATATTACACGGCATCTGCGGCGCGTTCCACTGAGCGGAAGATACTTGGCTCACGCGCCCAACTGTCCCCCGCCAGGTTGCCCCCACCACCACAAGGCCACAACCCAGCTAGCCCAGGGATCTGTGTGGGGACTCCAGACTCGCCTTCAGCTACCGCGGCGAGGCGTGCCGTAGTCGCGGCCCGAGTCATTCCTGCCAGGACGGATGAGGTGACATTGCCGGAAAAGTGCATTGTGTCGGACGTCAGGGCGGAGTTAGGTAGGCCGGCAGACAGATCGCGGGCTCGAGCGCTGTGGTGCCATGGGCGAAGGATCGGCTAGAAGCAGCTGTGATAGGACGGCGCCAGCCGTCTGTGGTTGCACGCGACGCCGCTCTCCGCAACAACCCCCGCAGCCTTGGCAAACTTGGCCGCTTGGAGCAGTGCGTCCCGTTGGTGGGTGCAGCGCTGGGCACGGCTTACTTCCGGCGCGCGGACTGGCTGGTGTGAATGGCAGAGGCTTCGGGAGCTTGATCAGTCGGCTAATCGCCCCCAGCGGCGCTGACGGCACGTCAAAAGGCGGCGGAAAAGCCTTGGCGACTTTATTGTCTTCGGTGGCTGATGGGAAGAGGACCGCAGCAGCTGAAGGACAGCTGCACCTGCCTGAGCGGGTGTGCGTGTGCGTACGCAGCCTCACCGCAACCATGTGCCGTTCGATGCTCGCAATCCACCTGCAGGCAGACCCACCACGCGGCCGGGCTTGCGCAAACCATGCTGGCAGATTAAGGCTCGAAACGCGGACGCTGCTACTGGCCGACGGCGGACTTGGCCCTCGGCTTGGCGCGCTAAGCATGTCGGCAGATGATTGCTGCGAGATCGTTTCGGGCGGCCGTTGCGCACACAAAGCCGGCTTGTGGGCTCGGTTTCTGGAGAGAGCGGCGGCCTAGTTTCCCCAACCAGACACGCTCCAGCTTTGGACCCGTGGAGAAAACTTGGCCGCGCCCCACGCGGGGAAGCTTGTCCTTGCTTCGGCTGCACTCGTTTCCTGACGTTTGGCACGCAAAAACACCGAATTCGCTGCATCGCGACGCTGGGGTCTGAGAGCTGTAGCATTGCCGACTGGACATTCTGGGGCGCGGCACTGAGCAGAGCAGATCAAACGCCGACGACGCTCGGGTAAATCAGCCCCAGTGCCGATGCGGGTGATGCGGGTGCCTCGGTGGCGTCGCTCAGGCCATGGGTCTGACTCTGTCTGCACCAACCAGCTGTGCCTCTTTGTTGAGCGCCGTGACCTCGGCCTCCACATACGGAATGCCGTTTCGCTCGCGCTCGTCCTGCGTCAGCTGCTCGATCTCTCCGGGAAAGTACACGCGCTCGACGCCCGCCATTTTCTCCGACCCGACCACGCGCTGGTACAAGTAGTCCATGCGCTCCTTGAATTCCTCCAGGCTCATGAAAAGGTCCGGCTTGAGGGCGACGAGGAAGTGGCCCACGTCGGCAGGTCTGGACGCGTCGTACGGGTTCGTGACGTGGCCCGCAAAAGCGCTCCCCGACAGCACTCCACTGAAAACATCCATCATTATCGCTAACGCCGAGCCCTTTGGTCCACCCATTGGCAACATCACACCCTGCAGCGCCGAGGCCGCGTCTTCCGTCGGCCGCCCCTCTGCGTCCAGCGCCCAGTCGCGAGGAATCGCCTCCCCGCGCCGCAGCGCCTTGTAAATCTTGCCTCGCGCCGCAACCGACGGCGCCATGTCGAGGATAAAAGGCTTCGACCGCCCAGCCGGCGCGCCGCACGCCAAGGGGGACACGCCCATGAGCTTCTCGCGCCCGCCCCAGGCCGGCAGCGCCGGCGACGAGTTGGTGAAGACGAGCGACATGAGGCCCGCGTCCAGCGCCTGCTGCACCACCCATGCCGACATCCCAAAGTGATTCGAGTGCTTGACGCTCACCATGCCGATGCCGAACTCCTGCGCCATCCGGATCGCGGCCTCCATCCCGAGCCGCGCCGCCACGAACCCGAACCCGTTCTGGCCGTCGACCTGCGCGACCACGGGCGTGATTTGCTGCAGCGTCGGCGACGCTTTCGCGTCGAGGACTCCTTGCCGGATGCGTTCCATGTACGAGGGGACGCGGTTGATGCCGTGCGTGTCGACACCGCGAAGATCGGCCGCGACGAGGCACTTGGCAACAATGGCGGCGTTCTCGGGCGTCACGCCATTCCCGACAAGCACGTCTTGGACGAACTTCTCGGCGTCTTGGGCGCGGACGCGGATGGGGGCTGGCGTGGCAGCCTCGGCGTTGCTGACAGGTGCGTCCGAGACAGACATATTGGCGATTGAGCGGAGCAAAAGATTGCTGTTCGGGGATCTTTGGCGTCCTCCGGGTGGGGATTGTTGAGTACGGGTTGAGATGCCGGCGGGGTGTCGGAGAAGCTGTCACTGCTCAGTAAAATTGTCCGTTGCGGTTCAAAAGCGCAGGCACGTAGTAGGGAGATTTGGCAAGGAGTAGGAGCAGTCAAAGAGAAGATTCGAGGAAAGTAAAACTCGAGCACACAGTCGTGCTTTGAGATGGGAACAGTTCATCGGAAGCGGACCGAGGCCGCAAGTTGGGACGGACAAGCCCCGCGTGCCGCGGCGGAGTCATGGCGAAGCGCCGCGGCGCCGTCAGCAGAAATCACTAGACACGGCTTTCCGTCACGCTTGCATCCTTACCTTGAGCACGGAACCAAGACGGGCTGACATGTCCGTAACTCCGGCAGGCAGGTAGTATCAAGACTGCAAGTGTGCACAGCCGCGTCAGCTTCGTGAGTGCCGTTCGATATTGTCAATTGTGGGGAGGAGCGGTGGGGCACCGGGCTTCGGCAAGAGGAAAAAGTGGTGGCCGGTTTGGTCCGGTCCTTAACTCCGGCCTGGGTGAGATACAAGCTCGCAACACTGACTTTTATCCAACGCCTACACAACACCAGATATGTCGGCCCTTACCACTGATCTGAGCTCCCAACTTGCTCTTGTCACCGGCGCAAGCGGTGGTATTGGCAAAGCAACATGTCTGGCTCTTGCCGACATGGGCTGCTCCATTGCCGTCCACTATCACACCAACTCTGACGCTGCCAACGCTCTCGTTGATCAGCTAAAGGCCAAAGGCGTCAACGTCCAAGCGCTTCAAGCAGACCTGAGCATTTATGATGAAGTATGTGGGCCACGTTTCCTAATGCTGTTGTTATTTTTATCGAATCAATCTCTGATCAGCTGTTAGCATTGAATTATACATCTATTTTGAATGCGCTCTTCGGTAGTGCTGAGATATCTCTTAGGCTCGAAAACTCTATTCCTCCGTATCCTCATCTCTCGGCTCCCCTAAGATTCTCTTCAACAACGCCGGCAGCGCACTGTCAAAGCCCGGCCTGCGTTCTGCTTCCGACATCTCCATCGAGGACTTTGAACTGACCTGGCGCTCCAACTGCGGCTCCGCCTTCCTCCTCACACAACTCTGCCTTCCTGATATGGAGAAGGCTGGCTGGGGACGTGTCATCTTCTGCTCCAGCGTTGCCGGCCTCAACGGAGGGGTGCTCGGGCCACACTATGCGTAAGCACCACATGATCTCGCCTCCGACATCCATCGATAATGCAATGCTGAATCCCTCTTTGTTTAGCTCTTCGAAATCAGCGCTACATGGGTTGGTCCACTGGCTTGCCGGAGCTTACGCTGCGAAGGGCATCACAGTCAATGGTGTCGCGCCCGCACTTATCCAGGCTGCCGCCATGCTTCCTGCATCTAATGAACAACTGGCAAAGAGTAGGTCCCATGTCGTCTCCTGAGATATCGCGATGAGGAAAATCCGCTAACCGACTCAGGACTCCCTGTCGGACGCCTCGGTCGTCCTGAAGAGATCGCGGAGACGGTGTTGTGGATGGTCAAGACAGGTTACGTGACCAGCAAAATCGTCACTGTGGATGGCGGGTTGCTCGCAATCTGAGTAGGTGTTCATTTATGAATTGATGCTCCAATGGGTCATGTTTGATATGAGCAGTAACAGTGTTGTCAGCCCAACTCTGTCACACTGTGGAGATTGCGCTCTACGTAGATAGATAGCTGAATTCTATGTCTCAATGGACTTGCTAGGGGTTTCAGACTCGAATCAGGGGCCGTGTCTTTGCAGAGCGTAATGTTCCATCGTCTGGCTGCATATGTACAGACTACATGTATACTGTTGGACACATGCTTTTACTGTCCATCGAATTCTCTAGGATCGGAAGCCGCATATAATGCGTAGCCACAGTGTATTTAATATGACTTTATACTTCCACACCTTATCCGAATAGTCATCTGAAATCCAAACTTAGCCCTCCGCGTACCATGTCCTCTCAAAAGAACGGGTTTACCATACGCTACCGAACACAGTCTAGAAGTCATTCGACCGGAAAGCGACCACAGAAAAGTCCCACACAAACCGCCCCGGTCCACCCATCCATCTCCTCCTCAGCCCAACCACCACCACCACCCCCACTCAGCCCACCTCACTCCCCCCCCCGGTCCCCACCGCCTCCCCACCACCCATCTTCCACCCCGCCAACTTCTCCACCAACTCCTCCCCATACACCGGCTGCCTATCCACACCCCCCAGCAACCCCAAATAACCCGTCCCATCCCTCCCATCATCCCCCTCCCTCACCGCAAACCCATTCCCCAAAAACGCAAACCGATTCCCATT